AGAGTGTACCCTCTCACGGCCGAGAGGATCCCTCTCAGCCGGTGAGAGTGTAACCTCTCAACGGCCGAGAGGATCCCTCTCAGCCGGTGAGAGTGTAACCTCTCAACGACCGAGAGGGTTTCTCTCGGTCGCCGAGAGTGTAACCTCTCAACGGCCGAGAGGGTTTCTCTCGGCCGCCGAGAGTGTAACCTCTCAACAGCCGGGAGGAATCGTCCCGGCCGTTGAGAGTGCAGCCTGTCAACGGCCGGGAGAAATTCTCCCGGCCGTTCCTTTTCTTTTTTTTTTTTTTTCAGCGCCGACTCCAAACCCCCATGGGGTTTTGGAGTATCGACTCCCAAAAACCCCCGAGGGGGTTCGAAAAAAAAATAAAAATAAGTATTATTTTATTAGGGAGTCGACTCCCAAACCAATCAAAGGGTTTGGAGGTCCGACTCCCAAAAAACGGGGGAAAAAAAAAATTAGGGGGCCTGACGTCCGGAGGACCGTCCGCAGACAGTCCTCAGGACGTCCCCAAAATTTGGGAGTCGGAACTCCAAATTTTGGGAGTCGTTTGACTAAGTCCCTTTTTTTTTCTGGTCAACATACTCATGCAAATGCTTTCTAAAGCAGGATCCTCAGCTTAAAAACCAATTCCACCTGGTAGCAAAAGTGCTTCTTTTCCCCAGATACACAGGAGTTGGTTCAGCAGGGGCTTGGCAAGGTCCTGTTGAGGCTGCAGGGATTCTTGGTACATGTATTTCAGGTTGGCTTTGGCACTGCATCTTCTACTTTGAAGGCTGTGATACTCAGGCAAGGTGGGGTTGGATTTTGTTTTAGTCAATCATCAGTTTTACAAGAGCAAATGGTTGATGGAGTTTTTTTTATCCTGTGAACAGCCTGATACTGCTATCCTGGTTCAGAATTCACAACAAAATTGTGGGGGGCCAAATCTGAAACTTGATGCCAGATCTTCCGGCCAGGACTTGTCCACCAAAATTGAAAATTTTGTCACTTTTAGAAACTCATAATTTGGTCCCATCATCATCAGCTTCCAAGACACAAGATCCATGGCAAACTGCCCCTGCAATGCTCTCCTCTTTTTCACCCCTTCAGGTTTGCGGGTCATACGGAATGAGGAGGGTAGTCCTGAGATAACAATACCCAAGTGGATGAATACAAGGGGTAAAGCCGATTTCACACTCATGAATTGGCTGCGTATTACTGATCTTGTTGCGTACATCTTTCATTTGCAACATCTATAGGAAGTTACGGGGTCCCGCCAATCATGAGATCATCCTGCCTTTTTCCTTCCATTCCACATTTTTTTTTCTGATTGACCGTCAGCTAGAATGTTCTGGTAATCGGAATGCCAGACATTGCGCGGCCAAACCACGACGTTTTTTGAGCCAACTCTCAGGTGTCAGACAGAGGGCGGCTTGTACCGGCACAGCCGCCTGCCGGCAGCGCCGGAACATACAAACGTAATTCATTGTCGCAATGTCTGTGCTTCTGCTTTCCGATGGGCTTGGAGACATGGGCCTGTCCAATGGGGCGCCACATTGGACCCTGGTTGAAAGGTGGAAGAGAGTTTTCACTTCGAATTCGGTTCGTCCACAGGTTTGTCAGAATCAAAAGGCCTAAAATGACCATGCATCATAATCATCTTTCCGGGAGTTGTCTGCCGGAGTGATCTGCGTTGTGTAACACGCTAAACTCCGGTTGGTTCTTGAAGTAATTTGTTGTGTAAAGAGGTGATATTCCGCAGTCGAATTACAACAGCGTGGACTGTTGGCACAGCCTCCACTTCCAGGATGATCAATCCAAGAAGTTGAGTTGCAAGTAGAAAGTGCCTAGCAATAATCAGACATTTTGGTTGAAAGCGGTTAATGGCAGTGAAATGAGACAATGCCAGCTAATGCCAGATGTCATCTTCGGCTGATGCCTGAATCAGCTTACCTAGGCGGCAGCTTCAGCAATCTCATGGGACACGTGTTTTTATGTAGTCTACAGAAGATGAGATGAGGCTACAAAATGAGCTCATTTTCGATTAACGCTGAATGACATGCAGCACTACAAAAAGGCCGGTCCAACTCCGCCTGCTCTTCCCAGATCCCGAGGAAGAATATCACAGTACACCACAGAACTCCCTACCACTCTAGCTTTTACAATACGAACCAGCATTGAGATTGTCTTCCTGTTGCTTCTGTGAGAACCAAACCCCACCTACCCAAAGCGCGTCAAGCGACCAATTTATAGTCTTGTTGAATCTATATTATCGTTGAACGCTCAACGCGTTTACTTCCAGAATACTAAACCCAGAACATATGATGGATCCAGTTTACAGCCAGTCGCGTAGCCGATCCTCCTCTCACGCCAGCTCATCCGGCCAGTCCGTCATCCTCAACACCCCAAATGACCCGACGCCAGAGGAAAAAGTCCGGAGTAGAGAGCACGAGGAGTTGCTCTCCGATGGCTCTCCATTCAAAGCTCCACGATTACCAGAGATAGGCTACGAGTTACCTTACAACGAACTCCCCAGATCTGAAATCGACCGTCAACGTCAAATACCTCCCCACCATAATCTTGCTCACACTTACCATGCTGGAGTTGATCCAACCCTCCCGAAGCCGCCTTCCCCAAGCCTCGTCGTAAAATTCAAAAGGGCCACTCGCGTATTTTGGGCGTAAGTCGTCGCGCTTGAGTTGCTATCCACGAACACATCTAGGACTACGGCCAAGGCGCGTAGACCCTTAAGAATAAATTACTGATTGACATATTCATTCCTGTAGCGAATTTTTCGGAACCGCCGTCTTGGCCCTCTTCGGTAAGCACATTTGCGAGCCTCGCGACAGTACCATGTCGACTCATTTTGTGATCGGGATTGTATTGTAGGCACGGCTGTTAACAATCAAGTGGCACTTAGTAACTCTCCCCTGGTTTCTAATGCGCCTGCCGGAACCTACTTATCAGTATCTGTGAGTCATGAAAACACAATTTCGATATAAATTCACAGATGAATATGAACTGAGGTCGTTCACTTCTCCTTCGCTCCACAGTTCGGATGGGCACTCGCAGTGTGAGTTCAGGAATCAGTTTCAAGACATGACGGTCTATAGAACTCCTTTGCTCACATGAATATGGCCTCTCTGCAGGATGTTGGGAGTGTTTGTGTCGGGCGGAGTCAGCGGTGGACACGTGAGTTTCGCTTCACCCAACTTAATGGTAGTATCATGCTGATGAACAATTGAGCACCCAAAATAATCAATTCGGTATGTAGATCAACCCGGCCATCACACTCTCCATGGCTATCTTCAGGCGCTTGTAAGTGCACTCTCCAAGCAATCATGCAAGCACATTAACCAAATAAATGTTTCAATCTCCTAGCCCTTGGTACAAAGTGTGCGTAGCCCTACAATCTCACGTTTTGAAGCGCAAACTTCTCAGCTCGATCTCTCCTACCATACAGACCCGTTTACTGGCTCGCTCAAATCAGCGGTGCGGTGTTCGGTGCAGGGTAAGCAATTCTGCTGTTCCTCTTCGAAAATATGTTTTGCTCAGTGGTTGACTCAACTGATTTCTTTGCGCAGATTGACGTGTAAGCCTTCGTGAAGCACAGTGATGATACGATGTGATCTCACTAATTTAACGTCACCCTCATTCATTCATGGCAGACTGGAACTACTCTACCGCCATTAACCTCTATGAAGGGGGTACTGGAGCGAGGACCATCGAGAAAACGGGGGGCCTATTCTTTACCAGTAAGTGACTAGCTCTCTTGGCTTACTCCCTAGCCACTTCGCACTCGAGCTTTGTCAAACTGATTTCCACTTGGCTGCTTGGGTAACAGATCCGTTGAGTGATACAACCACACACATCCTTTGCTTTATGATCTTGCATCTATACTAACCGCCCTTACAAACCGACAGACTACCTTACACCACCAACTATCTCTGCTTCTACAACGAAGTGTTAATGACGGCGATCTTGATGATTTTCGTGTAAGTGATTTCGGATCAAATCTCCCCAACGAGCAAAGCAATTTGTCCGGGCAGCCAACCTTTTATGGTTCACGCCACACAGGGTAGCCGTAGGTGACGAGGGCAACACCGCCCCGCCCAAAAACCTGGGTCCTTTCGTGGTTTTCTGGGTCGTTTTTGGCCTCGCCTCGACGTTAGGCATGCAGGTAAGCTTCTACATCCGGGTCCACAGTACACGAAAACACTTACTGACTTTCGAATCCCCTGTCAGACTTCATTCGCATTGAACCCAGCACGGTTTGTGGATTTCGGGGCCAATGTTCAATATGTAGATGATGTATGACTGATCAGGTTTGATGACCGCCCCATTCTAGTGACTTGGGCCCCAGAATTGTCACTTGGCTCGCCGGTTATGGAGGTGGAGTATGGTCTGTTCGCTCAAGGTAAGGCATAATTCATCTTATTCAGTAAAACAACCAAAACTTACATCCGTTGTATCCATTCCCAGTTATTGGTTCTCTGTCGCTATCCTTGGACCAGTATTGTAAGTATGATCGCACCTAATCACCACATCATCTATCATTGACATCGTTTTTCTTTTTCTCAGCGGGGCCATTCTTGGCTGCTTTGTCTACGATTTCTTCATCGGTAAAGCTGCTTGTTGCTTTGGTTCTGATCTAATTTCCAACGGGAGTAAGGATTCCCGCAAGTCTAACCTTGTCCGTTCTGAACACAGCAACCGAGAGGGTCCCGGATTGTGCCATGCACCGAACCCGAGACATCCGTGCCCTGGTGAAGAAGTTTAGAGACATCACTCCCCTCAAGGACCCCGAACAAACCAACTTGACCAAATACGAGCGTCAGAGGCCCTCCCGAGACTTCCCTGCCGGACGTCGCCTTCCTACCACCCACGTGGATGAAACTAGCAGCGCCAGAACTACTTCCCATCGTTATAACAGCTTGACCCGCGGTTAAATTTCTTGAGAAACTCATGTTTGCTTGTAGATAGCAGAGAGTTACGCGATACCCTAAAGCCCTGTATTCTGTCAAGTGGATTCGTTCACTCTTCTCTATTGTTGTCCTACTATTTTTCATCCTAACTATTCAATGAAAGCTCTTGCAATTTTCTAGTGTCTCTTGTTATAACAACGGCCACAGTGCAGTTTTTTACGCTTGAGTCCATTACACACATGCTTCCCAACTCGCATCACGACAACATAACGCATTCCAAATGCAGCCTCCAATCCCCGTTGCATACAAGCATCCCCGAAATGAAAAACGCTTGTTCATCACTTTCGTTGATACCCTTAAACCTCCGACCGAATGAAGGGTAAAACGCAACAAATGTCAGCACGGAGGTCTTTATGTTTTAGCATGAGGTTATTGGTGTCAACCTCAAATTTGAGTGTCAACAGTGTCAACCCCAGCCTCGCAAACACCAACAAAAAAATGTGTAAAACAGAATAATTTAACAAGACAAACCCTTTAACGAGCTTGTTGTCTGTTGTATTTTATCTTGTTTTCCTCAAGAGACAACCATGCTCTGTGTTGATAAATCTGAAAAAATGACAATAGAATTTCATTCCGTTAAACACAAGAAAGGAGTAGTTTAAAAAGAGTTCAAAAAGGAAAGCGTTACGGCAATATGTAACTGCTTCCGACAAGCCGTTCCTGTTTGCATCAACGAATGGAAATATCTCCAACAGTTTTTCCTGCCAAAGAAAAGAACCCTATGCTTTGGCAAACAGCAGGGACGAACAAGTCAAGAGGGGATGGGCCCGATGAGCGACCATGTGTCACGTCCGGAAGTCTTCAGAACAATCAAGGAGTGCTAGAGTGGGCCGTGGGGTCCCAAGCAGTCTGCCCGCAGTGTGGTGGGGTTGGACCCTCTCTTTGAGTACAGACGCGTGACACGTCTTTCGAATGTGCTGACAACCTGACGCGCGTCGCGGCGGTCCTTACATACTACAAAGTCTTCCCAGAACACTCCCAACATCTTCAAAGGACTTCTAGAACACAACCACCTTCAATCCAGTCTTGATATCCGATACCATCTTAACACCGTTTCCCTTTAACCAACACATAACTCATCAGCCATATCATTCTCGAGATGTCTGACCGATCCCCCGAAGTCACCAAGTCGCAAGACGCCGTCCAAGCCACAGCCCCTCCGGGCAGTGCCGGCTCGATTCCCACCTTGAATGTTGAGCCTCTCCATCATCCCGAGGAAATGGCCCACGTCGAGGTTCCCCACAATGTCGAAAACATCCCTCACGGAACTACGGTCATGAACGGAAAGGCCCTCTTGGCCAAGAAGATGGCGGCCACAGGGTCAGTCACCCTCTTCTTCCTCTTCTCTCTCTCTCTTTGTCATGTACACCTCGTCGTTGGTTCCTTTTACTGATATCTCGCACTCCCCCCCTCCCCTCGGACTCGTTTAGAACTTCATTCTACTCTCCTTCCGACGCTCTTGTTTCTCCTTGTACTCAAAAACTGAGCTCTCAGAAGGGTAAACGTTGGGCAAACTCAAAGTAAGATTTTCTTCTCTTTCTTTATTCCGGCGATCCACGATCAACACTCTCAATAGCATTTAGAACTTGGGAGCTGCATGTTGATGGATGCTTGGTCGATTCGCAGAGTCAAGCCGATCGTGTTCGGAAAATCTAATCTAAACACCACGTCCAACTCGTTTCTTGATCCACATGACCCTGTGTCTACTGAAACGAATTCTACAGTGCGTCAAGATACCTCTTTGTTTGCTTGTTTCTCATCCACGTTTCATCACTAGTTGACACGAAACCTCTTTTGCTTAGGAACCGGCCAAAGATGGCGAGTCACACAACGACTAACTGGACAACCTGGGGCGATCGAAAAAGCTAACGACTGACTCGATCGCGCCTGTTCTCGATTTCTTATCCTTCTTGCGTCATCCAGAGCTTCCAAGAGTGTTGTATTCCTATCATATATCTGCTATATCAGACGGAGCGCGCCGATCGGGCCTTCACAACCCACTCGGTCTCGTCCATGTGCTTCAAACTCCGCTGGTCTCGAGCGACGGCTATCTTCCCATTCTTTTTTTTTTTTTTCTCAACTGCTTTGTTCTTGCTCGAGGATGTCTTCTTGACATCGTACATGGTTTGATCCTGTGCAGTGTTTACACCGTCATCAACCAAGCCGATCATCGGCTGACTTGACCCCAGCGGAAATAGAAAGAGAAGAAGAAAAAATAGTCTAAAATCTTGTACATTCTATATTTTTGTATTTACGCAATTCTAGGTCCTCCAATCCTTCCTCAGTCTATGATCATATAAACACACGCGACAGTTTCTTCATCTGGGTGTGACTCTTAAAGTGATAGGTCTGATCTAACGAGCCATGTCGTAGAATGGTTGACACCGGGTTTTTGATGACATGAATCAGCAGGCGTGAGCAACCTGCATGGGGCCCCTGAGTTTTAGAATAACGGCAATCCCCCATCCTACTCAGCTTTATTTGTGCAAACCAATGCGTTTTGATCAACCAAAGCCCTAGGTCGCCTGGGGAACATGTTGACCCAATTCAAGTAAAACTTACTGCGCGAAAGTACGTATCGCCCGAGATTTGCACCGGTGTATTCTTAAGGCAGCTAGTCTAGACTCTGACCTGTTCAAGATGTTGGCTTGTTTCTCAGTGCATGGGTTTTTGCAATCACAATGGTGGTTGGTAATATTTTCTTTGTCTGATAAAAGCTCTCAAATTAGAGAGTACAAAATTTAGAATGTCTATTGATTAAGATGCATGATGGAAGTTCGAGTCATGGATGTCGTGGGCCCTTCTGTGAAGCAAGTTTTCGAAACAATCTAACATTTCTCGCCATTGCCACTGTCTAACAACACGGAGATGGGTTGGAAGTTGCCGATGGTCGCATTGGTTGGCTGAAATTCACGCAGATGAGACAGAAGTCAGGAAGATGACAGCCACTCCAACATCAGTATAGCGGCTTCCACTCACTTTGCCCTGACATTTGTCGATGCCTTGATGCATGGCGGTCAACGCGTCTCCACGGACACTGATCACCAAAAAAGCAAACATTGGATAAGTCTACACACACCTTGCCCGCTAGCTAACTAAGAAACAAAAAAACTCACGCAGCGTGGTGTACTGAGTTGGGTATGCTCGGTTTAGTGATGGCCAACTATTTCGGAAAAAGTCGGAATCAATGACCGGCTTGATTGAAAAGAAAAACATGCTGTGCACTAGTCCTTGGCTTACCTTGCATGTTCCACAAGAATGGGAATCAACCTTGTCAGTCCAGAAAACGACGTTGCTCTCAGAGGAGAATTTGGATAAGGCCCTAAAGAATAAACAAAACGGGATGAATATGGAGATACCCCAGCAAAAAAAAAAAAGGATCATCCGTCAAAAAAGACCCACTTTTTGCAGTCGTCTCTGGTGATCAGAGGGCCTGAAGCAGGCGCACATAAGATCGACGATGGCAATAATTGCGCTTGGATGATGGCGAGCGTGGCGGCTAAGCAGAGTAACACATAGACCGAGAAAGCCATTGTCGTCTGGTGATGCTTGGAAGTTGGCTGAAAGATGCTACGATTGGATGGTGTTAAATGGGACGGCGGGATTTGTTGGGGGACGGAAAGAACGGGACAAATGGATGAAGAAGACCTGGCCCTTTTTATGCTCTGGATGCAATTAGAAAAGCTCAGTCCAAGCAGGCACCCACACCAGCATCGCCTTGACAGGCTCTTTTAGCCCCGCACAATCAGCAGTGAATGGACCGCACTACATATACGGTGCAACATCTGTGAGAACTTGGATCTCCATTTGCAACTGCGTGTCCTTGACGCTATGCGAGTCTGCGTCCAGTTGCATCCCCCCGATCCCACATGAGGGTCCTGCGGAATGCGCCGGGCGGCGAGGGGCGCTAATATGGTTTGTCAGATCAGCAGCTGACTCTCAACTCTCATTGAAGCAAATGGATGTGGGGGCTGTGTGAGGTCTTGGGCAGCCGGGAATCCGTCCGGGCGCTGTACTTAATTGTGATCAAACCCAAGCGCTGGTGGTGAGGCATTGCCACTGTCGACCACTTGATGAGGACATCACATGAGTCTATGAATGATAACACAGACACCAGGTGTCCAATTCCAAAGCCTCCAGCAAACCAACATATTTATGGTTTTGTTATTTCCCTTCAAGTAATTGCCACCCAGAAGACCCCTTATAGACAATAGTCACCAAAAAAACCTGGATGTTGCAAAAAAATTGTACATTGGAGGCCATGGGGGATTGACACTTTTGAGACCATTCATACACGTTTTGTGTGTAGTTGTACCCTTTGGGGAAAATCTACCCCAAAAACTGTGGGGACTAGCTGGCATTTTGCCAGGCTTTGCTCAACACCAGGCCAATTTTCATACATCCAAACCCAGGTTTGGTGATCAGTATCATTTTGGGTGCCCAGCGCAACTGGCAACACTTTTGTGTGTATGATTTCAGGGTTTTTGCCAAAAAAAAATCGTGCATTTTTGTTACAGTGGTCTATTGGGGGCTTCCTGGCTCCTGAATCCTTGCCATCCACACCACAAATTTCAAAAATTTCTTACCAAAGTTGGTCCTACCTTGCACCAATGGTGGGCCACTACCTTAACAGGTATTGGTAAAGTATTGGAAATTAACAAAGAATTGTTTTCAATGTTATTGTTTTTGAAATCTTGCTTTTTTTTGATAACAATGAGATCAGAGACTCAAAAAAGCTCTCAATGACAACATTGTTAATACAGCCTGTATCAGGATGTAAAGAATTGTGATTTATTGAAAATTTGATAATATTAAAAACAACAAAAAGAAAGGGAAAAATAGGCTGATGTGTTCAAAAGGGCCAAAATATTGCATTGTAACACATCAGCCCACTTGAGGTTGCACAAACGCAGGACTGTTGGAAATAATCCTGAGGGCCTTCTCCACAGGGAGTCTTTATTAAAGATTATTCCACAACCCAAAAAATATTGTCCCACTGTGTTTTTTAAACTGATGAGAGTTGCCTTGTGCCAGATTCTGACTAGAAGAATTCAAATTGCTTCACACCGTTGACTATTGTAAAGGGTGTCCCTTTTGAAGAGGGTTTCACAGGGAGGGCTGCTTGTGAAGACGATGCTGCATGAATGGGTTGGCAATTTTCTTCCACATGTATTTTGCTAGTGTTGTGTTTGCAGCCTTCCGGACTATTAAGTGGACATTGCTTGTTCTTGACAGATATCAACTGGCATTCCTCATTGGTGCATAGGTAGTACTTCTTTGAACGCTCAAAGGTACATGTCTCAGTTTCTGACAGCTTTTCACCACAAGGTGCTTTTGGATGAAGGCCAATTCTCCAGATCTCATGTGCAATAATCCCACATTTAGCACATGGTATGTTGCTTGCCAGGCCATTGGGGATGAGTGCCATATAGATGACAAAGAGCATGATGATGAATATCATTGCAGGGGTAAATCACACACTGATGAGTTGTTGGACGTGGGAATTGAACTGGTGCTGATGCTCTTGGGTTGAAATTTAATTGAACAGAAATGGATGTACTTCAGCCGCTAGACTACAGCAAGGGTCAGCATGAATAGTGCCTAATTGACTGTACTTATACTGGGAAATTAAACAAAAGCTGAATATCAAACAAAAAAACCAAGGGTTGAATAATCACTCCCAAGGATCAATCAAACAGTGACCCAACAAAAAAGCATGTATCTTTTCTACAAATACTCAACTGAATTTTCAAGCTTGTCATTCCTAGTGGTCTAGGTTATTAGTGTAACAGGGAAATGGGGCCCTGTGGTTTCAAAGCTCTGAGTAAGCTCAGTTTTCATGAGTCCTTTGGGATGCAATGGAAGCATAGCTATCCAATCAGTGGGCACAATAAAAGAAACTTTACTTTGATTAATCAAACCCCTCCTACACAACCAAACATTGAGCAACAATCATGTATTCCAAAGGTGAAAATGCAACATATCACTGCCTGGATCAATTGCTCAGACAAGCCGGTTGGATGAGTCCTCCAATTGGCCCGTCTGAGCAGTTCTAGATCCAACTTGGCCATCCAACAAGATGTTTGACTTTCCTGTTTGAGTGTTTCATAGGTGGGAATATCTGCTTGGACAGGCAAGTCTGATATCTTGTCCGACGGCCAAGCCCAAGAACTGCTTGGACAGGCCGGTCCAACAAGTCCTTGCACCAGCTTGTCTAAGCAATTATTTTAGGCAGTGTATTGATCCAAGCTGTCATAGGTTCATCTCTTTCCAAGGGTTACATTTAGTGGCATTTTTCCTCTTGGAATTAATTTATGAGAAACCACTTAATATATGGGCAAAGATTTCAAATTAAAATAAACATATATTAATGGTAAGTTTCATGGAAGTTGTTCAGTTTGACCATGAAGCATTAAAATTTCTTTGTCTTCAGAGAGGCTGCACTGCCTGAATTATCCAATAGGAAAGGCAAGTCCAACAAGAGGTTTGATACTGTTTGTCTGGTCAATATGCAAGTGGATTGGGAATTCAGGATCCTGTTGAATTTTAAGCTAAAAGGCCAAAGAAAAACTTTTTTGATTCTAGCTGAGAGGGCTAAAGTGCTTGCAGCTTGGGTGAAGAAGGGCTAATGGGCTCCTTCAGGAACGGACCATAAAAAGGTAAAGGACCAATAAATTTTATTTTTAAGCAGCAGTTAATAGGACTTGAGTATTGTAACTACAAGAGGTTCAAGTTGTGGGTCTCAGAACACATAGCATAAAAAAGAAAAGACAATGGTCGGTGAATAAGTGAGTGACAGGTGAATGACAGGAAAGAAGAGAGAGATGAGCGAAATTTCAACAGATCCAAGTGGATTGGGAAGTCAGAATATGTCAGCCACAGAGTACCTCTCACAGTACATGAAATGTACCTAGTAACTGCAAATAATAACAACTAATTGAATACAAGAAAATATTATACATTGTTGTTAAAGGGCATTAATAAAAAAAACACGGTTTTTCCGCGTTTTGACACGGTTTCTGCTGTGTGCAGCACATGCGGATTCCGCGTTTAGACGCGGTTTTTTAATTAATTTTTTTTACCTTTTATTTTATGTTTTTTTTTTTTAAATTGTTTCCTACATGAAAAAACGTGGAGAATTTAATGGTCAAGTCCAATTTCTCATAAAAATGACTTTTGATTATCAATTTTTTTTTTCCATTGAAATCGAAATCCTATTCCTTTGCCATGTGTTGCCAAAAGGGTAAAGCCAAATATTTGAGGATATAATGAGTTAGGTCCAGGAGAGGAGACAGAACGACATGGGGTTAGGGAAGATAAGGGTGAAGGTCCGAGCAGGGCCAGTAGAATTTTGACAGGCATAGAATCCAAAGAAGAGGTGCACCTCTGGCTTTGGTGCTGGACCAAAAAGGGAAGGGAAAAAGGAACTGAAGTTTCCCCGGGAGTTAAATGAAGACCCAACGGCACAGGGGCAGTTTGAAGTTGCCAGATCAGAGGCAATCACTTTAGGTTTTGCCTTTTGAAGCGTAATACAAGTGAATCAGTTGCATTTTGAATCCAGTATTTAACCGATATTTAGCTTGGGGCTATGATTTCAAGTTAGGCAGCTAAAACAAAGGGATAATTGTTATACTTGGTGATGAAGTTTAAACAGATCACATTAACCCTAATAACATCATGAGGCCCTTTATGCGTTAATGGGTTTCAATTGAGATTTATTGTGGCGGCAAAGCCGCCATTAATTAGACTCTAGTCCTATATAAGGGGCATAACTTACAAAATCTCCAAAGCCCAGTTTATCTAGGGTTTGTCAACCACTTTTGGAAAAGGTTCTGATTCTTCAGAAAGCCTAATCGGTGCACAAGTTGTCAAAGTTCTCGAATTTTGTTGATCAGGACCTTACAAAAATTGGCTATATAAAAACTTCATCTAAATTTCTATCCTGAACCCCCCTATTACTATCGGTGTCAAAGACTTAAGGCCTTATATTTTTTTTGGGGGGGATGGACAGAAAGTCAAGAAACCACTATAATTCATGAGGCTCCGATTGGCCGCCCAAGATTATTGTATATTGGTATCGGAGAATGTTGCAGATTGTGCCGGGGGGGCGGTTATAAGGATGGTGAGAAGGGTGTTTGTAACAGCTCGTTGATCACGGAATACACACTTTCCGATGAGAGGATTCGTTCTCTGAAGCATGAGGCTTTGTGTAGATGAGCCAATCATCTTCTCATATGCACAAGAGAGCAATTTGTGAGCTCGGGATCAGATGGGAGTTGCATTTATAAAGTAATCGGTCTCGGCCAGTTCATCCGAAAAAGGGTCCCCAGATTGAAGATTCTCAAGGTTGTTGTCTCTTGTCAGAGTGACGGCTTTAAGGAGAGTGCTTGTCTGTGCATGTACTTGAGGTTGGGTTTTGATCAAACAGATTTTGGTCAGTATTAGTGGCGTGACGACTGAAAACTTCTTCTTAATCCACTTCCCCCCCCCCCTTTCATTCCTTTCCATTCCCACTTTCCTTCCAAGACCAACCACAAACTCAAGAAAAACCAACAACAACAACAAAAACCAACAATGTCCGATTGCGTATCCTGTAATACTGCCCCACCACCCTGCAACTGCTCAGCCGATCAGACCTGCGTCCAGACACCCAGGAACTGCTCAACCTGTCCACGGAACATCTGCATCAGCTCATCCGGAGACTCCTCGGGCTCATCCCACCACTCAAGCTCAGCCGGACTAGGAGCACCCATCGGAGGCGCAATCGGAGGACTCGCTGCCGGACTCTTAATCATCCTGAGCGCGTGGATACTCTACAAGCGCAACCTACTCCCACCCTGCTTCAACTCCATCTTCGAATCTACCTCAACCAAATCATTCTCCAAAAAGCATCCTCACCATCGAAACAACCGATTCAAATCCAAATCCAACAATAACAATAGCAACAACAACAACAACCATCATCATCATCATCTCAAATCTCAAAACGAACCACACCACCAATCTGTCATCTATCTACCAACTGATACCAGGGACCCCAAGACTGCCTCAATAATCGAATCAGATGGTACATCCATTCTCTCTCTTTTACCATCATCAAACAAAAAAAAAGTACTAACAACCTACCAACAAACAGATGACCCATTCTCTGATAAACACAGCGGAGTTTCGATCATCGGCGCCCAACACAAGCAGAATCAAACAACCAATCCCACCCTCGAACTCCTATCCTCACCCACCCATCCCAGCTCAGCCTCAGCATACAGTCCATCCAGGACACACTCGATTTCCGGACCAGAAGACCGGAACATATCCATCACAGCCGATTTCCATCCCCCATCCAACCTCCCCAGCCCAGCCGAACAAGCCAACCCAACCCTACTCGTCTCCCATCCCAACTCACGCTCCTCCTTCCTCCCTCCCAGTCTGCCCTCACCCACCCATTCGAATGCGATCCAACACAGACCAGTCCGGCCACATCGAGCCCCTGACCTCGACCTACGACTGCCCGGTGCAGCTGCAGCCGGGGAGACCGAGGAACCCAAGCCGTCGGCTTCAGCAGACGAGGGACCGTCATTGGGCTCACATCTTTCACCAGACCCGAACTCGCGCAGTATCCGCCGTCTCTCCGGCTCCTCAGACGCTACCACACACGATAGCCATCTCAGTAGCATCCTCGACCCGGCAATGATTGTCACCCCGGTCACGCTCGTTCGGACCGCCTCGGGACGCCAGGCGGCTGTTCAACGGGTTGCCCTGCGTGGTCAGGAGAAGGCTAGAGTCGTCCGACTTCCCCCGAGTGCCCATCCGCACGGCCCCTCGCCCCTCTCAATCTCCGGAGCTAATACCACCCGCTCACCACCAGCCAACGTCCGGGAGACCTTTGGCCTTTCGCCGACGACCCCAGGGATCGGCCGAGCCTATGATCCCGAGGAGCGAATACACTCTGGTCAGCACTCTCCTCTCTCCAACCACCAAGCCTTTGAGTTTGAAAGCAGGAGCGGGTCTACCGAACTGAGAGCGAGTCTTGACCCGTTTTCAGATCTCTCGACACTCCAAGTCCAGACGCAGGAGGAGGAGCGGGAGCGAGAAGAAGAAGATAGTGGCGGAGGAGGAGGAGGAGGAGGAGGAGGAGAAGGAGATGAAGGACGAGAAGGGCTTGGCCGGTTACCGGGCGAGTCTTCGACTTCGAGGAAGAGCTCAAACCTGCGCAGGGCACGCTCGACGGCCTACTCGATCGCCAGCTCAAGCTTCGGAGGCAGCAGCGTCTGCGACAGCTTCATCGAAGACGAGGAGGTCGAGTTCCCCACCGTCCTAGGTCGTTCTGCCGCCACCCTCGCCCAACGCATCCTCCAACAACAACACGACCAACACTCCCAAGCGCATCACCAACCCACTTCTCACCATCATGTCAATCTCAAAGCTCTAGGGCGCGATCGGGCTATCTCTCTCTCCTCGATCATCACCGAAGAAGCTCATCGGACTTCCCGCGACGGCTCGCCTCCCCCACTTCCCTCTTTGCCCACCGGCGCAGGAGGAGGATCAGGAACAACAGGAGGGGGCACCAAGAATCTGCCGGAACCGTTCAAGCCGTTTGCGGGCCAAAAGCCGAGTCGTTCGAGCCGGCCGACGGAGCCGTCCCACTCGAGTCTCTTAGTCGGAGGGGGAGGAGGCTGGTCGAGCTCCTCGTGTTCGGAGCACACCAACAGCATGGTCCGACTCTCGTCGGCCTCGTCGGTCCGCTCGGGATACGGCTCGGTGCTCGAAGGGATCCCGTTCAACATCGGGTTCTGTTCCGACCCCGACGGCCTCTTCATCGACTCTTCCTCCTCCTCCTCCTCCGTCCACCACCACCATCATCATCAACAACACCCGCAACTGTCGCTGGGGCCGTTGCCCAATACGCCCTCCGATCTTACTCTCGGTACCGACATCCCCGGCCGGCCACTCTCGCTCGATATCCTGCCCCCGCTCCCCCTCGCCGGCCCCGCGCCCGACGAAATCGACGGCTTGCCCCCCGGCCCCCAAGACCACCATCTCGACCTCGACCCCGCCCTCGATCACTTCCTCAGGCCCTCATCTAACCTCGCCCCCGTCACCCCCACCGTCATCTTCCATCCTCTCCATTCTTCCTCGTCTCCTTCTCCTTCCTCCGACCTCCCCCCGCTTCCTCTTCTTCCTACTACAACTTCGGCCTCCTCCTCTTCATCTTCTCCTGCTACTACTTTAACTCCCTCTATTCCTCCCGTCGTCTCTCATCCTCCTCCGCCTTCTGATTCTTCTTCTTCTGGCATTATTCACTCCGGCGATATCTCGGACTCGCTGCCCTCATCCGTCGCTTCTCCTGTTGCTGCTCATACCGACACTCATCAACTTATCGTCATCGACTCGGATACTAGAGCCGCGTTGGATTACTTGGACCAACTCTAACTTCTCACGATTCTCTCCCTTTTTTTCGTCATCTTGCGCGGCAATGGCCCTGCGTTTTTCTTTCTTTGTTTTTTTTGGATTGGAAGGCATGGATTTGGTGGCGAGTTGAATGGTCCTTCTTGGTCGCCCTCTCTTTTCTTACTCTTCTTCTTTGCTTTTTTTTGTGGATTTGAGTGGGTGGGTTTACTTTTTTCTTTCTTTTTTTTTTGGTTCTCTTTCTTTCTTTCATTTCTTTTTTTTTTTTTTTTTTTGATTGTTGTTGGAATTTTAGGATTTCAGGATTTCAGGATTTTAGGATTTTAGGATTTTAGGATTTTCCAGAGGTTCAGAGGCCCAGAGGCTCAGAGGCTCAGAGGTTCAGAGGTTCAGAGGTTCAGAGGTTCAGAGTGTCAGAGGTTCAGAGTGTCAGAGTGTCAGAGTGTCAGAGTGTCAGAGTTTCAGAATGTTTGAATTTTAGAATGTTTCAGGATTTCAGGATTTTAGAATTTCAGATGGGGGGGGGAGACCTTAATTTTGTGCTCTTTTTAAGTTGTTCTTTAATGGTGATGAGAATGATGAGTGTTGTTATTGTTGTTAGTTGTTGTAATTATCAAGTTGACACACACTCACCCAAGAAAAGAACCTTTTTTTTGTGGGGGGAGGGGGGGGGGGCTCTTGGTTGGAGGTCAGTGGTCTTGGGCCGCTTGCCATTTTCAATGAACAAGAACCCCCCCCCCCAAAAAAAACAACAACAGATAAAACAAAACAAAACAAAACAAAGCTCAGAAGATGAGACTTTCTTGGTGAGGGAAAGTACAAAGACAGTTGAGGTGGGGATCCACTTTCACATATATTCTTATTGCTCTTGGGGCTCATTTTCCTGGACTATGTAGTGTGCTTCCATTGATTGGGTATGGTGGTGGGTCTGAATTTCCACCTGCAAAAAAAAGGCAGAAAACCGGTGATGGAGATGAACTAACTGCGCTTTTCAAGGTCAGGGGATCCATCAAGGGGTGGGAATCAACCGTCTGGAATAGAGATCTCACTTCATACCCGGGTGCCTAGAGCGGGTGCAGGCACCTGCCTCAAGAATCTGATCTTGTGGACACCGCCTGCACCTGCCAGGGCAGGTACCTGCAGGCGTTGAGGTTTTTTTTTCCCTTTTCGGGAAAATTATACATCCACAAATCTCAGCCTTGTATTGCTGCAGCCTTGTAAGTAAATCTCAGAAGTGCTTGAAATATTGTTTGATTTCAAAAGACTCATGCGGACTTGCAAGTGTGCAGTTTTTGTCTACTGAGAAGCTGTGCCGGTGTAGCAACAAGGTTGCGATTTTGAAGCTTGCATTTAGCACCCAGAAGGTTATTCTAAAATTTCAATCACTTGTCAACCCCACCAAAAGAGATAAAGTTTGGGCAATGCTGAGGTTTGGTAATTATTCAAATTAAAGAAATCACATGTTTTGGAGGAATGAGTGTAGGAAATGAATTTGCAAAAAGAAACACCTGACAAATTTTGAGTACCATTTGATATATCTCATCCCCCCCCCAAAAAAAAGGGTATTTTATGAGCAAATATATATTGGGAAAAGGGTTGCTTTCAAATTTAGCTAATTTTTGGATGCTTTTTCAGATCTTGATCAAGGTATCTTTTTGTCACTTTCCTATGGTTAACTAAGGGGGCTTGTCCTGTTGTCCTGATCAACCATTCCTTGCAGGGATCATAATGTCCCCACTTTCAATTAAAAAAACACCACATCTTTTTTTCAGGCATCCATTTATACTCATGCTTTATTGTGCCTTTTTTTAATTTCATGATAAGATGATTTTGAGGTCTGAAGAATCAACAATATTTAAAGCAGAAAAAAATTAGAAAAAGAAGTTTGTCTCTTGTTAATGTTCATGAATCCATCTGAGGCTTTTTGTATTGATAAAATGGAAACATTGTCAATAGTTGACCTTGATCACAGAGGCAGATATTTCACTCACATTCCCTTGAAACTTATTCCATCTCGAGTGTGTTGTAGGTAGTCACTTGTCCCTCAAAGGAGCTGGAGGAATCAAGGTTGTCAGTTGAGTATCACAGATGGCCTCCGTGACAGGCTCGGTGGAGTCAAAGACGCGCCTGTCGAATGACGCGTGACAGGATCGAGACGCGGAGAAACATCACCCGAAGGATACATACCTCGTCGATATATTTAGGACAAGCCGTATTTACTTCCCAAAGATTCACGATGGACTCAGGCCAGTCGAAGAAACGGAAGTCGATGGCCAACGGACCCGACCAGACGGCCTCCCGGACCCGCGTCAGAGTCGAGGAGAATGGCAGTACCAAGGACGAGCCTGTGGATGATGCCCTGCTTGCCATCCCTCTGGATGCTCATGGATGTGAGTAATTATTCAGGGAAAAGCTTTCAGCTGGACAGGCCGTTGGACTGATACTTTTTCTCCCTCCCAACAGCTCTGGAATACGGCTCCAACTGGGCCCGGCCTACGTTGAGTCCAATCAACCCCCAAAACACTGCGATCAGTAAGTCCCTCAACTCGATCGAGTAGCTTGATCCGCATAGGGTCGTCCTAGATTATCAGAACCATATTGATGTGGGGTGTCGGCAGTTTTTCAACAGATCGATATCGACGAGCAATCCCAGAGCAATGTCCCTCGGCTCCGAATCTTCGGCGTCACCGAAGCAGGCCACTCAGTCCTCGTCCACATCCAAGACTTCTTGCCTTATTTCTGGGTCCCAGCTCCGAAAGGGTTCCAGAACACTGACTGTCGGGAATTGCTGACCACATTAAACGTACGCCCGCTCAACTCCTGCTCTCGATAATCGTCTATCTCATTGTCCTCCGAAATCTTCCTTCATTCTCCAGTCCGCCCTCTCGCTCGGTGTCAAGCCTGTCCATAGTCTCTCAGTGGCTTACAAGACCTCCCTGTGGGGATACACTGGGGACACCCAGTCTCCGTTCTTGAAGATCGTCCTGACAGACTTCAAACATCTTGGTCGGGTCAAAAGTAAGCCAACTTTTTTCTTATCAATTTCGTTTCTTGCCCGAATCAGCTCCATCTTCTCATTCCTCAAACTGTTCTTTTCCAGATGCTTTCGAAAGAGGAGAAGTCAACTTCCGCGAGATGTTTACGGCCTGTACCACCTTCGAAAGCAATATTGCATACACCCTACGCTTCATGATTGACAAGAAGGTAGCTTGAGATGGGCCATTCATATCACCCGCCAATCCATACTGATCGATCTTCCCTTTCAGGTCACCGGTATGAACTGGCTGGAGGTTCCGCCGGGCTCGTACAGGCTTCGAACGGAGCTCGAGAAAGCGTCAAATTGTCAAATCGAACTAGAGACATCGTACACCCCCACCAATCTGCTCATTCTGTTCGACCTTGTCCGGGTGAAGCTGACACATGACCCACCGCAACCTCGTTGTTTTTAGAGCCGAGACATTGATTTCACATGCTCCTGAGGGCGAATGGTCCAAGATGGCGCCCTTCAGAGTGCTCAGCTACGATATTGAGTGTTCAGGACGGAAGGGAGTCTTCCCAGATGCCCGGCTAGACCCGGTGATCCAGATTGCCAACATGGTCACCGCCCATGGTCTGTCGACCACCCCTACTGCATCATTTGGTTTCCAGCCGTTGATCTCATCTCCTTCTTTCCATCTTGCAGGTTCCACGGTCCCTTTCATTCGGAACGTCTTCACCCTCAATACTTGCTCCCATATCGCAGGCAGTCAGGTCTTGGAATTCAAATCAGAAGATCAGCTTTTGGCTAAATGGCAAGCGTTTGTCGCCGAGTGTGATCCCGACCTCGTCATAGGTTATAACACTAGCAACTTTGATATGCCTTATCTCCTCGATCGCGCCAAGGCATTGAAAGTCGCATCATTCCCTTATCTCGGTAGGATGCGAAGTAAGCTACTCCACCCCAATTTGTCTTTCTCTTGAACGAATGTGAACAGAGTTGCATGGTTGACCTTTGTATGTGTGTGAAAATTTGATCAGATTCTCAAACAGCAGTCAAGGAGACTCACTTTTCATCAAAAGCCTATGGGACTCGTGATTCCAAAGAAACACATCTAGACGGACGTCTCCAACTGGACTTACTACAGGTCATGCAGAGAGACTACAAGCTAAGAAGTTATACATTGAATTCCGTGTGTGCTCACTTCCTAGGTGGGTGATCATCCTTTGTCAAGTGTATCTCGTGAAACCAATCTGCTGACTCACTCGATGGTCAATGTGCAGGTGAGCAGAAAGAGGACGTTCATCATTCGATCATTACCGACTTACAAAATGGCAGTGCGGAGACCAGGCGACGTCTCGCCGTATATTGTTTGAAGGTTTATTTTTGAATCTACATCCTCAGACATGCTCCAAACTGAGATTTTCTGGTCGCGGGTTTCTTTGTTCAGGACGCTTATTTGCCTCAGCGTCTGATGGACAAACTGATGTGCTTTGTCAATTATACCGAAATGGCCCGAGTAACGGGGGTTCCATTCAACTACCTGTTATCTCGAGGCCAGCAGATCAAGGTGGTTTCCCAGCTCTATCGAAGGGCCAACGAGCATTCTTATCTCGTGCCTGCGCTCAAGCATGAAGGCTCCGATGAGCCTTACGACGGAGCAACGGTCATGGAGCCTGTCCGGGGCTTCTACGACGTGCCGATCGCAACTCTCGATTTTGCATCCCTCTATCCATCGATCATGATGGCCCACAACCTCTGCTACACCACTTTGACAGACGCTAAAACGGTCAAGCTGTTAGAACTACGACAAGATGAGGATTTCATCATCACCCCCAACGGAGGTAAGTTGTCGTCAGGCTTTTCCGCATTCACTGCCTGAACTCTCAGCCGATTGAAACTTGTGTTGGTCTCGATCGTTTGTTAGATTATTTTGTCAAGGCATCCAAGCGGAAAGGTCTTCTGGCGATCGTCCTTGAAGACCTTCTGTCGGCCCGGAAGCGCGCAAGGGCCGAGTTGAAGCTGGAGACGGACCCGTTCAAGAGGGCCGTCTTGGATGGACGACAGCTAGCGCTGAAAATCAGTGCTAACTCAGTCTATGGGTTCACTGGAGCGACGGTGGGCAAGTTACCATGTCTACCAATCTCGATGAGTGTCACTGCTTTTGGCAGGGAGATGATCAAGATCACTAAAAACGTTGGTCAATGATTCTCCAGTGGTTCTCGTTTCTTGAACATGCTTGATAATCTTGAGTCCTTGTTTGTGTGATGGTTATCATTTTTCAGGAGGTTGAGTTGAAGTACACAAAGGCCAATGGATATGATGATGATGCTGAAGTAATCTACGGAGATACCGACTCAGTCATGGTCAAGTTCGGCTGTTCTGATCTGGCCACTTCAATGAAATTAGGCATGCAACTTTCCTCAATCAGCGTTTGACCTTCGGCTGATGTTCCTGGGCTGACTGTAATGGGTTGACACAGGTGCTGAGGCTGCGGATTTTGTGAGCGCCAAGTTCCAGAAACCAATCAAGCTGGAGTTCGAAAAAGTATATTTCCCGTACCTCCTTATCAGTAAGAAGCGATACGCAGGCTTGCATTGGACAAAGCTCGAGAAACACGACAAGATGGATGCAAAAGGAATCGAGGTGAGCGGTACTGATTCTTCTAGTTAAACTAATAGGGATTGATTCTGACGGCGTCCTTTCTCTTCTGATGACCCGAACCAGACCGTGCGACGGGACAATTGTCCGTTGGTCTCGACGGTCATCGAGACTTGCTTGAAGAAGATGCTGATCGACCGGGACGTCAAGGGGGCGGAGGCATACACCAAGCAGGTCATCTCCGACCTCCTCCAGAACCGGATCGATCTCTCCCAACTAGTGATCACCAAGGCCCTGGCTAAGGCCGACTACGCCGCCAAACAGGCTCACGTCGAGCTGGCCAAACGGATGAAAAAACGGGATGCTGGCAGTGCGCCTGCGCTTGGGGATCGTGTTGCCTACGTGATCATCAAAGGCACCAAAGGTTAGTCACACACACACACAAATCACCATTATTTTAATCAGCTCCCATGGACTGACATTCATCGGAAAGGATGCAGATGCTCGGGCCTATGAGAAATCAGAGGATCCTCTGTACGTGCTTGAGAACAACATCCCGATCGACACGAAGTACTATCTCGACAACCAACTCTCGAAGCCGTTGATGCGGATCTTCGAGCCCATCCTCGGCGAGAAGTCCTCCTCACTCCGTAAGCGCACCATCTAGGGTGCACCTTTTTTTTTCAGAGCTGAAGTGCTTGGCCTTCTTTAGTTGCTGGAGACCATACCCGGATCGTCTCGATTGCCACACCCACTCAAGGCGGCTTGATGGGCTTCATCAAACGCACCGAGACCTGTCTGGGCTGTCGAGTGCCGTTGGGCAAGACGACCAAAGATACCAGTAGGACATATCCTGCCTTCTCCCCTCACCCATCAAAACTCATCCGTCCGCTTTCAACTCATTTGGATTGATTTCATCTTCAATCCTCATCTCAGACACCGCCGTTTGCAAGAACTGTAGACCGAAGACTGCCGCTTTGTATTCCAAACAGATGGCTCTCACGCAAGGGTTTGAAAACGCATTTGCGAGATTATGGACTCAATGTCAAGTCAGTACATCCTCCCTTCCTCGCCTCCCTCCTCTGACTCTCTCCACACAAACCATACTCACCTGATCATGATTTTCTTTTTTGTGGGGTTTGCAATGATACCCAAATTAACAGAGATGTCAAGGCTCGTTACATCAGGAAGTTATCTGCACCGCAAGCGATTGTCCGATCTTTTACATGCGCACTAAGAGTCGTAAAGACGTCGAGGACTCTTATGCCGTCCTTCAACGCTTCGATGGGGCTTGGTAGCCGTTCTGTTGTGTACCTCCAAGCTCTCCCTTTCGTCTTGTTGTATTCTTACTGGACTTTATAGCCTCAAACTCCTTTGCACAGAAGAGCCGTGTCCGAAAAAAATAGGAGAGGTGGTCAGACTGACCCTTGAACCTTCGTTCTTCTTTCTCTTGAACTTCATGCACGTTTTGTACTTGGTACTCTTAATTTACAAAGATTAGGGGATAAACTTTAATTGTAGATTCTTATATTTTAGGAAAATTCAAACTATGGAAAATAAGGAGCAAGTAGTAGTCAAATTTTAGATAAATTATAGAGAAGAGTCAGGATAGTTGCGCTAGACGTAAAAGCTAAGATTCATGATCCAAGCCCAAAGGGCGACGAGGAGGAGACTAAGGACGGCATGGGAGAGATGCATGCGGACGACGGCGTAGATCCACAGAGCGCCAAGCGGGGGGACGCGACGCATGACGAGGAGGTAGGAGAGTCGGTTCATGATGTAGACCATGTACGAGCCGCCGATGGTCGAGAGGCCGAAGAGGAGCAGGTTCGCTAGCACTTGTTCGTGGTAATGTAGGCTGTAATGGATCAGGAAGAGCGCACTGGGGTAGACGTTGGCCATCCTGCCTAGCTCGCTCCTGATGGTCACCGGTTGGCCATATTGGGCATGGATCGCCACGTCCCTTCGTCGTTCCATGTGGATCATTCATCGGCTCCATCAGCTCTCCGGATCTCTCTTCTAGCAGCGATCATAACCCCCACTCCGATTGTATTTTTTTTTGGTCTCGAACGGGATACTCACAGACAGACAAAGACCGTCATGAACGGGATCGACCAAAGGAAGGTGTCGAAAGCCCGGTCGACCCAGAGGGGCAAGGAGTCTTGCTGGTCGTTGGTAGACGGCCGGTCGCGGCTGGGGTTGCGGACGGTTTCTTGGTCGTCCTCGTCGTCCTGCAGCTCTTCCTCATGCTCGTGGGAGGGATGGGGGTTGTTGATCGTTGGGGTTTTGAGGCTCTTAGCGAAGCTGTCGAGTTCGAGGGTTGAGAACTGGACCAGGGGGGCCGGTTTGGCCGCCCGACGCTGGGGCTCTTCCGGCCGACGCCGAGGGATCCGGGCGAGGATCCCGGTCTGCTCGATGATCTGCATCTGGGCCTCCGCCGACAGCTCCATCGGACTCGGCCCGTCGCTTCCGCCACCCAAGTCCTCCTCCGTCGCCCTCGTCGTCTGAACCCGCGATCGCTCTCTCGCCCCGCTGGCCGTCGCCACACCCGCCTTCCTCGTCGTCATTCGTCCTATCGGCCAGTCTTGTGTCGTCGTGGTCCTCAGGAACTCGGCTCCTGTCAAGGCACATGCTCGGGTGCGGTGCTCCTGGTGGGCTGCTCGAGGTCTGTGTGGTCGGTTTATGCAAAATCGATGGGCTCAACTGCGGCCACTCGATCAGTTTTTGGCGCTTCATCATACATACATCACAATCACATCCTACTATTGATAAACCAAGACAACAACATAAAACACATATCTGTGCGTTCAGTGCGGTTTCTAAGCATGTCAGCTTGTGTCCTCTTCCCAGCCCCATCTGGATAGATTAACTATTTATCATTGCTTTCTGGCCCCTAAAATGCCTTTGCAGGTTTATATAGTTAATATTATCCAATTGTGCATCCATGCCAAATGGTCATGTTGATAGTTTGTACAGCAGATGCTGCTGGTCATGGAGATCAAAAAACAGAAAAGATCAAGGGGACTTCTTTTTTTTTGATGCTTTAGTTTTATTTATAGACTCAAGATTCAAACAAAGTGAGTGGGGTTTGTGAGGTATGCAAAGCAGTAAAATTTCATGCAGTTGCAGTCACTTGAAGTTGTGAAGACGACTGGTTCCTGATTGTATCAGACCAATCTCAACAACAGTTTAAGAAAAAAAAAAAAAGAAGAAGAAGAAGAAGAAGAAGAAAAACAGGAAATTTTGACATGACAAAAACATATTCCAGCTGGTTGTGTTGCCAGACAAATTTTGATTGGAAGTTGCAAGGCTTAGCTGACTGCACATACATAGTGTTATAATTGTAGATTATAACACTAGAATTTTGACTGGATTTTGTTTGATTACAATGCAACAAACAGGACCAACCTACTTAAAGTTACACACTATTGAAAGATAATCAAATCAAACCCATTCTCTTCCATTCATTCACATCTTTCTCTAAGCTATTAGATAATTTTTCATGTCAGGCTCCTTGGTAAGATATCTTTGATTTCCCCAATTTTTCTACTTGGCTCATTCTTAAAAATTTATAGTAAAATAGGCTGAGAGCAGAAAGAAATCCACAAGTCTTCAGACACCTGTTTTGTAGAGACCGAGCCAAATACACATCTTTATCAGGGGTGGCTCACGTTCCCTACACTAAAATAATCTTGAGAAACTGCTGTCAGTTGACATCCAGTGACTCTTCTGAAGTTTGTGTTGGTACTCAAATGTGACATAACATTTGCTCAAGCCAAAGCTTGATGATGTATGCACAGTGACTGTGCATCCTGTCCTACACCCCAGGGGCAGTTTGTACCGTGCAGGATTGTGGAACCAATGAAACTCAGCCATTCCGTAGAACCAACGAGATCGGCTCTGTAAGTGTTTGGTAAGAGCTGATTGCGACAGCGGTTCCACAAACCGACTTTTTTTTTTGACATTGATTCCACAAACCCACATCCAAGCCAATGTGGAGCAGGTGGGCTTGTTACTCATGTTGATTCCACACCGACCAACATTTGTTTCGGCTCCAATCAGGACCCGCTGATGTGGGTCCTGAGATTCTGAAAACTTGAGAAAACCGGTTTGCAAAAAAAAAAAAAAACTTTGACAATTTTTTTGTCATGAGTTAAAAAAAGGAGGGGGGTGAGTGTGTTTGCTGGTGGAAAGGTGATTGTTGTTCAACTTGCTGATAGCCAAGCGGTGAAGTGCTGGTGCTTGGCACTGGCACCTGGTCGTGTGTTTGATCTGTACCTGTGTTGTCTTTTTGGCAGGCCGGCTGGCGGCACCCAATCTTACAGATTGGTTAATCCAGGCTCCACGGGGACACCTCCTTGTGTCCACCTGCTGCCGACATGGATGCAGGGGTGGAGTCCACGCAAAACTGTGGACCTTCAGCTGCTGGTCCGACCTGCCGCAGGAGCCACCCGTGGGATCCACCAAAAAAAATGGTGTCCGCCCACGTTGAACTGCGCCCAAGGTGTAGGGCTGTTCAGAAAAATCCCTTGTAGAGTAGCTCACTGGGAAAGGGGTTGTAACTTGTATTGGTTACAACCCCCTGCGATAAGGTTGCCTGGAGGCAAACAATATAGTTTTATATTGTCCAAGCCCACCAATTCATTTTTCCTTTGTTCTAATGTATTGGTGGGCCCAACCAATAAAAAAATGGTCAATGAGACCAATCTTATATTGGTTGCCTCTGGGCAACCTGGTTACGGGTTTGTAACCAATACAACCCCTTTTGCAGTGGCTGGGAGTAATGACCAAGTTTCACTGTGAGTCAACTGCATGTCAAAACTGTCAGTTACATGATTTTTTAAACAGTTTTAAGCAGTGATATTTGCAAAAGGATTTAGTGTTGATATGATTTTCAGGAACTAGTTATACTTTGAGAACAGAGAATAGCAGAGATCCACAGAGATATAGAAGATAGAAAGTGGAGATTATTTCAGGAATTCAATTTTCAACTCCAGAACATTTCTTTTGTATACAAACTAAAATTTGGTCCCTTGGGATGCTATCAATTTCTAGTTTTTCCTCAATCTCTAGTAGCAGGTTTCAAACAAATTATTTTGGGCCATTTTCAACAAGCTGTTTATGAGTAACATTGGTGGTTGAAATTTTGAAGCTGTAATTATTATCTTGAAGCCACCTTCAAAGCTGAATCAATCCAAAAAAATAATCAAAACTTGTTCATAGACCCCTCAAAAATGGCATCAAAGCTGCATTGAGAGCCCCACTATTAGTTTTATAGTTTGAATTAGCTATGATGAGCTCAATCATTTGTAGTATAGTGAATAGTTCTCTTCTGATCCTGTAATTCTCAAAATTTACTATATTCTTCTCTCTCCAATATATCATAACAGCTTCAGAAGTGTAAAACCACAGAGTAGAATCCTTTGAAGTTGTTCTGTAAGAAAGATCATCAGGACAGGTTAAATTTGACATTTTTCTTATGTAGAAATATTTTTTTGATTTGAGTAATTGATTTTCTTTTTGTGCCTCCCAAAGATCTCTCATGAAAGTCAGGGCCTTCTCAACAGCTTCCTTCTCCAGCACTTCACCTGTATACTGCTTTGATAGATACATATGAGTGATGATAAGGAATGTTGAAATTTTGGTTACATTGGCAACATAATTCAGGATGCGGTCAACCCTGTTTTGAAAGTACTTTTGTTCAACTTCTCCAACACTTTCTCGTTTTGAATCCATCCATAATTTAAGTTTGTATTCCAATGGCTTCATGATTTGATTGGCAAATATATTGTCCTCATTGATATCCAATCTTTCTTCTGATAAAGATAACAAGAGATATCCGAGTCGTTTTTTTGTCTTTTTGTAATCTCGCAAAGTAAGATATCCACAAACTTGATCAAACTTGTACAATCTGAGAAATTCATCTAGTTTTTTTTGTGGAATCCAAAATTGTTCTTTGAACTGCCTTTCTGAATTATAAGAGGTGTTTAATGATCCAAGCTCCTTGGTGAGATGATCTCTAGTTTGGTGCAAAATTGTTTGTCTTATTTCCTCTTCAGAACATCCTCTTTGATATTGCAAATTGTTTACATTTTGTGTAATGATGCTGGGTCCTTGCTCTTGGTGGTGCCAAAAATCAGCCGGGGATGAATATTTTTCAATCTCTTCTACTTCTCCATGCTCTGTCAGTGATTTGCTGATGGTAAAGCTTGATTTTTCTGCAATCTCCGATGTATCTTTGTCGCGAATGCTCTCGGGTTTCATCCTTTTTTGCTGCGATGGAGATGCATGCTCTTTCTGTTGTGATATCAGCTCATTTGTCTTGCGCTTGAGCGACGAATTTGGTGAATTGTCACCGATAGGAATCAGAAGCTCATGATAATAATCGGTGTTTGGGCTAGAGAGCGCGTGATTAGGAGCAGCTCTCAGTGCGTCATTTGTGTTAAATATATGCTTGTTGGGTGAGAGCTTGTGAGGAGCGAGAGGGTGTGCTTGGGCTTGACGAATCTGGAAACCAACAGTTGGTACCGACACCTGCGAATGTGGAGTTGGCTCAGAGAAAGTTAAGGGCTCTGCCAAATACTCATCTATTTCACCTTTGTTGTATAAACTCATTGATCGAGAATATTGCAAAGGTGTTTTTTTCTTGATGAATTGTGTCCGATCAGGCGGTAACGACATGGATTCTACTTCGCTTTGGAGAAGCATTAAAAAACATGGTGCAAGGATCAAAGCCTTCATACTTCCCCTGATGTTGCCAAGTTGAAATACAGAGGTTGGATCTGCTAGGAATAGGTTTGATTTTTTGGTAGCAAATATTGAAGTACTACTGGAAAATAGATGGATCATCTTAATCGAGCTCAACAGTTTTTTGTTGAAAGGTCTGAACTTGCCACCAATTTTCTATTGCAGACCCTGAAAGCGCGCTGCGCAGGCTGAGGAAAGTTTTACTACTAGGCATCAAGTTGCACCGACTGTATTGCAGTCTCCTGCACTTCCTGCGAAGATCACTCTTGAGAAATACAGTCTTTGACAAAAAACATGTTTATTTGGCTCTGAAGGGTGTGGTACAAGGGCCTCCTGTGTACAAGCTTGACTAAATACAAATCCTGGGACAAATACACTGGAGGAAAAGAAAAATGAAAATAAGCTCTTTTCAGGGACAAAAACTGAAATCTTCTGGGTAAAGTTAGCAAGATTGGCTGTATCTGAAGTGACATTTGACCCAATCTCAATTTCATCTGAGGGAACAGGAGATTGTAACTTGCCCACCACCATTTTGGGGGACATTCTGAGGGACCAGCTTAGATTTATATGTATGTAATCACTTCAATAATACCTAGTGAGGATTTATGTGTGTGTTGCAGCAGCAGGTGATGTGCATTGCACAAATATGTGCAACTGAGATGTTTACAGACTGTAACTTCATTTTGATGCCATATGAATGAAATTTAAACTTTTGAGAAAATTTGCTACTTCATGTGTTGGGTTTAGATTAAGGCTTTTATGAAAAAACCATCATTTGGCAAAAAAGAATCACCCAGAATTTTAAAAAAAATTTCAAGGCAAGCTTTAAAAGTGCCCCCTTGTATGTATGAACAAATTCAGGCCCTGTAATTGGAGCAATATATTGCTATTTTTGCCTGACATCCTATGTGACATCTGATCAGGTCCAACAAAACCTCAAGAAGAATTTACAGTATACTGCTGGCAAGTGGAGCCCAAATTCTTTTGTTGCATCACCAAACAATTTTCTTCATTTTCCATGTGTTCAATACTTTTATAAAGAACTCTTGTAGCTTCATCAGCATTACCATGTATCTTGATCAAGACAGAGTATGATTTCAGTTGCCAAATCTGTTTCTGTTGAGTTTGTACCAATGGAAAACAGAGAGAGAGAGAAATCAGAGGAAGTATTTCTTTTGGATGAATTCAATGTAAACCCTAGGAGAATGAAAGGTGGAACTGATTTGAAATGGAGGAGAAACAACAGCAGATTTTTTTTCATGGCTAGAATTTCTCAGACTAAAGAAAAAAAACTAAAGTTGTGTTTTTAGAGATGATGAATAAGAATAGATATCCCTGAATGAAAAAATAATGAGATGATTCCTCAAGAAAATGATGATTGGAGTCATGTAGCAATGCTCAAAGTTCAAACCAATAATGATATCATTCTTAGAGAGAAAATCTTCCATAAAGGATTGATAAATTTGAGTGTAGAAATAATGAAATAAGGAAAGAATTGGTTTTGATTGAGTTATAAGAGAAAATGTTTCAACACTTTCTGCTTTGGTGTGGCAATTTAATTATACTGTATTTGTACAATTATTTTGAGAAAAATGAGTGTTAGACATTCAATTTTTGAGTACAGACATCATTGATCAACTTGCTTATGTCTGGAGAGGGTGATTCAAGCATGAATTCACAAAAGGTTTCCCACAAGTACCAATGGTTTGGTGGTGTCTCTGATCCTGGTTTATGTCAGCCTTAGAGATACTCCATAGTATCCAAAAGACTGCTAAATGAATATTAAGTATTAAAATACTCAATATGTAATATAATATGTAATAATATTATTTAATAAAACAATATTTCATAAGATTATGAAGGGGGTTGTCCACTGGAAGTATCCCCAAATTCCCACTCCTTCAAGGACTTTGTATATATTCAAACTCTTGAAGGACAAAAGGAATAAAATATATAAATTTATAGAATAAAATCAATGTATATTAAATTAGGTTTAAATATACATTTAGGGTAACCTTAGAAATTTTATTCTACAAGCATAATCAATTTATTAAAACTTGTAGAAAAGAAATTAACACACTATGTCAAGAGTGTGGCACTTTCTACTAGTAATATTCTATTTAAGGAGACACATGATCTAATTAGCTATAAACATGCATCATGATGTCATGGGACATAGAATATACATTATTTGAAATACCTTGAATTATTCCCATTACATCAGGGGAATAATTCTACCATGGTACACTAAAAGAGAGATTCTAGAATATTCTAAGGAGGGCCTCAAGGGGACCTCTAGAATATTTAAGGAGGCCTTCTCCTGCCTAGGATTGGTTCCTCAGCATATTCACCCCCAGTACACTTAGTGAGTACAGTGAATATTCTCCACCTACTTTTAGAGTAATCTTTTTTATCCAATCCAACCCTACCTTCTTACTGGAATTATTATTAAGCTGAGAGTTATCCCAGACTCAAAACTTAACTAATTCCTTAAAAAGTAGTTGCTGCAAGACCACCACCTCTGACTGTAGCCTTTCAGCTCAGGTGCTTGCCAACTACTTCTTGCAATATTAATTATTGCTTCCAAACACTCTACAATAACATATTCTGTTATTGTCTCCTACAGTGCTCTCTTGATTATTCAAGTGTCATTAACTGAGGAGTGTGTACTTTTTAACCTATTAAGTGGGAAGTTTGGACCACTTAATACTTTGAGGGTGACTAGGAGTAATCTTGGTCTTTAACCTGAGTCCTTCAGCACAGTGATAGTACTTGGCGTTTATACTATTAAGCCAAAGTTTCATACACATAGCTGACAGTTTATCTACTACTAACTTTTCACATCTTCTCCTATTTTTGCTGGCATCAACGAAATCAATAGCCTGAACTCCAAGATTTCTATCTGAATGACTTCTCAAGACATGATATACATCCTCCAGGTTTAAGTATTCATCCTGTACATTTTTTGATTTATGATATGGTGCTGTGTTTGAATAATGGACATGTAGACTCTGATCCCAAGCAGATACCATCATGTATTTATATCCATAAGCCCCCTGAATATGGATGATGCTGCAAATCAGGCCAATAACACATAGTTTTAAGAACATTTTCAGTTGAATATCTGCTTAAAATTGATTTGAAGCATGTGTCAATTATCTTGATTTTATCATCAGAGAGAATTTTACTCACCAATGGGTCAAATGTTTTTTTCAGTCAGCAGGCAAAGGTCACTGAGATTTGTAGTAGCTTGATGTCAATCAGCTAGGGAAACATAATCTAATTTTGGGAATATCTACCAAAGGGTCCAATGGCAATAGGTCAGTTTTCAATGGGTGGTGACACTGGATTCAAAATTAGGTGATGATTATTATTTGTGAATTGCTGCTAGTTCCTGTGTGAATTCCTTAATTTGATTTTAGCAGGTTAAAGGCTTGGATGAGGCCTGGTTGAACAAAGCAAGGATCCAGTTCTTGATAGTGGAGAAACAGCCCTCTTAAATAGACATGGTGCAATACTGTGGTTTGTTATTTACAAGTCAAGTGGAGGACTTCCTGTCGGATCTGGGACCCTTGCAGATGTTAATTTAGACCCAAAAAGTCTAGAATTTTGCTGGGAAATCTAGCTTTCAAGGCCTCTAAATCGCTTCTGGGAGACCCGCAGATTTGAAGGGAAGTCGTCCAGTGTTTGCAATTGTATCATTATACATCTACTGTCAAAGATTTGGCTTACTTAAAATACAGTATTCAAGCTTGACATATCTAAATGAGAATAACTGCAAACTACATATGTAATAAAGCAAAATAATAGTATGTGATATGTAGATAAACATTGAATACATGATTTGATTGTTTTGACCAGTGTGCAAGGTTAACTTTCACATGTTGGTGGGAGCCAACAGCCTAGAGCCAGACAGACAGTCAATTACAAGAGAAACCTCTTGATGATTACAGTTTGAGGTGCTGCTGTAATGAAGGGGAAAGTCTGAATCAGATGCTGTTGGTTTTGTAAACTGTTCACACTAATTTTCCCCTCATACCTGATAATATATGACACAGAGACCAGTCGAATGAAATAAATGATGCAATGCTGAAGCATAGCTCAATTCCAAAAGTCCTGAACTAAGGACACAGTCACTGCATGTGGGTCAAAGCTGGTGGACTACAGCCAAGCACAGTCAATCACATGAGAAAAATCTTGATAAATACAGCTTTTACTTTCATGACAGGGCAAGTCTTGATTGGACATTTTTGACCTGGTTGGAAATCTGTGACAGTACCATGTAAACTGCTGAATATCCTGCAGAAACAAAAAAAAAAAAAACAGAATTTTCAACATTTTCAAAATCTGTAGCCAACTTGAAGTACCCATAATCTTCTTGATAGGTTTATGTGCAGTGTCTTCCACAAGCCATCTCATGTCCCACATCCTATCCACCAACACCAGTTCAGGCCCAATGTTGTTGGATCTGTGTCCAAGTGAGTGTGTTGAGTGGTATCATAGATTAGCAAAATAAGTAGATGAGCAGAGAAAGGCACAGATCCTCATCCAGTCCCAGAAGGACAGGTGGCTGTGTTTCATTTCTTGCTCTTGGCCAAATACAAAAAAATGGAGACAATGCTACCACTGATTCCCTTGATCCTTGGGCAAAACCATGTCCACATGATGTATGTTTTCTTCCTTTGCCTCACCCTCTCAAATATGCAGGACTCAGGAAAGCCTCTATAGAATAGGGCTGCAGACAATTACATTGTGCACTGGTTGGTAGATCGTGGCCACGAAGATGTGATCTGACAAGCCAACTGGCTCATTTGGGATTGCATTAAAATTACCCTCCAGTGTGGTGTGCGAACTTAACGCAAGTCCCTCCGAGGCCGAAAGAGACGCTTCCCGCCTCCTCCGGAGAGGCTTTGTTAAGCTCGTGTGGTGTGCCCCCTGAGTCTGATTGTGACTACAACCAGCTGTACACTACATTGTAGTACAGCAAGGTTTTTGGGCGATGGCCAAGCTGTCGGACCTGCCAGACGAACTAGTCCACATCATCATCGAACTCAGCATCTCAGTCTATCCCCCAATCACCGACATCCATGGCAAACGGGACCACCATTCACTTGACCATAATCAAATCAGAGGCATCGAACCAGCACTAAGACCGCATCTAGTAAACAAACAACAGAATTGCCACTACCGCTTGGATATCAAGAAATACTCCTAGAGGGATCCCAAGGACTCGCCAAACGTTAAGCAATCGTCTATCTCTTAAAGGGTTTTTTGTGAAAAAAGGAAGTCAAAGGATGTTGTCCCAACTGACAAGTTTACATCCTCAAATATTGTGATTGTAGTTAGCTGAAGTATCATACCCAGAGATGAGTTTCCTATCTGCCTTGATAGAGCTTTCAAAAACTGGTTGTTCAAATGCTGATTATTTATCACTTGGTGGTCCCTGTACATAGGCGTTCCCCGGAATCCATACCTAGCACTGTCATTAGTCAACCGCGCCTTTCGACGATGTGCCCAGCAGATTCTCTTCGAGAACATCAGCTTGAAAGACCAATGGGCGGCGGCCTTATTCTTACAGGGACTGACTCAAATAGTCCCTCTTGATCAGCAAGAACTGGACGGTCAAATAAAAATCTACGCCAGAAACGACGGAGATGCTCAGCGAAATGCGAAAGCCGGGATTGGGACATCATCAAAAATCTACTCTTTGTGTCTGAGTGAACCGTCCCAACACGTTCGCTCGGTGCAATTTATGTGGAACGGTATCAGTTCCATGGGCAAGGGAGGCGGCAGACTGATCAGTGACATCATCCGCTCCTGTCCGCTCCTCGAAAACATCGCCATCTCGCCGGAGTTCTACATTCGCTGTAAAGAGCCAATCCTGGAAGCCCTTGCAAGCTCAGCCCACGTCACCGATTTTGTCGTTTCCAGTAACCACCCTTCAAATCAAGCAATGTTTGAGTGGCGAGCCGACGAAGTGGTCAGCCGACTATTTTCGAAATGGGAATCCCTCGAGACGATCGAATTCGTCAATCTTTCTGGATGACCTGTCAAAACGATCGAGACCATCCATAAATCAATATGCACGCTCAATTGCGCCTTACGGACGATAATCTTGACGAGACCTGATTTGGATGAGCGGGAGTTTTCGTGGATCTTGAAGTGCTCCCTGGAGAGCTTACGGACGCTGCACATCATCTCTCCAACTAAAAAACTCGACCGGGCGGGCTTATGTCGTATGTTAGCAGAACACACTGCTCGGAATCTAGAATCCTTAGTCCTCAGTTGCCAAAATCTTCATTCCAGAGGCACCAATAATGTCAATCAACCAACTGGATACGAGGGATTGTTAGACGACTTCTTCGAGTCTCCTTCTGCCCTAAGAAAGCTGAAGTGTCTGTCTATCACTGGGCCTTTGGTCGGCCCAAACTTTTTCGCCGGCTTACCTCAATCCCTCGAAAAACTTGCCTGTCAGTCGTGCCAGATCTCGTATCCGATCTTTGTCAAGGCCCTCTCCGGTCACACAGACAACCAAGCCAATTCTTGCTCGGATGAACTACCACTGCAATCACATCCCGACTTGGCTGGTGAATTCATTCAACCTGTGGAATGGTTACCCAATCTGAAATGTTGCTCGATGCGGGAGGATCTGCTCCAGAGTTCGTTTCTATTTCTTCTCGACTTGAACAGACCAAGCCATCCAATTGAACTTCTTCTTCTTCTTCTTTGTCAAAAATCCATTTTACCCATTCAATTTAATCAAATTAGCAGAGCACAGCGGGACATGGGAAGACGGACAACTGATCAAGCAAGTCTTGGAAGCCCGAGGCGTCTGTTTTCACAGTTGTGGAGGAATATTCGACAAGCCAGACCCGCGTTTGAAACATCAGGAAATGACTATTATGATGATGAGGATGATGATTTCATATATATACCAGACCGCATGTGATGGGGAATTCGGGAAATAGATTGGACTCTGGGTTGATCCTGACAAGCCAATCTACTTCAAGGGGCCCCTGTTTTTTTGGATTATGGCCTCTCTTTTAACACAAGACCCACGGTTTGGAAAGCATTCTGTATCAACTTGTTCGATACCCAACTTAATATTGAGTGTTTCTAGATCACTTATATAGCTAAGAGGATCCTTATGTTTTTTTTATGCCTCAAATGAGATAACCAAGAGATTTCTCCAGTCGAGATACCACTTTCAAGTTTCTAAATAGACAGACCTCCATCCAATGTGAATGTAATTAGTTTGATTCTGAGTACACATTGGGCTTAATGCTTGGAGCCCCCCCCCAAAAAAATAAGGAAGTGGAAGATGAAAGGAAACCGTGCCCATAACTGGGAAACTTGTTCAGTCAGAATCCATCACTCTCTCTCTCTATCCTGATATTTTTATGTCTATCTGAACCATGCTCACATTGTGGCTTCTCCACCTGGTCATAAATTTTCCATTTCCTAATTAGGGCCAATCCATCAAGGCTGACACAATCCAACAAGCTGGAAAATGTTCAATGATGAAGAACAAAAAAAAAACAGAATGGAAACGAGTAATATTTATCTGATAAACTGGGAAGGGAAACCAGAAAATATCAAGTATGGCCTGGATGAATATTTCAATGAGAGCCATCACAAATCTTTCTGTTGACCTATCACAAACCTTTCTGTTGGCCCATCACGAATCTTTCTGTTTGATCCGTTTTTTTAAAGAGATTTAATCAATATTGTTGATCACACTAGCTTACAAGTTGGGACCAAGCTAAGTATGGAAATGGATACTTGTGAAGAGACAACTTACAAGTAAGGAGCGGAAAGCTATGTAGGAGTTCTTCATTTTGTCACATCTGTGGAGGAAAACATGCTCCTGTTGAAGTGGAGATCTTCAATTTCAGTATGCCAGCTGATGTGTCGTGAGAGCTCCAATCCCCAGTTCACATGGACTGACTTCGAACAAACATATCAACGTGCAGGGTCGTCTGCATGCACCACTAGAAATTGTAGACGGAGGCTTTTCATCTTTGACATCAACCCATCTGTGATTCTGTTCCATTCGGCACCATGGCAAGATACTCCAACTACCGGTCCCCAGACAAATTCAAGAAAGGGTTGTACGAGGCCTTCCAGGCGATTACGACCCCGGGGACATATGCGGCGTGGGAGGAGCTTGCGACGACACCGCCGGCCGGCCTGCATGTCGATGGAGTGGGAGACATCGCGATGCCTCTCGCCGAAAAACGCGTTCGCGAGCTGATCGCCAACGCCCATCAGGCTCCCTACGGCCGTCGAAGCGAGACCCTCGTCGATCTGTCCGTCCGCAACACTTGGGAAATCGATGGCGCTCGGTTGCGGTTCCTCGATCCCGCTTGGAAACGGTACTTGAAGAGTTTGGCGAAGCGCGTCGCCGTCCTCCTTGGCGTCGATGGTCGGATTCGAGCGGATTTGTACAAGTTGCTCATTTATGAGAAGGGGGCCATGTTCAAGTCACACACCGAGTAACTGTTGATTTTTTCAGCTTGTAGTGTCCTGTCAGTTCTAGACCAGAGGCTAACAAACAAATGGTGATTTTGAAACGGTGACAGTACTGAACGGACTCCGGGTATGTTTGGAACACTGGTGATCTGTTTACCATCGGCGCACGCGGGCGGTGAAGTGGTTGTGAAGCACAACGGCCAAACCAAGACATTGAGAACATCGGACGCAACACAGTCATTTGCTTGCTGGTACTCCGACGTGACTCACGAGGTTCTGCCCGTCAAATCCGGCTATCGATGCGTCTTGACCTACAACCTGGTCACCCAGCCGGATCGACCACGACCAAAAGCAAGTGTAGTTGAATCGCAAAAAGACCCCCTGCGGAAAATGCTTGGATCCTGGCTTGAAGACTTGGCTGCAAACAGCTCAACCCCCAGCTATCTCTATCATACTTTGGAACATTCATACACTGAAGCATCCATGTCCCTCGAAGCACTCAAGGCTCAGGACTTTGCACGGGTACAGGCATTGCAAGACCTTGCGAACGAGCTGCCGTTTCAAATCTACTTGGCATTAGTAGAGAGAATGGAACAAGGAGACACTGAGGTCCCATTTCCTAGAAAACGTCATCGATGTGTGTCTAAATTTGAGTCTGTGGAAACTGAAGACGAAGACGTGGACTGCCCTTTCTTTCAGGTGGATCTCGAATGGGATCGTCAGGTCAAGTCACTCCACAAACTCGATGGCATAATTGTGGCCAGGGACTACCACTTGAATGTTAATAATTTTGTCGAGGAGGATCCCTTCAGATGTGTGGATGGCACTGAAGACAATTACAAACCTTACCAAGGCAATTGGGTATGTCTCTGTTTTGTATTAATTTCTATCCTTGAAAAACAGATAAACTCATTTGTAATCCATGCATTCACCCATCTAGGGTCCTTCTGGAAGTCCTGCCATCCACTGGTTTCGACGGTCAGCTTTTGTTATCTTACCGCGTCAAAGTCTTGGCAATTATCTAGCCGAATGCTGTGGCAGAGATCAATATTCCACCCCTCTCAACATGCCGGTCACTTTTTTTGACTGGGCAGAGGAATGGCTAAACACACTCCCAGAGGCGGAGCGTGCTGAGAAGTATCGGACGTGGTACGTATGAGTTCTGTACTGAAGTTATTACTGTAAATAAGTTTTGGCTCAGATGTGTCTTATCTGCATCTCCAAAAGGATCCCGTCAATCATTCACCGCCATCAGTCCGTGGCTGATCGCATTGACTTTGTCAAAAGGATATCAAATTTCATTAACAATTCTGCTTTGCCCGCTCGATCATTCCCAGATAAGTCCTGGGCAGATGGTGTGGTACATGATATAATCAAGAACTTGCTTAAGGTCACAACCAAGGGCTCTGCTGTTCCCAACGCAGCAGATGGCAATGCAATTGTGTCTGCCATCTTCCAACTCGATGAGACATGGCCTGCCAAATTGGAACTGTAAGTTCTTACCTCATCATTGAACTCATGAAATTCATGTTCTGTAAGATACCTGACCCTTGTTGGCCCTGGCTTCAGTATCACAACGCTTTTTGAGGCCTTCCCACAATCTCAAGCCGTTGGATTTTTACTCGGTTTGCTATCTCAATTGAAGACTCTTGGAACTGCACCACAACTCCCAATTCCCGACACTACGGAACTCCGCAGAAGGCTCAGCTTGCGCCTATTTAACAACGAGAGAACGCCTTCGACTATCATTACTCACTCATCCAAGCGGGGTGGGGAAAAACAAATAGTGGTCACTCCCCAGGCTATGGTTGAGTTTGCATGCGACCTCCACGACTTGAGCACGGATACCAACAATTTACTGGAGTTGTTTATCCTGCAAATCAAGGACCATTGTCCCAAGTTCCCAGGCGAAGGGATCCGCAAGGCCTGGATCCCATTCCTCTGCCAACTGATCCCCGCTCTGGTTTCCCGATCAATCTCAATCAACACGCCACCATATCAGCAGCTTGCACGGAAACTTGTCAAGTACGGGGTCAAGAAACTCGGGCCATGTCCGCAACCGGACCCCAACACCCCACGGCCACGGATTCGATGTCCATGCAGCGACTGTGTATCTCTCAAACGATTCCTCCGCGACCCAAACCAAGTTGTGGGTCGCTTCCAACTCCCTCAAGCACGACGTAATCATATCTACGAGAGTCTGGACGAGCCCGGGTTCGACTGCATTCGCAAAACTGAACACATCGGCAGACCTCATACCCTCATCGTCACCAAGCGTCTCACCCTGGAAAATAAGATCAAGGATTGGAAGGATCTCCGGTTCGAGATCTATGGGCCTCTTGCTAAAAACATCCAGCCTGAACTCCTTGAAGCTCTACTCGGAGTCCAAGGAGCTGCCGTGGTGCAGTCATTAGGAGGGATACAACCAGCACCTGCTGTGTCTACAACTCGTGCCAATTGATTGGCCCTTGTTTGCTTATTTACTTCAAGCCTTCTTATGATCTTTCTCTCTCTCAGTCTGTTTTTTCTTTTAAAAATACAAAGAGCTGTGTGCCTGAAACCTTATACACCCTCTTAACTCACACACGATGTTATGCACTCCAAACTCCAGGTGCAAATTTTTTTCATGACCTCTTTTTTTCAGAGGTGTTGCAGGTAATATAATCTTGTTTCATGCTGAACTTCATTTCTTGTTGTGTTGTAGACTTGCTTGAATAATATCTGATACCTGCAGTTGTCTTAGATACCCAAGTGGTTGTTCTGTTTTAAAGAAACCTCCCCCCCCCTGTAAGGGATTTATAAATTTGTTTTGTTCCAAATTGAAATCCATAGCAAATGTTTTTTTTTAAAAAAAGAACAAGAAAAAAAAACACTTTCTGGTTGAGTTCTCTTGCTCTCTATGTGGCCGGGGAGAACCGGAATGTGCCCCAAACAAACTCTTCTTCCATTATTGCTCTATTCTTTTCCTCAGTCCCAGAATTCTCCAGTGCCAGCCCACCCAGTAACCCAGAAAACACTTGAAAACAAGACAAAAAAAACTGTCCATCCTGAGAGTTGTAGAAATGGTGCAGAAAGCTTTGGCATGCAGTTGGTCATAGATACATGCATCAAATCCTAAATCAAGTGGCTTGCTCTTATTTTCCTGTAGTACAGACATTATCATCACTGTCTTTCTCTGATTGTAATAACAAGATTTGAAGCAAAAAAAAACACAATCAAAATCTTGGTGAAATGATCAGCTTGTGGATTTGAGTTTTTTGGCTGATATGTAAGCATGTTAAGATGGTTAACTTCTGATTGAAAAGGTCCTGGAACATAACCATTGAAGTTTCAAAACCAACAGCTGGGATTTGTTTGATATGAAAAACCCAATGACTTGTCTCATTGACAGGATAAGCAACTCAATTGTTTGGGGAAAAAAATGTTGGTTTCAAATCAATGATCTTTTTTTGAATGTATGATGGAATTTAAGATGGTTTGATGGTTTGAATTAGCAATGATGAGTTCGGCCATTTGACTGATATTGAATGGCTCATTTTGAACGCTATCTCCTGCAAGATGGGCCATCTTCTTTTTTCTCCAGTACTTGACCACAGCTTCAGATGTCACATACCACAGGGAATAGGTCCTCTGACAATTCTGATTGTATGTGTCATCTGGACACACCAGATTGGTCATCTTTCTGATGTAAAAGAACTCCTTTGTTTTCAACAATTCTTGTTGCTTGTCTTCCTCCCAAAGATCTCTCAGGAACCCCAGGACTTGGTGCAAATCTTCCTCCTTTATGAATATCTCATCTGTTGGATGCTTCTTCAATAAATAGATATGAGTGAGGATGAGGAATGATGATATCTTGGTTATGTTGCTGACATATTCAAGGATCCTGTCCACCCTCCTTTGATCATATTTCCTTTGAGTTTCCTTCATCCTTGCTCTTTTAGAATTGATCCAACGTGCAAGTTTCTCTTCCAGTGGCTTCATGATTTGATTTTTGAAAATCAAACTCTCATCAACATCCAATCTTTCAGTGGACAAAACCAACAGTATTTTCCCCAGTTCTGTCTTGCCTTCCCGCTGGATTAGATACTTTTGGAAGTCACAGTTCTGATGATTTTGGTATGTTTTAAGAAACTCTGCAACATATTTTGGTGGAATCCAGAAGGATCTTGGGGGTTGAAGGTCTGCCTCCAAAGAAGTGTTTGTCAATGACTCAAGCTCTGTGGTACAATGATAGACAGTCCCATGCAGAACTCCTTTCCTCCTTTCATCTTTGGTGAATTTTCTTACGTGAGATGATTTGGGTGCAAGACTTCTAGGTCTTTCATTTTTGTTCTGCACAATTTTGGCTGGGGATAATCCTCCAACATTCTCTCCTAATTCTCCACAAGACCTGAGTGAGCTGCTGGTGTTTAACATTGATTGTACAACGATTTTTGATATATCATCAGTGTTGTGATTTTTCTTCAGGAGTTTGTTTCTCAGATGTGATGAAGATTCCGTGTATTCCTTTTGTGGAATCAGCTCATTTGCTTTTCGCTTGGGTGGAAGATCAAGGGAGGGATTGTCTTGAGGAATCATAAGGTCATGAGGAAGATCAACATCAGGACTTAGGAGCTCGATATTATCATTGAGATCAGGCCAGAGCAGCTCATGGAAGTGGATGCCATCCTTTTTTGGGAAGAGCCCGCCGGGAGAAAGGCCTTGCATATCCTCTTGATGCATCTGGAAGTCAAATGCTGGTACTGGTGAAGATTGCAAATGTGGACTTGCTGCAGAAAAAGCCAAGGGCTCTGACAAATATTGATCTATCTCTGCATCCTTGTTGGACCAATTCCATGATTGTGAATCATGCAAAGCCGGGATTTCTTCGTTTCCGCAAGTTGGTAACGCCATGGATTCGGTCATGATTTGGAGAAGCACTAGCTGACAATATGGGCCAAGGATGAAAGACATGATGTTTCCCATGATCTTACCAGAGACAAACGTAAATAGGAAGGATGTAGTCCTAGCAATGTGTGTCCTCATGTATACATTCAACAAAAAAACTGCCCTCTCCTTCTTTTGAGACAGGTCAAGAGTTATCAAGTGGTCTGAACTTGACGCCGAGTTTTCATCACAGACTCTGTATATGTCAATTGTCAGCCCAGATGATGTGGCCCGGGGAACGTGCGTTTTTGGGAGCCGTTTGGAATCCAGTGACTTGATGTTTTTATGGACACCGACAAGTCAACGAAACGAGAACAATCAGTCAAACAAAACTGATGAAACTCTGACGTGTTTATAATGTGTGTGCGTGTCAGAAGGTGACACCTTGGTCCTTTGGACTGATCATCGTTGAGACGATGTTGTTATGCTCAAGATAGCTTGCTCAGATGTAAGAGAATTCCTCCCATTAAACTTGTGATATTTTCCAAAGGAGTGCCTGACTCTCAGGAACCGAGAGAAGTTAGGACGTGGCTGGGCATCAATTGGAATCATACATGACAAGCAGATGTCAACTAGAAACAGGCCAAGAGTGGAAAATTGTCTCTCCAGTTTTATTTATCTTTAGAACAATACAACAATTGGGTATTGACGTGTCTTATATAGCAAAAGAGCCTACCCTTGAATAACAGACTTTATTTTCAAGTAAGAGTGATTCTATGTACATCATGACAAGAAAAAAAGAAGAATGAAGCAAGACTTCTATTCTTCAACAACCACAGCTTCTAAAAACCGGTCACAATGAATTTTGTGTCTGGCGTGTTAATGGGTGCATGGTCAATGTGTATGGGTGTCTAGAATTGCAGACACGCCACACCAGATTATCAATTTTTTCTGAGCATGTAGAAGACAAAACAAGAGAAACTGTGGTGGTTTGCGGTGAATGGCAGGACAGAGGCCAATCAATTAGTCTGAGTAGCAGACCGAGCATCTGCTTGTTGTACACCAGCAACCGATCGGACGAGGGTAGCTCCTTGTTTTCCAAGAAGAGATTCCAGAAGATCTTGGTGGATGTTTTTAGCAAGCGGGGCATAGATCTCAGACCGACGATCCTTCCACTCCTTGATCTTATTCTCCAGGGTAAGACGTTTGGTGATGATGAGGGTATAAGGTTTGCCTTTATGTTCAGTTTTCCGAATGCAGTCGAACCCGGGATCGTCAAGGCTCTGGTAGACATGGTGACGTCGGGCTTGGGGGAGTGGGAACCGCCCGACGACTTGGTGGGGATCTTTCAGGAATCGTTTGAGAGACAGACAGTCCCTACATGGACAAGTAATTTGTGGCCTTGGGGTGTTGGGGTCTGCTTGTGGAGCCGGGCCGAGTTTCTCGTCCCCGTACTTGATCAATTGTCGCGCAAGCTGCTGGTATAGCGGGGTGTCGATCGAGATCGATCGGGAGACCAGGACCGGGATGAGTTGACTGAGGAACGGGATCCAGACCTTGCGGATCCCTTCCCCTGGGAACTTGGGACAATGAACATTGATTTGGAGGATAAACGACTCTAGCAAATCGTTGGCATCCGTGCTCAAGTCGTGGAGGTCGCAAGCAAACCGAATCAGATCCTGGGCAGTGACCACTAGTGGTTTCTCAAATGCATACTTGGGTGGCTCAGTCATGATCTTAGAGGGTGTTCTCTTGAGGTTAAAGACGCGCGAGCTGAGGCTTCTGCACAGTTCCATAGTCTCGGAATTCGGTAGATCTGGCGCCGTGCCAAGAGTCTTGAATTGAGAAATCAAGCTGAATAAAAATGCAGCAGCTGCAGATTGTGGAAAGGCGTCAAAAAGCGACTTGATACTGAAGCCGGGGCCAACAATGGTCAGAGATCTTACAGAACATGGATTTCATGGATTCAATGATAAAATAGAAACTCACAGCTCCAATTTGGTAGACCAAGTCTCATTAAGTTTGAAGATGGCAGAGACGACAACACGGCCATCTGCTGCATTGGGAAGCGCATCGCCCTTGGTAGTGACCTGGAGTAGGTTTTTGATAATATCGTGCACCATGCCATCCGCCCAGGACTTGCCTGGGAATGCTGCTTCTGGCAAAGCGGGGTTGCCAATAAGATTTGATACCCTCTCGACAAAGGCAAAGCGCTCAGCAACACACCGATTGCGGTGAATGATTGATGGAATCCTTGAGGGGATACAAAGAAGACATGTCTGAGCAATAGATTTGACGTTTTTATCAATAGCGACCCCGAGAGAATAGAACCCATACATACCACGTCCGATACTTCTCAACACGTTCTGCCTCTGGCAGTGTGTCTATCCATTCTTTTGCCCAGTCAAAAAAAGTTACCGGTATCTTGGGAGGATCGTCATACGGGCCTCTATCTGTGCATGCAGCCAGATACTTGGGAAGGCTTTGATGTGGTAGAATGACTAAAGCTGACCATTGATACAAGTGGACGGCTGAAGGACCCTGGATGTGTGAATGCATAGATTCTAAATGAGCGTCCACTGTTGATAACGATAGAGAATGAAAAGAAGAGGCAACATACCCAATTACCTTGGTAAGGTTCGAAGTGGTCTTCGATACCGTCGATACCATCGAAAGGCTCATCCTCGATGAAGTTGTTGATCTTCAAGTCGTAGTCCCTGGCTACGATTTTGCCATCGAGTGTGTGGAGTGACTTCACCAGATGGCCCTCCTCGAGCACCTCCTCGATAAAATGATAGCCCGCATCCTCATCCTCAGGTTCATCGCAGTCGAATCGAGGGCGCTTTCTAGGAAATGAGACCTCGGTTTCTCCTTGTTCCGTCCTTTCAATTAACGCCAAGTAAACCTGAAACGGTAGCTCGTCCGTAAGGTCTCGCAAGGTCTGTACTCGGGCATAGTCCTCAGCCTTGAGTGCTTTGAGGGAAATGGCTGCTTCGGTATACGAATAATCCAGAGTGTGATAGAGGCAGCTGGGGATGTTGGGCGAGCTGTTTGCAGCCAAGTCTTCAAGCCAGGATCCAATCATTTTCCGCAGGGGGTCTTTTTGCGATTCAACTACACTTGCGGCTGGTCGAGGTTGATCCGGCTGGGTGACCAGGTTGTAGGTCAAGACGCATCGATAGCCGGATTTGACGGGCAGAACTTCATGGGCCACGTCCGAGTACCAGCAAGCAAATGATTGTGTTGCGTCCGATGTTCTCAGAGTCTTGGATTGGCCGTTGTGCTTCACAACCACTTCACCGCCCGTGTGCGCCGATGGTAAACAAATCACCAGGGTTCCAAACATTCCCGGCGTCCGTTCAGTGCTGTTCACGTTTCAAAACAACCGTTTTTTTAATCAGCCTCTGTTCTTAAACTGACATGACATATCTGCAGACAAGCTGAACAAAAAGCAACGCTTACTCGGTGTGAGGCTTGAACATGGCCCCCTCTTCATAAATCAGCAACTTGTACAAATCCAATTGAATCGGGCCATCGACGCCAAGGAGGATGGCGACGCGCTTCGCCAAAGTGTGCAAGTACCCTTTCCAAGCGGGATCGAGGAATTGCAACCGAGCGCCGTCGATTTCCCAAGTGTTACGGACGGACAGATCGACGAGGGTCTCGCTTCGACGGCCATAGGGAGCCTGACGGGCGTTGACGATCAGCTCGCGAACGCGTTCTTCAGCGAGAGGCATTGCGATGTCTCCCACTCCATCGACATGCAGGCCGGCCGGCGGTGTCGTCGCAAGCTCCTCCCACGCCGCATATGTCCCCGGGGTCGTAATCGCTTGGAAGACCTTGAGCAATTCGTTCTTCCATTCGACCATGTGCGGGTACTCGTACTTGTTGGCCATGGCGCGGTCTCAGATTAAACAGACTGGTCGAGGTCAAAGATGGAATTTGTTCCTTGTTACATTATTCTACAAAGTGGTAGTCCACGCTGATCTTATTTTTTTCTTCTTGTCGAAGTGCATTTGGATTGAACATCGCACGATGCATGCAGATCCTAGAATGGGTATGTATGTACAATCTACAAATCAGAACTTTCCAGAATCTTGGTCGGGGAAAAATCAGAGCAAATCCCATCTGCAGATCTCTGCAGATACGAACCCCCAGAATCTGTGACATCTACAAGGTCTGGAAGATAGATCTGATACGTACAGTGGCGCGCGGCATTGTACTGTACAAGGTTTTGCGATGTCCGAAAGGTCGGGGCCCAAAACTTGGATTTTTTTGTGATTTTCGCCTGTTTTTGGGGGGTTGAGATGTAAATCCGGTGTCACAGCTGCTGTAATTGACCTGTGAAATACAGTGCGCATCACCTCTTCTCAACTACCCCCAGAGGGGTGTTCCAAATTTTTCAAAATGGGAGTTTTTTTTCTTTTTCTTTTTTTTCTTTTTTTTCAATTGCTTTTGGTTTTTTTCTTCCTGAAATTTGAAATTCTTCCAGTTTTTTGTTGTATTACATGGCCTAGTATACTTATTATCTACTGTGTACAGAAATAAATGCTAGGAATGAGACTCGTATGTACAAGATCTATAAACACCAGTGAATTTTGTTCACAGAGCAGACACATCCATCTCACTTGCTGACATGGTAATCGCCAAAGCAGCTCAATTGCAGAGAGTCAGAAGAGCTTCTGAATTATGTAGAAGAAAAGACACAAACAGAAACATGCCATGCACAAAAACCGAAACGCTTGCAACAGCCAAATCCCCAGCCAATTGAGATCATTGATCAAGAGGAAGCAGTTCCGGTTGAAGACAATATCAAATGAAATGAGCTGGATGAATATGAAGAGGCCAACAGCATCTTTGAAATTCACAAACAAGAAACAAACTTGATTGGCAAGGCTCATCAGATCATGGCCTGGTGCAATGCCCAAGTTAGCCGGATCCTGGCACTGGTTTTTTCATGTTTTTTTTTTTTTCCTTTTACCCTTAATATCATGTATTTAGATGGTCTATGTGCATAATACATACCATATAAATACATATTGCATACCCAATAGGCCATAGTATGGCCTTTTTCCAAGGGTGTTCCAAATTTTGAATTTGAAAATTTCAAACTTTTTTGTCTTGCATGCTACACAATCTTGCTTTATATTTTTGAGTTCCACTACTTCTGTAGAGCTCAAAAATGCATTGTTTACACATGTAGCATGGTTGGTGTGAACAAACATACAGATCAAAGTTCAATTTTTTTTTTGCAGGGTCGGGGTAGTCGAGAAGAGGTGATGCGCACTGTACACTTTAAGCTCATGTTTATGGGTTTTGGCTGACAGTTGGCCATGTGAGTATGGGATTAGGATACCTCCCTAACAAATAAGTATGTACTAAGACCCCCATACACGACCTATGTCCGAATGGTCGAGTGAAAAAAAAAGTTTTTTTTTTTTTGGCTGGACCAAATTGTTTGCAACTTTAGATTTGGAATCTACACACCCTGTAGACTCCAAAAACACACTTATTACAAGTGCTGGACCCCCATCGGGGTCGGGGTTTAACCCCGCGCGACCAGAAAAGTTTTGCGGGCAGCCTTGTACAGTGCAATGCCGCGCGCCACTGTAGGAAGAGTCAGAGACAAGGCCTCACTGAAAAAAAATACGACCAGCCAAAAAAAAAAAGGGAAAACAGAGAAAATCTATTATTTTTTCATTACGGGAGCTCATGCAAACCCGCACCATCGTCTACATTAAACAACATCAAACAATAACTACAATACATGTATATCTCATTAGACCATTGCATCCCAAACACATATAACCGCTTCGTAAAATACCCAAAACCCAAACTAATGATTAATTAAACTTCTTTTTTTTTATGTAAATAACATGACTTTTGTTCTCTCTTTCTCTCCCCAAAAAGAAGGGGAAAAAAAAAATTAACTCTCATCTGCTTTCCAGCAGAAAAGAAGAACAGAAAAAAAAACAGATAAAAGAAAAAAAAAAAAAGACGAAAGAAAAAGCGAAACTAGAAAAAAGGAAGAATCAAAGGAAGAGAGGATGATTACCTAGCGGTAGAGTTTTTGCGCATCATTTTATGGATGAAACCACGATGAGTCCAGGTGCTATTACTAGTACTACCACTAGTATCAGCCGGATGGACGGCATGAGCAACATGGCCATCATTGATAATGGACGTAGTAGTAGTAGTGGAGGAGGAGCAGGAGGAGGCAGAAGGGGGGATGGCTGAGGGCGCGAGGGGAGGGTTGAGGGGGCTGGATTGATGAGGATGGACGATGCTGCTGCCACTGCGGTTAAGAAGTTGTGCATGATGATCGTCGGGATCAGGAGGGGTGTCAGAAGCAAGATTACTATTAGGAGTCGTCGGTGCGGAGACAACGTGGGAGGAAGCAGTTGAGGAAGGCGGAGGGATGACGGGTGAGGAGGGCGAGCTGGATGAGCTCAAGTTGCGGTGGATAAGGGGATGGTTGAGGTTGAGCAGATAGCTCGGGTTGGCGGGCAGACTGGGGTGACAGCCAGTGGCTTCGCCGAGGGCATTGATCGAAGAGGTCGACCGGTTCGTGGGCGTCAGCCGGTTTTGCGGACTGCCTTCCCCCTCGTTCTGGTCCTTGAAATACTCACAGTGGGTCGGGACGTTGTAGCAGGTCGGAGAAGAGAAGGGCGAGTTGAATGAGCCGAGGGAGCTCAACGATAATGATGACGATGACGATCGGTCTCCATGGATCCCCACAATCGAATCTTTCAATCGATTCACTAGGGGCTTCTTCAGACTGGATCGCTTCTCAATCACAATACTTGAAACCGATGTCGAGCTGCTTTGTCGCTCTGGGGGGTTCTCCCTCCTATCTCCCTGATGACTCTCCTGCGAATACTGCGGAGTAATTTCATCTGCTCACACAAATCAGTGATCAGGGGATCCATGCTTACTTTCTGGATATATGAATAAATAAATAAATGAATACACTAACAATCTTGGACACCGACCAAAAGAGTACCAGAGCCATTAGGCTTCGAGTTATACCTCGGGGTACTGAATCCAAAGTGATTATGATTATGGTCCACGACACCAGAAGATGGTAGCTGAGGTGATTGACTCGAGAACTTTGGACTTGGCTCCAAAGCATTTGAATGGATTACCGGCCGAGGACCTATGCCAAGGATACCGAGCGAAGACTGCTTGCTGGGAGTACTGGGCGACTCCATCAGATGATCAGAATGATTATAAGCAGCGCTACTGCCCTGTTCAGCAGTGATAGTATGGGACCGTTTCCAACGAGTAGTCGAGTCAGTTGATGGGGATTTCAGCATTTGTGTTGACAGGGCTGGGGAAAGTTGCTCGATACGATCGTGACTATTGAGAGCCCATGTTCGGCAGTTGAGACTACTTTGGGGTGAGCCGCTTTGAGTCGATGTTACGGGCGGAAGCAACCCAGGAGACGCTGTTGTTGGATTTTGGATGTCAGAAATCGCTGGAGTGGTTGCTGTAGTCGCTGTTGTCCTATTTGGAGCATTTGATGTTTTTGATTCAGACTGGATAATCTTCACATATCGCCTTTCGGATTTAGCATACAGATCACCACAGATCTTCAAAAAATCAGCTGTAGAATCACTGTTTGTAGGTGCTGCTTTTTCTGAAGGCTCGGTGGCGTCAGTATACCGACGAGGTCGATTGGTCGTCTTGGGTGGGAGGACGGAGGAGTGATGCTTTGAGGAGCTCGAGCCAGATGCTTTCTTGTTGATGATAGTCATCAAACTCGCCAAGAGTGAACAATCTCGAACAGGATCCAGCAAGTGAGGTAGAGTTGGGATGCCGTCCCGAGATGAAGAAGGCAATGAGGCCCGAAGTGCATAAGGTAATCCATATCCCTCGTATTCTTTCGAGGTCCATTCTGGTTTGGTTGAGTCGGATTCACTCGCAATAAATGAAATGTAATCTCGAAATGAATCCAGCTGAGTAGTAATGAATTCATTCATCACGCTCATCCAGGGTTCCTTGATCCCAAACAGAGTCAGATTGCCCAAGCCTTGCAAAGTCTTGGCAATCAAGGTCAAGGTTCGCTGGGATTTACCATCGGGCTGAAATTGAATCAAGCTGAATAATCTTGGATTGAGGATGGCAGGCACAAAGAACCTTAGAAAGACAAAGGCTGAAATCGAGGTCAGTCTCATATCTTGATCAGCATAAGCATTGCCGACCAATTCTTGGATTTTGACGAAGATTTTCCTCAATCGATTGGGACATTTAGATCGGTTGATGTACATTGATTGCCAGATCTCGTTACAAATCTTCTTCAACTCCTTGACATTCTCAGTGACAATTTTCTCCTTCTGATGAGCAGAGAGCGATGGTTTTAGTTTGGCAGGGTCGATTTCGAGTTCGGTTTTCGCAATGCAAATCCGACGAACAACCGGCCCGATACTTGATTCTAGAAAGGACCTTCCAACGAGCCTCATGTAGGCTTCCAACATCTTCGTTAGTAGTGTATTGGCTCTGAATAAAATGCTTGCCGTCGATAAGTCGCCATTAATCTCGATCGCCGCAAGTTGAGAAAATCTCAGGATTAGCCTATTATTTGCTTCATAAATTCTGATCAGCAACTCCGCCAATCGATCTAATTCACCAACGGCCATGTGAGCTAAGTTGAGCGGTAGTTCAATGTCGTTGTCATTATTCATGAACTTTTTTTTTTTTTCAAATCAAGACAATCCAAATCAGTTTACAAAATCTACACGGGGAAAAGTCCAAAGGAAAAAGCCCAAGACGAACATTCATCATCTTAGCATATTCAGGTTCAGCCAACACGACCTGCTCAATGACGGTAATAGACAGGTTAATTTCACCCATGATTTCCAGTTTAGTGTAAAGATTCTCTCGTCCGTCGTACTGGTTAAAATTTTCGTCGCCGCCAAACTCGGCGGTAGTGTTGTTGGCGTTGGAATAGATAGGCAGCCAGAGTTGCAACTGGGTGTTCTTTTCGAACGTCTTGAAATCCAACTGACTTTGGCCGATTAATGTGATTGTAGAAGAGACTGGTGGCGAGCTGGAGTTTTGATTTGAATGGTTTGGATTCGATGATGATTTTGAGTGAACGTTATTCAGGTTTCTCTTGATTTGATAGACGTTTAAGATCAGGGGCACTTTGAATGATCCAATTTCTCTGGTGGATCAAATGAGAAAGCAAAAAGCGATAAAAAAGAGCCACTTTGAATCAGTTTTTCCAGCGCCTCTTGGTTTGTTGACACATAATTGCTGAGATACGTTAGCTGAAAAAAAGGGATTGGAAGAACCGATGGTGATACTCACGAAAATTTAAACGACTCGCTCCAGAACGGGTTGGCATTCCGCTTGATAGTTGATCTGCCAATGATTTCCTTATCCCAGTCCAACTCAACAAAGTAAAAGTTATCATTGAAACTGTTGTTTGATATGGAGTTGTGCTTGGAGCTATGGGTTGAAGATTCATGAGATGGGATGGTTGCGCTGATTGATGCTGTTGAAGCGGGCTTGTCTTCGTAGTTTGGCAAAGAAGAGGTTTGGAGACTTTGGCGATTAGTCAGACCGCTCAGGTTGGACGTGATTGAGCTCGAAAAACCGGTGGTCGAATCGTCAAAGTCATCATTGTTTTTCGAATTACTACGTTGGGTTAATTTCTGCTTTAGGTTTTGACGTTCAGGTTGTTGATTGTGATCGCTGATAATAAATTGCTGAGCGGTTTGATGTTTTCCAAAATTCGACTTGTTGAAGAGTGCTTCTTTGTTAATCGATAGCAAGGAAGTTTGACTGCTGGTATGTAGAAACCCTCCGGTCGAATTCCTTCTTTCTTCTTTTGTCATCAACTTTGTTGGATTGGGTACTCCTGCTGCTCCAGAAGAAGAATCAACCACCACACTGTTGAAAGTTATTTGTCGCGTTTCGCCTAATTTTCTACCTTCTAGTAGTTGGATCTCGACCCCTCTCCAGATCCTAACTCGTTCTGGTAATCCCTGTTTGACGGAGCTCACCGGATTTTTGGCCGATGCTTCTTCGCCCGTGCTTGACAGAGCCGGTGATGGTGATAGCTCTTGATTACTTTGCGAGACTGACAAACTCTGAAGCCTAGCCTTCGCTCCCTTGTGACCACCGTTTTGACTCTTCTTGTTGGAACGAGGATAAAGATGTCTGAAGTCATCAGGCCTGCAAAAGCATTTACAGATCACGAGCCAGGACTCGAGCAAAACTGAATTGGGCATGCAGATATAGACCGATAGTTCCGAGGCCCCAGTTGAGAGATCAGCCTGTTGAGAAGCGGGATTGGCGGGATCAGTTCCAAGACTCTTTGTCGTGTCTTGCATATTCGCCGCAGTGGGCATGGATAGAGATGGGCCCAGACGATGCGGATTGCTAAATGTACTGGGTGTTAGAGAAGAGAGAGAGCCATTGGTGGAAGACGAAAAGAAAGAGGAAGAAGGGTGTATGGGCAAGGAAGTTGATGAGGTAGGCATTGAAGGGTGAATGGGTGCATTAGTAGATGAAGCGGTGTTTCCTATCCTGCGGGTGATCACGCCACAGTGGGGACGGCCAAAGATCGACTGATGCACCATCCGAACATCCGTTCGTCGGTAAGAAGGCAAGTATATCCGATATAAAATCACATCGTTCTGGATCACGAATTTTGATGGTCGAAACCAATGAGTTGGCAAAAACAGTTGAGATGCATAACCTCAGTCAGATTCAATTCCCATCAACAAGAAATGGAGGATTTTCTAACTGCACAAAAGCTTGATTACAGACTTACACCCGAGTATAGCGTGAAATGGCCATCTTCCGTAATCACACCTTGTACCAATTTCCATTGACCAGAGCCGATGCCTTGAGAGTTCATCGCAGCGCCTGGTCCCAATGCCAAGTGACTAGTAATTGAGCCACTCCCGCCGCCACTACCATTGGATTCAGAGACAAATTTCCTCCGGCCGCTCTTGGATTCGGCATTGAAAGGATGTTTTCTCGATTTGGTTGGCTGGTCTGCTGTTTTCGAGCTGGATGGAAACCGAGTCTGGTTCAACTTGGATATCTCAATCGTATCGATCGCACTCCGATCAACAAGCGCATCTAAATGTTCGGATAGACTGTGTGGATCGAGATTCGGCCGGTGAGTATTCAGACTGGTAGCAGCACCAGATGATTCCAGCTGAGATGATGATAGAGCGTCCTTCTGCTTCGTCAATCCACTGATCAGTCCTAATTTAACCCCGCGTCGTTCTTTCTTCCCAATCAACAACTTGGAAGGCTTTGACTCAAACCCGGAGTTGCTTGGCTTGACGTGTTGAAAAAAATGTTTGGAGATCCCGCCAATGAGGTTATTTGACAGGTTCGATGCAGTAGAGGGGTTGTTGGTCATCGCCGAGCTAGACTGGGTGGTAGTATCAGAAGTGATTGAGGGCGCATCGTAGACCCAAACATAGAAACTACCGGTCCACTTTCGATACATATGGTCAGATTGACTTGACGCTGAACTAGGACGAGTGGATTGGTCTGGGATATTGGATTGAGTGGGGCTAGATCGATCTAGGGATCGAGTGGGGGGACTACCCTCAAACGGGAATTTCATTGACGAGAAGTCACGCGCGTCATCAGACCCGCCATATGGCATCGGAGTTCGCAGCGGATTCATGAGATGATAGGATGAGTCCATTTGGGCGGACGCGGAGAGAATGCCATCTTCCGTAATCGAATCTAACCGACCCGAGAAATCAAGCAGACCATTACTCGTGAAGGGAGCGGAGATTGAACGACGGTAGGATGAGGGAATGATCTTGAGTGGTGCGGGGATGTTAGGTTTGGAAGGATTCGACTGAGGGTGATCTTGAGGGCCGTCATCGGATGAAGTATGGGGTTGCAGATTGATTTGGTTGGATGTTCCTGGCACGGCTTCAGGGAGATTGGTGAGATCAGGCTGAAGATCTAGTTGGTGATCATGTTTGTGGGTTTGAAATGGGTTGAGGATGCTTGAGCCAACTTTTGAGGCTGTCTCTTCATGTGGATGGCCTTGGGCGAGCTCGGTGGTGATGGCTGAGGCTGGAGGAAATCGATATTCTGAGTTTGAGGGACGGTCAAGTTTGCTTTGAGGATTAGGAAGATCTTGTGCTGTTGTTCCAAACTGATTGAGGATGGGTGGAGTGGTGGAAGTAAAGGATTGCCGAGTAAGATTGACACTGCTTGAAGCGTCTGGACGATCCAAACTCACTGATGTTGTCGGGGAATGCTAAAAAAATGCCAAAAGGTTGAGATATCAGTGATTGAATAAGAGATACCTAGATTATGAATAGAAATGCTCAACTATTTCAAACGGACCACGACGACTATCTTGTGAGTTGGAACGAAATTCATCCCGAGACTGCAATAGCAACAAACAGTCAGTATATATACATATCTGAGTGAGATAATAAATGGGTACTGCTGACCTGGAGATGGATTGGTGAGTCTGGGTTGAGAGTGGGCTGTTCTTGTTCAGTTTTCCTGTTGACCATCATCAGCGTGGGCTTGGCAGAGGGTGAAGAGCTGGGATTAGTAAGGCTGTGAGTCAGGTCTTGGGTAAGCCTCTGCTGCTGCTGCTGTTCCTGCTGTGTTAATTTACTGTTGAGGCCGATCGAGTGGATGGCCTGTCGACGGAACTGTTTGAGTCTGGCGCGGTGGGACTCGAAGCCGTTGAGAGCACTGCTGCTGCTGGTGGGTGAGTCGACTAGCTTTTGCATCCCGTGATCATCTTTCGAGACTGGGGGAGGTGGCCGATGACGATTAATGAGTACGTAATAATCGTAAAATAAATCTTTATGTAATCGAAAATATCAAATCAAATCATTCACCATCACCAAATCGATTTCGCTCCTTCACCTTGTCTCTCGGGCGCTGACGCAGAACTTGGAAGCTTGGGCTTGGGGGAAGAACTTCAAACGGAGCGCGAATCGAGTGGAGAGATGGATATTGTAACAAGCCTTATCACGGTCATGTGATGATAACCGAATCAGATACAACATCCACCATCAGAATTCAATTCTTCACAATCCGGGATTCCCCCATACATACACAACCAATCATGTCGCCTCATGTGGCCCCGAAGCGAGATCTTGGCTTGCACAGTCTGAGCTCACAGCTCCCCAAGATGACGTTGTATTACATATATAATACAAGCTCCACCCCATAAAGGTGATCTCATTCAAGTGGGAATTCTGGTACATCGGCTTCAAACCATACAGGCCTGTATGGTGAAGTTTATACATCAAGCTGTATAAAGCAATACAGGACTGGAGAAGATGCCACCAACCATTTTTCCGGCCAGGTTTCCATTTTGAAAAATTGCTCGGCTTGAAGCCTTGAGTCCATTTAAAGGATTTAAATTGTAACACTCTGTATGTTCTTCAGACTTGGCTTGGCCATCACGGTCGTACATACTCGTCGGTCAAAGCACAGCGTTGCACTTGCGGACTGTTGCTTGCGGATCACTGCCAAGAGTTGAGGAACTCAGACCACAGGTTTGAAGGTGAGAGGATTTCGTTCATTAGGGAAGTTGCTTGGTTGCAACGGAGAAGGCAATCCTAGCTCACAACATGGAGTTCCTTCATCCATTCAGACAAGCTCCCACCAGAGGGCACATCAGTCATTTTCTGTTTATGACAACATCTACCAGATATTTTTAGGGACATGCTCATTGCTAGCTCATGCTTGATGAGTCTCTGAATGTTTCTTTCCACTCAACATAATGGCCAGAAAGAAGTGAGCATGATGAGAATCAAGCAATGAAGATGATAAGGCAACACATAGGAGATTGTTCTTGGTGTCCAAAATTTAAAATGATCACAAGGGCAGGAAAAAGACTTCCCATCAGATCTGCGGCCCTGTGTAATTTTGGACCCAAGATTGTAGGGTAATCAAGCACTCAAGATGGTCTCTATAGGGTCCCCAGTTTAAAGGCCTATAACCATGGAAGAGGAACCCAAAGTCATCAACTAAGGGAACTTCTGGACTTGAAATAGATTGGTACAAAGTCCCAATTGTGTATTGCAAGGTTTAATGAGTTTTGAGCCTGGACAAAATCTGGTTGATTTGATGATACTAGTTGGATTTGGCTGAAATGAAGCCTTACTGGCCAAGATACAAACATTGTAATCACAAGAGTAAAGTCCAAAATGACAAAGGAGGAATGTGAATTTTATAGAAAAAATAAGCACAACTAATGTACATAGTAGGGTTGATGTCGCCAAGGCCAAGTGCACGCCCAAGGCACCACACCCCAGGTGTGCGCACCCGGTGCCCCCAAAATCTTGAAAATTGGGGTGGGCGCGCACCTTGCTAACCCTAATTTCTACAGGGAGCCTGGGAGGATCTCATGGGAAGGTTCATGAGAGTTGGCCCCTGTACATGGCATGAGAGGCTGTCAGACGGTCTCCTGACAGCCTAGGGAAGAAAAATGCAACCCAACAAAGTGATTGACATCGACAATGTTGAAGATAGGGTTCCTGTTGAAACTCCTCGTGATCCTTGCGCAACCGGTGGGCGAATCTGGAAACAAAAAGTTAGAGCCAAGTGTATAATCTCAAGGCAAATCCTCATTACCCCATTGAGGAGTAATGAAAATCTGATTTACATTCGCAACACTCAGACCTTCCAAACTTCCCTCCAGGGATGTGCTTGTTTGCCGGCGCATTAAACTTGCTGGTGATGTCTACTTCCCTGCCGGTTAATAATACTTGCCAGCAATGTTCTTCAAGTTGACCTGATGTCATTACATGACCTTATACCTGCTAGCTACCAGCTGGGGAGTGATTTGACAGCTCCTTGTTGAGGAGGAATGGAGAAATCCTCCCCAGGACTTGGGTTAAACCTTGCACCTTCCCGCCGAACAGCCTGATGTGCAAGCCAGGCTTGATAAGCGGATAACAGCCAGATTCATCATTCAGGTCGCAAACAAGTTAGGCACTTGACTGACGATCTGGGAGGATGGTTACTCTGCACAATGGATAACGGGATGAGCTCCCAGCTCACGCGTAAAAGTTACGGGACGATTGTCACTTTGATTATGCGTTTGAAGGGCTTTTTGTTTCTAGATTCGGCCACGCTTGCGCAACTCCTTGTGTGACAGTTGTCCCCAGCGATCACCAACCTTCCCTATCATCAATTCTAACCTAATCTCACTCAAACTGAAACCTAATCTCATCCGCTTCCATTCTGCTCTCCTCAATCCTTCTTCTGATTCTATTCCAGTATTGTCAATACTCTTCTTCAACATCATCAATCCTCATCCCCTTACACACTCTCAACTCATCCTCAAAACCATCAACTTCCTCAAACTCACTCTTCCATCCATTGACCTTGACAAGATATCCTCAACCTCTCAACTCATTGACCTAGTCAAGCTTCTCTTATATTGGATCACTTGTCTGATTCAATTTGGTGAGAATACACCGCTTCCTTCTCCTCAACAATCAATCTTCATCACTAACCTCTCTGTTATTATGATGTTGTAGTCCTGTGTCCTCCATTTCACTGTTTATCATTCTCAGTTGTTCTCAACAATTCTATTGTTCTGTTGTGGTACATAAATTCTCATTCATTTCTTTATGTTAATCTTCTTTTTACTCAATCACTTATGTATTTTTCTTCTCAGTCTGGTTTTGTTTCTTAGCAATAAACTCTAAGTTCTTACAGTTCCGATCCGGACCCCACAGATCCGGCAAGATCCCAAAAACCCGCAAACCGGATCAGGGCTTGGGATTGACCCAGAGAGATCTGGCATCCGGTTGGATGCTGAAAACCCCCAGAAGTTGGGGATTTGCGGGGATTACCCGCATCAAACCCGTTCGGGAGGCTAGCTGCTGCACCTCAGCTCCAACTTTCCCACCCTGAACCCCCTTTTTTCACAGCAGAAAAGCAAAAAAAAGCATAAAAAAATATCCTAGAGATCCGGAGAAACCCAGCTAGGTGCCAGATATCTGCGGGGTCAGGGTGCGGGACGCACAGAATCCGGCTCTGAGGCACCGGGTTGGAACCCTAGTTGAAGACATCGCAAATGAAGAATCCAACTGGGACCCCCAAGAGCTTTGGCTTTCTTGATCTGCCAGACCATTTCCCATTTTATTCCACTTTACTTATATATTTCCTGCCTTCTCTGCAAATAGAATACATATTGTACATATACAGATTCACTCATGCTACAAAAAATTGTTTTTAAAATCAAAAATAGCAAAAAAAGAATTGGCGCCCCCAGCCAAAGGCACCAGCTTGAGGCCACTGGGAAGGCGCCCTTGGGCGCGCACTTTTTCAAACATGGCGCCGTCAAGTCTTCTATAATCCTCTACATCATAGAAACAAAAAGAACAAAAAACTAAACAAGGAAGGGTTCTTGCAATCTCCCAATCAAAACCAACTCAAGAACCCTAGGGATTTTGAAAGTTAATTATAAGTTTGGGAAGGCTGATGGACAGGCCAATTGATCAGGGCTGGTTGTCAGATGGAGTAGCTTTTAGTGATGTATTGCAAGTGTTGATTCATACATAATGACATTAGATGTTATATCGTGATCCCTCGAGCCATCCTCCATCAACAAGCACTGCAGTGATATATCCAGCATGTTTCGTTGGCAGTGGGCCTCTTGAGCCGATATGGGACATTGGGAAGCTGGGATGTGCTCGTTCTTAAAATCCCGTTTTTGTCCCGGGGTGATCGAGCAGATGCACATCGGGCGAATCAAACTGAGCCCCCCCCACTGCCCAGGATATATCAACAGATCTCCAATTCATGGGGCTGGGGAGAGTTGGGTGGACAGCGGGAACGTGGACGGTCGCCATTTCTCTTCTTTGTCGGTCCTCATAAATATTTATGTGTCTTGCACTGGAGCCGAGAGGGTGCTGTCCACGAGGATATTCAAAGCCTGGCATCGTCAGAGGGGGGGTTGGAGAGTGCTTTGGACTGGGAGATTCATGCTCCCAATATCAAGTGATCATGGGTTGCTGTGGCTCTCTTTCCTTGCCCGACTCCATACACAACGGTCAACAAGCATATCTTCAGTCGCCGCCAGGGTTTTCTTTTTCGTCTCCCCTCTCCGCCCTTCCCGTCTCTAGTCTGATTCTATTTACAACCATCCACATCTTTAGGATTGTTCTGCGATCCTCCGTTCTGCTGAGTGCTTGTGTGTATGTGTGGTTCCGAATTCCGTTTGGTAGTCACTAAATACAACTTTAGCATTGTGCGTTCACCCTCTGGTTTTTTTTTTGTGAATACAATCTGTTGAGTTGGGATTGACTGTCTTGGTCTCTGCAGTCACTTCCTTCTCTTTTTGTTTTTTCCTACCATGCACGGAGTTAGTTGGGAAGATGAGCTTGACCCTAGTGATTCCCGGCGAGGTGGTTCGGTGGACAGTCACTTCGACGAATGGGATGGGCCATCGTCCGATTATCATCACCTCAAACGTTCGTCCATGCCCTTCCCTCCTCTTTCTGACTGCCCCTAATAATCTTCACCCACATGAATCCTGTCCTCCGCCCGGTCGATGAGAGTCGATTGGCCTATCCATGACGCATGTTGTTGTTGTTGTTGCTGTAGTACAATATACAGTTGCTTATGACGTATATACACTCGCCATAGTAAATTGCTTCCGCTCCACAGCCCAATTGCCCATTTGTTCCTTTGGGCCGATCTGCTGTCTTCTTCAGATGTTTTTGTGGCTTGGTTGTACATAGTACTGACTTGCAGACCGTCTTCTGTTCTCTTTCCCTTCGAACCGATTGAGGATCACAGGCTATCCTGATCCATACCCCATGGACCATACGACTCAGCGTGAGTTCGAGGGTGACTACCACTCATCCCGGACGCCTCCCGGAGTCAGCGATGAGGACTGGAACCAGGCGCGTGAGGATCTGGCAGATCTCGGCTTAGGAGACGCCGACGACCTGCGTGCAGAACCGCTCGACTCCAATTATCACCACCATCTCGGCTCATCAGAACCCCCGACGGGCCTCCACTATGGCCACTCACCCCCAGGGCTCGATGACTATTCAACCCACGAAGAGGATAGCTACTTGTCGGACTTGAGGGGAGCGGGGTCTCCTGCTCATCTCCATCAGACGGATGAGTTTTCTGCAAACCCTCATCACTCCTTGGACTCGCCCTCAGGCCTCAACAGCCCCGGTCGGCACGCCTTCGATCATCGCCCTCTCTACAGCCCTGGTCGATCGGACTATGGTCCCGAGCTTGCCGGCGCCGATCTCAACACGGACCATCGGGACTTTGATTTGGACGCGCTGAACTACCATAATGACGGCCATCACAATCCTGCAAGCTACAGCAATCATCTGGCGAGCGAGGATGATGATCCGATGCTCTCCCATCACCGGCATCAACGAGCCGATGAATTTGACTCAGACCTTCATGGCCCGAGGCATCATGATCCCTTAAGCCCAAACTCTCACGATAGTGATTTGTTATACCAAGACAACACTCAATTGCCGTGGAGCCGTCGGGCAAGCGACGTGAGGTTTGAGGAGGGCCATCCGCCAACCATGACGGACACGGACTCACTCGACCCGTTGACCTCCAGTTCTGACTACACCGACTTCCCCTATGATGACGATCAACGGCACCACCACCATCCTCATCATCATCATTATCCCCACCCCCATCATCCTCCCGTGTCTCCCAATGGTCATTATCGATCACACCCCCAAAGCGGGTTTCCTAACGCTTTTGCGTCCCCCGAGCTCCAGCGCGCTCACGGACTTGGTGAGGACTATCACGACCCCAATTTCGCCGAGTTCTCTCAACGCTCTCCGAGTGATTTCCTCAACCGAAAGTCCCGCCTGTCTCCCTCCACAGCCAATCCTGGGTTTTCACCCGCCAACAGGGCTGATCGGTTTGACGGTGAGCTTGGATTCCTTCCAATCCGTGTCCCCCTTTTGCTGTCCTTTTTGCTGGTGTTTGCCCTTTGTAAATATTCCACAAGATACATAACAAACAAATGTCGCGGAGTTAATAGAGCCCTGCCGCCGTTCTATATCACTGTCTTGAACTCATGCTGATCCCTTCTTTTATTTTTCCCCTTAGACCTCGGCAGCCCTTCTCGCCTGCATCCCCGTCCATCTTATTCCTCACATCAGCACCAATCTCCCCTCTACGACCAATACCAGGGCGCAGATCCTCACGGTAGTTATAGGGGTGAGCACTCCTTTCAAAGAGGGTTTTTTTTCTTGTCTTAGTCATCCCCTTCATTCAGTGCTAAGTGTTGTTATAATTTGCTTTCTATTGTAGATGATCACTTGCATCAAGATTTAAACTACCACCTACCCGATCACGAACGCTCACTGGGCCATTTACCCACCAACGACCAAAGACATGTTTCGCCGCGGGAGGACATTGAACGGATGAGAGCCCAGCTGAATGAGTCACTGGCTCGGGATCCAGGATTGTCTCTCTCTGGCCGGCGATCGCCCCATTCTAGGTCCTTCGGGCCGTCCCCCATGGTCTCAACGATCAACCAAACCGGCCTGCGTCCAACCTTGGATTCTCCGTTGTCTCGATCGGGCTTGCCCTACCCCATCACCTCGATGGAAGAAACCGCCCGTCGCACTACGTTAGAGCGGCCTCGATCTCGCTCTGGTCTGCCCTACCCTGCAACGGGCTCTGGTCGTCGGTCCCCATATTCGGCGGATCTGCGATCCCCTCATTTGGGGCTGTCCAGCAGGATCCCGGTGGTCGCAGGTTTCAGCCCTGGTCATCAGTCCACCAGCGCCTTGCTCCATCATCAGGATCCTCTGAGAGACCAATTGCATCAAATCAGTGACCTTAACAGGCACATCCGGGATTCCGAACTCGCGCACCAGCGTGAACGAGCGCTTATCGATCAAGCGGCCGCCGATCTTGCGCGACAATCGCTCAACGACCAGCGCCGTCGGTCCGAGGCAGTCCATGAACGGGAGCTTGCACTTGCCGACCAACAAGTCTCGCGCCTTGCCCAGCACTCGCTTGCCAAGGATCTCCGGCGGAACGAGGTTGCCCATCAACGTGACTTGGTGTTAGCTAACCAGCGAGCCTCTCAACTCGGACAACAAGCGATGATCCAGGCCAGTCGCGAGAACGATATCTACCGGGACCTTGAAAACCAACGCCGACAACTAGACCTCGAGCGGGCCGAGATTGCGCGCCAGAGAGACCGTGTGGACACGCAGACTCAACTCGGGATGATTGACAGCCAGCTTCGGGCCATCGACCGCCAGCGCGAAATCGATAGCAACAGACAAATGGCCAACCTCAGTCGGTTTGGAAACTTGCCCTCAGTGCTCCGCGGGAACTACAATGGCCGCCCTCTCGCGTCTCCCTATCTCCAACAATCTCGCTTCCTCTCTGCGGCCCGACGATGGTCTGCCAGAGACAAATCTCACCAGCCCGTCGTCTTTGATCATGTGGATGCATACTACCGGTTGATCTCAGACCATCTGCCTAGACAACTCCCCCTGTTCAAAGATCCCTACTATAATCACGACTCTTATCTTCTCAATAGCGCGTCGAGAAACCCATTACGGCCACTCTCCTCCGCCCCTCTTGTGGGCCGGAATTTGGGAATGAGCGATCCGTTTGTCGATGGAATCGACTACGATTATGGGTATGGGAAGGTTGGCACCTTGGGTCTGAAGCTGGATCAATTTGCGCGCGAGCAGGCTTACATTCTAGATGACCTTTATCTCTACGAGCTTTTGTTGAGACTGGACGACAGCATCGATGAGCTTGAGCGACAGCGTCGATGGCAGGCACGACTGCGATGGGAGGAGTGGGCTGATACACGAGCCAGGGTGCAAGCATGGAGTCGGATGTCGGGCGATGAACGGCGTCGACTGGGGCTGAGCGAGGGCTCATATTGGGCCTCGAATCTGTTTGGGATCCCGTTGGATGGCCGATTCGGCTACCAAAACATCTCGAATCTATCCAGATACCGGCCCACGGATCTTCGCTCCCATTATGCCCTCAGCTCCCGCTTGGCCTCCAGATATCCTATGTGGAATCGCGGCGGACTCGGATTGGGAAGACGTCTCTCTAATTGGCTCGATTACGCTCGTCGGCCTCCTATCAAATCTAAGTATCTCGACCGTCAAGAAGAAATCAGACGCGAGTATGCCCAGCGGAGAGGTGAAATCCCCCCCGGATCCGCTCTCAGACCACCTGGTCTGATGCTTTCTGGAGGCTATCCTCGTGGTCCATTGACTGGTCAGTACTCACCCCTAATACTTCTGAATCCAGAATCCAAAAATATTTTTTTCTGATTACTAATGGTTTTTTTTTTTGACAATTTATAACAAACAAACCACATGGCGTTTTTGAAACACTCGTTTTTTGATGGTTCTATCTGGGGTGAACGTGAACCTGAAATCCGGGTGGCCGATGACAGCAGGATTAGGATCCAGCAGGACGCTTGGTCAGCATCTACCTCCTCTGCAAAGAACGCCCTCATTGAGCAGCGGTTTGTTGTCGAGAGGAGTAGCCTCTCGATCAGTTCCAAGTGGTTTGACTGGGCCTTCTGATCTTAGTAGCAGCCGTTCCAAGCCGTCCGGATCGACGGCACTGAAGGTCCCACCGGGGCCATCCTCGTCGACTCAGCTACGCTCCCCACACACTCCCGCCTCTAGCGTCGCCTCGGTCGCGGCCACGAAGAGCAAGATTCCGGGGCCGGTCCATCCGCAAAGTCTGTCGACGAAGATGGGCTCGGGACCCGGCAGTTCCAGCCGGCCAGCGGTCGTAGCCACCAAGCCCATCCCGATCAAGCCCGCGCACACCACCACCACATCGAGCTCGTTGCGGCCGCCCGGAGCGGCCCTCCCGACGGGCTCGCGGACCACCGGGACTCACGAGCGACCCACGACCCCTTCCCGGGCCGCGGCGAGTCCCGGGCCCATGGTCGTCTTCAACCCGCGCGTCAAGGCCGTCCCGCCCGAGTCGGAATTCGACCCGCCCCTGCCGCCCCGGCCGCCCTCCAGAAACGCCATCCCCCCGCCCCGCTCCGCACTCAAAACTCCCCCGCCGCCCTCTGACGCCCCCAATCCGCCCCCGCATCATCAGCTTAATGATGAGCGCTTGGAATCAATCACCAAGATTAATACCGAACGTAATCGCGCGACGCCGGCCCCTCCCGCTACTCCTCCCTCCGGTAAAACTCCGAGAGGCTCTCACTAAGCTCGTGGGATTTGCCCTCGGGTCTCCCTCTGTAACAACAGTCTCTCTCTCTTGTATTCAGAGACTATTGATCCGGCTGTCCACGTTCTCTCTATATATTGATCTATAATATCTGAACAATAAAAACAATCAACCCACTGTTTTCATATCTCTTGTCCTTTTGGTTCAGTTCAGTCAAGTTTGCTTATGTGTGTGTGTATTCGTTGAGACTGTTATGTACTAGTATATCCTGCGGATAGAGTATCCAATGGTGGCCGCGAGAGGATGTATGTCTGCATCTACATCATTGTGTGGTTGGTGTCCTTCTTCTTCTTCTTGGTGCGGTGGTGTTGAAGTTAATGAGTATGTAAGTAGAGGGACGGAAGGAGGGCCGTGGATGATGGCGAAGTTTATTTGAAGTCAGGGGTCCAGTGCTTGAGTGATGGTGTGGTGGTTGTGGTCTGCAATCGCTGGAAAAAAGCTATGGACTGGTCCGACTTTTGATTGCAGCCAGCTTGGATTTGCACGCATCTTTCCACATGCTATCAAGCCGTTACTCGTAACCATCTCAGAACGAAACACATCTTGTCCCTTCTCAAGAATCACTCGTCACCACCAACACCCAATCACAAAAGCTCGCTTGAGTCAGTCATCCAGAGCCTTCGACATCCCATCATCATCATCATCATCATCATCATCATCATCATCATCATCATCATCATCATCATCATCAGGAGCCAAAAAAACAAGCAGACCCATCAAGATTCTAATCAGTCTGGCCAGCTCTGTTTTTCTTTTCTTTTTCCTTCACTAAAATTTGCAGCGATATCGAGGGGAAAGATTAGCATGGGTGGAGAGGAAGTTGAGCGGGTGATATAAGAGTGATACAAGAAGTGCGCAGAAAAGAAAAGAAGAAAAAGGAAGAGTGACGAATGCTGAGGGATTGCTGCGATCCCAAGAGTCGTGTGTGTGGGAGAGAGAGGGTAAGCTCTGCCCCCATCCATGTATATAACACGTCTCCTCCAGCGGCCGTCAATATCGCCCGCAATCCCTCCAGGACCCATTCACAAAACACTGAACAAACTGGCTCTTCCTTCTTTTTTTTGGAAAAGGGGGGGGGGATCAAATGGTATATTATATTATGTGTACCCATACAAAAAAAGGGGCACACGGCGGCGGATCCGAGAGACTTATAAAACTGATAGTCTCATTGAACCTCTTATCTCACACAAAACAAAAACAAAAACACAAGAAGTGGTTATTTGCATCTCCGATGGACCACTGATCTTCCTTGCTCTTTGTACTGTGATCGAATCAACAACGTGTTTTTGGGTGTGTTTGGTTGGGGTTGTGTGTTAGAGAAGGATTCAGATTAGTGAGAAATGATGCAAAAAAAAAAAATTGATGAGCAAGAGTTATAACGCCAGTGTTTTTTGGTTTGAAGAAATAAAAGAGAGAGAGAGAAAAGAGAAGAAAAAAAAAACCGTACCTCATCTTTGCCGATCCAGAGCTGATGAAAGGAGCCCAAACTAGCCAAGATACTGCCGCCCAACCAGGGGGCGAATTTACGTTCGACGAGGTTACCGGGTGCGGAGATTTTGAATTTGACAGCGGGGGAGATCGCCTTGAGGTCGAAGTCGAGTCTGTCGATGAGGCCGGGGATCAAGCTCGAGGCGCCGGTGAGGATGATATTAGCGTTGAGGGTGGGCTGGATGTCGATGTCCGAGGCGGCGATGGCCTCGAGGAGTAGATGGGACAACGGCAGTGGGGCCTCAGCCATGCTGATCGTCGAGCCCGGATGTCGCCCTCCAACGTGCTTCCCCAACGGCCAGGGCGAGATCGCTGGGTTGAATATCACCTCCGGAATCATGTATCGTTCGCGTCCGTACTGTTGTTGCTGTCCACTCGGAAACTCAAACGTCCGTCCTGGCATCGCCGATAATGTCCTGTCAAGAAATCACCACAAAAACTCGCATCAATCAGCCCCCGGATCACAATCCAAAAATTAATGAACATCATGAGAGGCTGACTCTTCCTCCCAAGTCCTTGGAAAGACTTCACAGATAGACTCCTTAAGATCATGCATGATCCTGATCTTCTGGTAACGCAAAAAGCTGTCGGTAGTTTTCGAGTTTTCTTTTCCGGGCAGCCGCTCGTCGCGGAGGGTGACGCCGGGAGGAACGAGCACAGGATCCTCATCGGTGGCGGAGGCCATGGCGGAGTCGGGGTCGACGGGCGCCGGGTGGCTCGCTTTGCTGGCTATCAGACTGTGCGGATATAGGGGCGTCGGGAGAAGACTCTCCGTCGTCGATAGTAAGAGCGACGATAATACGTTGCCCGCGATCGGTGACTTCTGTATCCCTAGTGTGTGTGTGTGTTTCAAAAAACGTGTCCATAATCCGCATGGTCAGCTTTTGGTTCTGCTCATCTTTTCTTTTCCCTCTCTCTCTCGATTACCTTTTCGTAGGACGAATCCGTCGCAGATCGGCGTCACTGTTGTCAGATCATCGCCAATATCAACAACCACTGCAGTGCCTTTTCCAGCCGCAAATCTACACCAATTTAACAGAAAAGGGGGGGGAGGGATGAAGATGAGCCAATGTGATTTTAGAAAAAAATAACATGTGAAGGAGAAAGAGCCTCATACGCAGCCATGACTGAACGATCGACGGAATAGTATGCCGGGGTATCGAGCTCTTCGAAGGCCATCTCGATCATTCGCTCGCGGTTTTCCTTGGAGTTCCAGGAGGGTTCGGTGACGAGGAGAGGATGCTCGGTGAGGATGCCGCGTTTCTCGTCCGGTTCGAGGACTGCAGCTGATGATTCAAGAGTCGATCAACGAAACCAGTCTTTGTATTTTGAGGGGGGGAAGGGTTGATGGGAAGCGGAAAGAGGTTGATTTTTTTTTACCAGGCAAGCCGAGCCTCATCTCGCGATCAAACACCGTCGTGATCAGCTTCCCAACGGCCGTCCAGTCCTCGACCATCGACTCCTTCATCGGACTCCGCACCTCCATCTGGGCTCTCCACAGCGTCGGGCCATGGTCTCCAAAGTAATAGCTGCCCGCGCCGGGCTCGGCCGAGTCGGATGCCGGCGGGATGTAGCCGTACGACGTCGGGATCACCACTTTCGGCGTGTCTTCTCCTGCATATCTATTTCACTCATTCGGGGGGTTTTTTGTTCATGAGGGTTTGTCCTTAGTTTTTCGTACTGTCTTAACTGGCTGGTCTGGTGTCTTACCCTGCTCTAGTAGTGCTTGACCCGATATCCAATACGACGGCACTGACTTCGTCTGTTCCCGATGGCCGAATATATGTAGTTGAACAAAGACAGACGCGTGTTGTTGTTGTTGTCAGAACCCAATGAAATCGAGTGATTGAGAAGAAGGGTGAAAGGGAGAGCCTGACCTCCGCCATAAGTGGGCATGCTTGAAGCTCGAATCGGTCAGGAACTGCTTTCGGGCGACTGAACACCAAACACTCCCGTTCTCGGGCTCGTTGCAGGTAGGTTGTATGTAGTTCGTGTTGGATTCTTCCGGTCCTCGAGATCGAGTTAGTGCCAGTTAGTGTGTGTGTGTTGTTGGTTGGTATCCCAATCGGCAGCTGGCGCGCTCGCTTTCATCCCTGCTGGTCGTGTCCCTCTGTTGAAGTGGCCGCAGTGTCACCCTGTACATACGACGACAACTTGTCAGATCTGGCCATGAACGTCTCATCATCATCATCATCACTTGAACAATGCCTGATCTAATTTGACCAAGTCCCTCCTTCTTTGGAGGGGATGCCGCCCCGCAGGGACCTTCCGAAGGATGATGCCTGATGGTCTCACCATTGGCATTCCACCTCCCCCCCCCCCCTCATGGCAACACACAAAAACATGCATGTTCATAATACAGCTGAGATCCATTTCCACCGACCTGAAACGAACTTCATAATTTGGGCCTTTGATAAAATACTCCGCTATAAGGCTTCAACATTAGCAGACCGCTTTTGCCGCAAGAGTACCCAGACTGCTCACAAGCGGATCCAACGCCAGATCAGAAAGACTGTGTCTATCAATTCATGCAGACCATGATAATCATGAACTGATTTGGGACTCGTTATGCTCTTCAACAAAGGCTCAAGATGGTCAAGTCAAACCATCCACTTACATTCGAGTTCATCCGTACTTTTGTATACCTGGAAACACCATGTAAACCTGGAACTCTTCAAGGTTAACTCCCTCACCCTCACTGCATATCAACCCTCCAGATCAACCCCATCTAATGAGACATCTCTGATGTTTTTTTTTTTACATTATAAGCAGAAATTGAAAATATTGCAGATTGAAGAGTTAGAATGAAATATGTAGGTGGGCTTGCTTGATAGGATGTGGATAAAAAAAACCCCTTCAAGCTCTAGTGTATGAAAGATTTCTAGGAGCAGGGATGATTTTTATCATGATGTTACTATAATTAGCTTTTTCCATTCTCACTTATTTATGCAGGAGGAGAATATATGCATCACACTCTTTCAAAACTATGTATTCAAGTTTGACACTTTCTACATATTTACCTGTTTTAAGTTTATTTTTTTTGGCTGGTGATTTTGAAAAAGGATATTGAGATTTATGTACATGGATCTTTGGATGTGCTGCTCCGAGATGGCGCACTAGGTGATTGATTTACTACATTGGTTTACTACAAGAAAAAGTTGCCCAACTGTTTGCAGTTGACATGCAATTTTGTTGGAATTCCACTTGTTCTCCATCTCCCTTCCTCATCATGTCTCTTACATTTCACCTGATTGCTTGATATTAATCTTTTGATTTTTTTTATTCATTTTTTTTTCTCACAGTATTGCTCCCACAATTTGAACAACTTGTACTTGAGATTATTTACATTGTCTAAATACTTCTAAATGGAATATCATCAGTTCTGCTCATAATTGATCCTGACTCCTGAGGTGAAACTATTGTTTCCCTCAGTCTTATACCAAGCACACTCCAGCCCTCTTGCTTAAGTTTCTAAGCATATCTTCAGACCTTGTCTGTATTTGGCTCCGCCAACTTTTGCCCCTTCTCCGCATATCATTTCAACAAATTTTGCAAAGGCACCTTTGTAATGTCACTAGAGATGGAAGATTATGTGGCTTTTTTCTTAGTCTATCTGTTGGAATTCTGTTGTTTCCCAGTCTCTATCCCAGTCACTCTCATCTTTCTCTCCAGATGCAAATTCATTCTATTTTCTCGATCACAACTGAGCCCTCACTGTTGGAATAGCTAAATACACAAACATCATAGATAGTAATCATGAACAGAATCATCTGCTCTTCTGCAACTGATCACTGAGGTCAGTACTGATACAACCTCTTGTTGTGTGTATTTACAATTTCCCACCGCACCAGCTAGCAGAACTTGCCCTCAAAATAGAGCCTCTTCACCCCTCTTTCTAGCCAGAGAGCCTTGTCTTGTGGCTTTTTCTTCCATTCATTCCCCCCCCCTTTCTCTGACTCAGTTGTGAAATTCCATCACTATTAAATTTGCAAACTCAAATAGTAATGCCTTTCCTTATAAATTTTGAATACAGATCCAATTCAAAATTCACCCTGTAAATTCAAAACAAAATGTTGTTTTCTTGTGATCTCAATCCCATCAAGCAAGACAGGTCAATACAGGTGGAGCATCACCAGGAAAATCTATGCTTACTAGACGTCAGCTGACATCAAGTAAAATTGATTGCTGCTCCCATGTAGCTCCAGCTCTGTTGTGACCCAACCAGAATGGCCCCTTTGTGTGCTACAGGGGGCTGATTCAGATTTCAGCTGTATCTGTAATGAATGGTACACTTGAGTTAGCTTGATGTCACTTGTCATCAAGTGTCCATTGTTCTTTCCGGGTGCATATGCGTCAACTTTTCCATCTGGCAAAGGGAATGATTTCATGTATGCAGAGGAAGACCAGTTTTGTGTAGCAGTTAATTGAGTAGAATCTATGAATTCTTTAACAGCATGTATCAAAAATATATGTAAGCAACATTTGGATCAAAGAAAGAATGCTTCAAAAGACTGTGAACAGATGGAATTGTGAAAAAAGAATGCTTATAGAGAGCGACAAGCTGAATAGAATAATATCTCTTTGAGAAAGATTCACTGTGGTCAAAAGTTGGGACTTGAAAGAGAATTTTGAATTGTTTTTGCAACTGCCTTGAATCAAATTATTTGTATCTCACAATCCAGTAAGATGGAAGGTAGCCATGAAGAAACAGATTTATATCATTTAGGTAACAGATTTCTGGGGGGTTTTCCAAAGATTGAGTTTCTGCATTGTTTTTTTCCAAGGTCCTTTGAGGAGTGTACCCAATTCGTCTGGTTTATCATCCAGGTTCTTCAGAGCAACTTTGGAGAATTCTTGGGCCTGTTTTGGGCTATAGCCACTAACCAAATAGAGGGCTTCGAACATATCTGTTTTCATCTCCGGTGTCATTTGCTGAACATTTTCGGATGCCGCATTCGTCAAGTCAGTCATTCTTTGCTCAAACAACAACGGCCTCTCGGGGACAATGTTTCGGCCTTGATCCAACAACTTGACATTTAACGGCTTCACACGAGCGACATCGTGAATGTTCTTTAACGAGACCTGTTTCAGTTCACGGAACATCTTTTCTACGTCTTCGTTGGTGAGCTTCATGGCTTGTTCTTCGTTGCCAAATCGAAGTATATCGCCGATCGTAATCAGGCCAATGTCGTCACTTATCCGCGGGTCCGCCTTCCCGACGAGGCCGGCTTTCCACCATATCGTTCCGGCAGAACGCCTGGAGAACCAATTGAGACGCTCTAAAGCAATCTTGTCCGCTTGCGAACTTGTGATGACTTCGGTTTCCATGTATTTTCCCAAAGCTATTCGTTCTTTATCAGTGAGAGCATTATAACTTTTTCCAAGACTAGCGTATTCCCTTTCGGTCTCGATAGAGAGCGGCTTGAGATTCTTGTTTTTGATGTGTTCGATTTGGTGGGTAGCCGCCACATCGAGATTGCTTCCTTCACGAAACATTTGATAAGGCAATACGGCCACATGTTGGTTTCTCGGTAGCTCTGCTGGTCCTGAAAAGCGAGGGTTCCCGACAAAAGGGTTGCCGTGTTTGAAGTCTGTGAAGGTCCCGAGCTTATCCAACAGACTGGGTGAAGCGGTGTCCACCGAGTGTTGAACGAATGAAGTTGGCTCAAACAAGCGAGTCATAGCATTGGCCAATTGATGAAAAGACGCAGCAATGATAATGAAGGAAAGAAGCTTAGGTGCCATTATTTGGATTCTGCGTTTGATCTCAGGGAAGGAAGGGATATGATTTCTTGATTGGGAATCCAATTTGCTGTCAAGTCACTCTTTATTCTACCCAATCGTCGCGGCCAGTCGGAATGGTTTGGTAGGGTTTCTTGATTTTCAGCGTGGAAACAGCATCTCAAACTCCTTGATCATGACTGAGGCGATGTACGCATTGGCCGTCCGAGGTTTTGCTACGGATGTTAGAACAGTGTCGTCTGAACGTCATGTGTGCCATCCCCACTCCGACCGACACCCATCGGTCAAGTCTCAACTTCTCAAGTTGAATCAGGACAGTTTTCTCCTTCGCTTTGGCTGCCGGTCTTTACTCAACGTACAATAAGATACTGAGATCCAGCCACTCCTTCTCGTTTGCTGAAGCAATTACATAACAGGCAGCGCGAGGCGGTCGCATAGAACAAAAAGTCGCGTCGAAATTTGCACAACCGACCTCACTCTAGGCCTGTGGAGGCGACTCGAGTCGCATCCTTACATATATCAGTTTCACCTCTCACATATATAATCCGCATAAATGCTTTGGCTTCTCGGGTACCGATAGTATCTTTAAACACTGTTCGGACCAGCAATGTCCGAGCAGTCGCGCATCCACAGTGCAGAGAACTCGTCGGATCGATGCAAGGATGCTTCTGAGTCTGACTGACACCAAAACATCTGCCAAGGAAATGAGCAGCTGTACAGAAACCCTTCCCCTTGAAAACACACAACTGTATCGTTTTTCCAATTTTGCCACCACACCAGCTTGGTCATGGATGGTTGTGACAGTGAGACTGAGGGCCGACGTTTCCTAATCTCTAGTGACTATCTGTGAATTTTGTCTAAAAGGAAAAACAGGACCCACAAAATTTTATCAAGATGAATAACCACATGATGGACTTTTGTGTTTTCCATTTTGGCACACAAACCTAGTTATGAATGGACATCTTTTCCTTGCAGGTTGCTCACCTAGGATGTAAAAATGACAATTGGGTTCTACCAATTGTGTTGTGCCTGTTTTCAAGGGTTTTTCTATCCTTCTTTGCTCAGTCAATAAAGACCGATGTGCACCATGATTTTGAACAAGCAAAGAAATCCATTCTCATTGCTATTGGCAGGAAAAAGTTTGTAGGTTGGGCACCAGCAACCTGAAAATTAGCTAGAGGAAAATTTCAGTATGAAAATGTATTAACAACCTTGGAAAATGAATTGATTTGGGCAATATCAGGTGCTTTGTTTGGTTATCTATAAGTGGTTTTCTGGGTTCTGTGAGAGTGGTGTCATCTTTTTTCATTCTCAACTGTTTTCATTCTCAACTGTTTTCATTCTCAATTCAATTTGAAGGGTGTAGCTTGGTGCTTGCAGTGCAGCACAATTCCCTTCAATGAATCCCAGCAGATCCATGATAAAAGAAATGTGATTTTTGGTCCTTGATTCCTCCTTTACTTATGTATGTCGATATGTTGGACAGCTACCTGGGTGTTTAGGTGTTCCAAAAGCCCATCCCAAATGCCAAACCCCAGTGATACCACCCATGGAATTATCTGGGGTGTGTAGTTAGGTTTTCAAGCTCAATTGTTCCTCACAATTTCTACCCCCTTCCTTCCTATTGTTAGCATGGGTGCATTCATGTAATAACAGATAACATGATTGTATCTGTTGGATGATTTAATTAAGGAGCAATTGAATACTTTTTTATTTTTATAGTTGAACTCTATGTGCTCTTGTGAAAAATAGCATGGAGTTTCAACAGAAGGAAAAGCTGTACCATGACAAGGAAAGGAGAAAGAGAAGGAGAAGGAGAAAAAAATAACACATAAGGATAAAAAGATACAAAAACTAAGGGTTTGTTCAAATATAAGATGCTTTTCAGTTATGTATAAAATCAGAACTATTTCAACCCAAAGTCCCATAAATATCACTATTACAAATTCTGCTTTTAATTGTAGAGCTCAATCAGTAATAAAATGAAACAACAGAACTACTCATGTATGTATATCAAAAAATCTATGTAAAAGTATTGCCTTCTATGATCTGGATTGTGGATATGTAATTAATTTGATGTGTGCAGTGGGTTGCCATAAGTTGTCACCACTTCTTTTAAAGGCCAAGGAGGCCTCCTAGGACTCCCCTTTGTCCCCCAAAAGAAAGAAGAGTAATGAGAGCATTTGGCTACCCACTGTACATAGGTACATTCATCTTTTGTGCTACAAACTAATTTTTGTTTCATTTTCATTTTTTGGAAGTAGATTTCTTGAAAATGGTTCCAATCTTTTTTGGTCCAAAATGGTCTTTAATCCAGTTCAAAATTGAATGCATTGAATTCTTGAGTTTTTGGATTATTTTGTGTGTCCCCAGGAGGATATTGAAACGGACGCGATCATAGGGGGTGTTGGCAGCATATTTTCCTATGTTTAAAATTGATTCATCTATCTTGTCGTGGGAAAAGAGATTCTCGGAAATCCATTTAAGCATGAGCCTCCGTTTCTTTGACTGATTAGACAATGACCGATGCAGTTCCACAAATCGTCTTGTCATATTTTCGGAAGAATAAGCAAGTGGTAGCAACGCTTGCTTTTTATCTTCTGCCAGTTGTGAAGCTTGTGCTGCGCTATAAGCTGCTTTGACATTGGGGGTTTTATAAGCTTCCAGCATGCATAGTAGCTCTTCCATTTCATCTACCTCGAAACCCAGATCTAGCCATGTAAATTGTAGCGACGGTGGGGCCCATCCCTTGACCTCCAGTTTTTGTGCCAAACTTGCAAGAGAGTTTTTCCACTCATCTGGGTGGGACTCAGAGCCGAGATATTTAATGAAGGAGGTATAGCCAGTTTCGTCGCTGTTGTTCCTTGAGAAAAGCTCGATCAGCCATTGTTTTCCGGGACCAGTGGTCCATTTCTTGTCGTATGATTTTTCGGATTGCTTGAATGTTTTGAACAGCTTGACAATTTCATTTCTGACTTGCTCTTTTTCTTCCAAACTCAGCATAGAATGTTCCTTTGACAGATGAGGTTGTATCAAATCGCCAATCTGTATGGTAAGATGGACCTTATCAGATTCGTAGTCGCACTTCTTTTGTAAATCAATGTAGTCTTGTTCAGACCACCAAATCTCCTTATCCGATAGTGATCTATCAATGAGGAAGTTATAGAGCTTAAATAAGGACCAGAGTCTGAAATCCGGTTTCATCTGTTTGAAAAATGCCTTAATGTCGTCCTCTTCGGCCCGGTAGACTTCCTGTGACTGCCATTTCTCTCGATTCCCCTTGTGAAGAATCAGGGAAGCACCCTTCAGGTCGCTGAGATGCTTTCTATAAGTGTCCAATTTCCACTGGGGGGTCTTCGACGTGAGGGGCCCCGTTTCATCTGAGTCAGAATTGTCTGCCTCGACAGAGTCTTCATGATATATGTTTCTGGAGTCTGAGACAACTTTGTCCGCATTGTTTTCTGAATTCGTCGGAAGAGGTGGTTGCGATTGTCTCAAGCGTTTAGCAGAAATTTCCTGTCTAGCTTTAGCACTCTTTCCCACAAAATTAGCAACACTTTCAAAAGTGGTATCCAGTGTCAAGCATTCTAGGACCCCATTTGATCGCTTCCGTAATTTCTTTTTTGTTGATTTCTTGAGTTTCAAACCTCGAGTGCCGGCACCGGGGCAGCTACTTGAAAGATTGGAGGGAAGATAGGTTTCCACCCTGGGATGATTCTTCAAAATATTGACATGGGTTATCGTACCAGAGTGGTGCGATGTTGAACTTGCTAACAAGGTATCTGAGTTGACCGCTGCTATCTTGGCTGAGAAGAAGTGTGGATTGGGTGTATCGGTGGATTGTAAATACTTCTGTCCCCAACTAGTTACCAGAAAGACGTATGAAAAGCACACAGAAAAAAACAGAAGAAGGAATCCAGAGAAGGCGATCATGTTTGTTCTACTTTTAGTGGGCCCATGAGCACCAAACATGTGTATCAGATTTATCATCTTCGAGTTTTCTCACTTGAGTGGAGGGGGTAAATAGATGTGCAACGAATCTGCTATCACGACTAGTTTTAGCGTTCACCCAGAAACATAGCTACCAGTGTAGAGACCTTCCAGGCTTAGAACTTACTGCCTCTTATATTGCGGCCAGGACGGGAAAAACAGGCTTAGATTCAACTGGGTAGAGCTTGTCTCATCTGAATCCAACGTCCTGCGAGTCCGTTTCCTGCATGGCAAGAGGAATGGCCCACACTCAAGTCCAGGAATCAAGATTTGGAACGTGTCCCATTGACCATTAGCAAAGCCTAAAGTTTCGCCGAAAGACAATCGAAATTTAAGATCGCGTAGTATCGGGGAGACTTGTCTTAGACAAAGGTATACTCTATACTCCTTATTGCTAATGTCTGAGTGACGAGTTGTAATGTTTGTCACAAACTACACCCAGGAGATTCAATGAAGGGGTTAAATGACTCCTGAATATTGGAGCAAAGCTAACAAAGACTCCCAGACTTTACAGATATCAGTGCTCATGCAATGTCATGAGATATTCATAGGAATAGGTCTTAAGTCCCACCAGTTGCTACTTCAATTCCAACAGAGATGGAAGAGTTGTGTCCTTGAATCATCTGATTCAAGCAGAGCCCAAAGAGCCCCCCGCAGAAGGGACTTAAAATAAAGCAACTACATTTGGTGTGCACTAAGAAACCTTGTAAGTTGTAGCCACTCTTCCCAGAGTTTTGTGCAAGGTGAAATGTTGTACAATAGCCAATTGACGATAGGCATGACTATCCCCACATATTTTAGCTCATGGATCCTCATCTTGAGCTGCAATGAGGCATCATCACCAAAAATAGCTGAGTGGTTTGTAAGGTTAACGTTTTGTGTTGTTTCACAACACTAGCCCAATAATCTCACCCTATGTCTGTATAGCTGACATATATGGCAGTGCAATTGGAGGATTTATTTCATCAATATTTATCAATCATTTTCTCATCCAACCTTGGACACCAACAGCCAGACTCCTCCTCTCATAAATGAACTTTTTGGAAGTTCTCAACTTGATTGAGTCATTATACCATGGAGGAAGGGTAATGCAAGGGTGGGCCAATATTTTATTGGATGGTAGGCAAGACATGCATGAGAATAATGGTCAAACAGCAAGCCATCATCCTTAGGATAAAGATGGGGGAAATCAAAGACAGTTTTCCCACCATGTAAAAGCCCAAAGGTATGATGCCAAAGATTTCAGAATTGTCAAAATTCTCTCCTTCAGATTCTTAATTTGCAATTCCTTGAAACACCCCCAATTTAGGTCCCACTAGACAAGGAAAAATTGTACTTGGCAACATTCCTGATTTCTCAAAGCTACATCTGAAGCTGCTGTCAAGTACTGGAGAGAAACAAATTGATACATCAGCTTGGAAATAGTGAAATGTGGAAGAGAAATGCTCTATTCAGAATCAGTCAACTGGCTCAACTTATCAAAGTCTCAAAGATAATTCAAATCATCAAATCATTTTGAATTCTATTACATGTTCAAAAAAAAAGGAAAAGAAACCAGTTAAGTCCTTGGTTGCAAACTTGAAAAATTCTGTGTCAACTTTGGACAAAGGCAATTAGAGTCCTCCGTTGCCAATTTGAGAAAATCTGTGAAGACTGTGGCAGTCTGTGCCCAAAGGTGGGTAGAGTACTTGGTTGAAAACTTACAAATTCTGTGAGGGCCCTAATGGCTGACTTGACTAAGCCTCCCAGGACTGAGGGTGCAGAGCAGCCCAATTCAAAGAATCTCACATTCTCAATGGGAGGCTTATGAGTTATCATGAATTTCCAACTTGAGAGCTTCCAAAAGCTCATGGTTTTTAGACAAACTTTCAACCAAGTAAGATTACCAGATGTACACTCATCATGAGACAATGAGGTGAAGAGCAGCTTGTTGCTGATTATCTCACCTTCAATGTAGTACCTTTTTCATGCTACTTACACTTGGTGTAGAGAGAGGGCTTCCCTTTCCCAGGAGCTCAGGTGGATGGAAGATGGAATTCAGTATTCTGATTGAGTCTACACAGAATTTTTGAGAATTCACACACACCCTTCTAGTAGAACACACCAAAAGTTTTAAAAAAAAAACTTCAAAGGAGTTCATGAATCAAGAAAAATGGGTGATTGACACCAAAAAAAGGGAAAATTAAGGCCATCAATCTGATACCACATAGAGAATGCACCATATAGGCAAGGGTAATTCAATTGCTCCCCCTAAAAATGAAAAAGCTGTCAGTCCAAAAAACAGGTTCAGCCTGCAATTCCCTCCTTTGGAGGTTGCAGTATGTGTGCAAGGGTGATGGGCTCCAGCCCTGTACCAGGGACCTCTGAAGCAAGGCACCTGTGTTAAGTCAGCCTAATGGTGTGAACTGGTCAAGTCCTCCATTTCAAATTTGAAAAAATACACAAGGACTTTGCTCAAAGGCAGTAGCATTGTTGTTTGCAAACTTGAAAAAGTCTGCCTCAAAACTTGGGTGTTTTCAGTAAGAAATACTAGAACATTGAATGTATTCTTTTGTGCACATACTTTCTGTTTCAAGTGTGCCTTTTTGGCCATCAACTAATAAATTCAGCTTGTTCAAATTCAATTCAACGGCCATAATTAGTGTTGTTTCATTTATGACCCTTTTCCATTGAAATCAATCCTGAATATGGCTTAGTGCATGGGAATAATGTAAGCTAGCATGAGCACAATCTTGATTGAATCTCCCAAAAGATTGGGCTAATAACAGAAATATTTGTGATAGGTTATTCTAAAACATATGAAGGAAGGTTGGAGATCAACATCTTTCCTGGTTTCCACTCTACTTTTTGTGTGTGTTTCATTATTAGACACTTTCCAGTTCATTGGTCTGTGTTCTTGGTGATCAATAGATTTATGACCAGGTAGAATGTGGGTATGGTAGAAATTATATAAAACATTAGGACAGAGCAACAGTGTTGGATTATGACTGAAGATATGTCTCATCAATTTCTCCAAAGTCCCAGATGAATGTGATCCTTAATAGATGAAAGAATGCCAATGTTCCTGAATGTGGGTCTGAGCATGACATTGATTCAGACAAGCCAATGTCCTGTATGATTGAAGGCCCAGTGTGGGAAACCTGTCCACTTAAGAAGCTAACCAACCCAATTTTCCTGGGGCTTGCCACTTGGGCTTGAACAGGCTTACAACAAGTCATGGTGGCCCATCCTCATCATAAGGTGATAACCAACAAAAAAAAGTTGGGCCAGCCTGAACTGGAACCAAAGTCCAAGTATCCATATTTGGGCTCAGATTTGGGTCAGAATTTTGGATGTTCTCATCCACCCTTACAGTTGAATTTTGACATGGTTCTTGATGGCTCCAAGACAGCCCAGTGTATGTTCAGTCTCCTCCCAGATGTTTATAGCCATCCGTTTTGAGCTCCACAGCGGGAAACCAAAAACTTCAAGTCACAAAAGTTTGTGGAATGCTGGAAAATCGGTTTCAAAGAATGAACATGAAAAAATAATAATAATAATAAAAACTACAAGATTTTAAAATTTGTGAAAAAGATAAAAGAAAATCAACTTTTTTTTTGAAAACTTTGATCTTTTGTTTGAGTGAAAAGTGAACGCACAGAGGGCAAGTTTGGAACATGAAAAAGGATGAAAGTTTGGAACATGAAAAAGGAATGATTATAATTGAAAATATTGATCCCAAAAAAGTTTGAGCATGGTGTGTGGACACCCAGCAGTCTTAATCAGTGGATTGCAGTACCAGAATGCCACGTTTCTTGATGAATGACCCCCTAGACACCCTTTTTAAACCACCCAATAGTCGTTTTCTTTTCTTTCCAAATGTTTACTTCTTATTATTCATTCCAGATCTCATACTACATATCACTTTGGAGATTTCATCTTCTCCAGAAAGAAATATTAGAGCTGACAGTTTTTTGTGATTTTCTCTTTATAATTTTGATTATCATGATTTTTTTTTTTCCATATTCTTGACCATTCCACCAACTCTCGTGACTTGAAATTTTTGGGGTTCCCCAGTGTGGAGCTCAAAACAGACAGCTATGAACATCTGGGAGGAGACTGTACATCCAGAATCCCATTCAGATCAGACAGAGGTCCGTCTAAAGAAATCTTAAAGGTATATCTTGAGCAATCTCTGGGTTCTCTCATTCCATAATGATATTTAAAAAAACAAACATATCCTCCAAGAAGTCCTCTAGAAACATGTTATAAGGATGTTTAAAAGTTGGTACAGTTTGCTTCCCACACCATGCAGGGGATCGTTTATCCAAAGGGAGCATAAACACAAACCGGGGGGGGGGGCAAATGAATAACAGTAGATCCTCTTGGCCCACCCAGAGTTGTGTCTATATTACCAAATTCCGCGTTCAAACCGGTTAACCACATCCGAGTATTCATCGTCATCGACATCCACATAAATCTCAGGTTGCACATATCGCTCATGTTCCTCATATCGCCACCGCGGCTCTGGTTTGTAGAATACTCCGCCGAGACCGTGGAAACAGACTCCTCGGGCTTCCAACAGCCTTTTGATCAGTTGTCCGTCTTCCCATCTCCCACTGTGCCCTGATTGTTGTAAATCCCATAAGAGAAACAGGGAGGGTTAAGAAGAAGATAGAGAGAAAAAAAGTTCAGTTGCGTGCCTCGGTCTCCAAAGTTGAGAAAAAAAAACTCACTTCCGGACGCAAGCTCCAGTATTGAGCAACATCTCAAATTGGGTAACCATTCCACAGGTTTACCAACTCCACCATCAGAATCGGGCTGCCAATGCAGTAGTCCATTGGGGAGATGATAAGCTTGGCTGTCGGTGTGACTGGAGAGTGCCTTTGCAAATGCAGGAAAGTGAATGTCGCAAGAACTACATGCAAGCTTCTCGAGGGATTGCGGCAAACCGGCAAAGAATTTGGGGCCGACCAATTGACCAGTGATAGACAGACACTTGAGCTTTTGCAGGGCGTATGGAGACTGGAAAACGTGGTCTAACAGCCCCTCGTATTCTTCTGGGTCCTCGAAATCGTGGATGCTTGTCGAAGAACGATTCCGGTAATCAAGGACCAAGGATTCTAGATCCCGAGCAGTGTGTTCTGTCAAGACACGACATAAGCCCGCCCGGCCGAGCTTTTCGGTTGGGGAAATCAGGTGCAGCGTCCGTAAGCTCTCCTTCGAGTCCTTCAAAAGCCACGAAAGCTCCCGCGCATCTAGATCAGGTCTGGTCAAGATGATCGTCCGTAAGCCGCAATTGAGTACGGGGATCGAGTTGTGGATGGTCTCGATCATTTCGACAGCTTGTCCAGGAAGACTAGACGCAAATTCGATCGTCTCGAGCGCTTTCCACTTCGAAAACACTCGGCTGACGAGCTCGTCGGCTCGCCACTGGTTACTGAACACGACGAATTCCTTGATGTGTTGGGCACTTGCAAGGGCTTCCAGGATGTGCTCGTTACACCGAATGGCGAAGTTGGACGAGAGCGCAATGTTTTCGAGGAGCGGACAGGCTCGGATGATGTCGCCAATCAGTCTCGACTCGCCTCCCTTGCCCATCAAACTGCCGCCGTTCCACATGAATTGCAAGGAACGAACGTGTCGGGCCGGTTCACTCAAACAAGAAGAATAGATTTCGGACGATCGTCCGAGCGCGGTTTTGAGATCTCGAGCATCACCCTCGTTTCTGGTGTCGGCTTGAATCTTATCGTCCAGCTCTTGCTGATCAAGAGGGAGTATTTGGGCCAGTCCCTGTAAGAATAAGCTCGCCGTCCAGTGGTCTTTCAGGCCGACGTTCTCGAAGAGGGTCCGCTGGGCCAATCGTCGAAAGGCGCGGTTGACTAATGACAGTGCTAGGTATGGATTCCGGGGAACACCTGCAGGGACCACCAAGTGATGAGTATTTGAACGACCAGTTTTTGTAAGCTCTATCAAGGCAGATAGGAAACTCACCCTCTGGGTATGATACTTGGCTTAACTAGAATCACGATATTTCATTTTTCAGTTGAGAGAACGCTCTTCTTCTTTTTTTTTTCTAAAAAGAAGGAACTATTGAAGTAGAATAAGAGATGGATGATTGCTTAACCTTTGGCAAGTCCTTGGGACCCCTCCTGAAGTGATTCTTGATATCCTGCAAGCGGTAGCGGCGATTCTGCTGTTTGTTTACTAGATGGGGTCTTAGTGCTGGTTCGATTCCTTTGATTTGATTATGGTCAAGTGAATGATGGTCCCGTTTGCCATGGATGTCGGCGGTTGGTGGATAGACTGATATGCTGAGTTCGATGATGATGTGGACTAGTTCGTCTGGCAGGTCCGACAGCTTGGCCATTGCCCAAAAACCTTGCTGTCTCTTATCAAAGTCAACTGCCTCCTACTGCAGAGTGGTATAAACGGAGGGCCCTGCCGGACATCCTATCACCGGTGGACTTATTTGAGTTAAAGTAATAAAGTTTGCCTTTGAAAACACTTCGAAATTCTGAGTGCTTCGCTTTTGGGCCACACTTTGTACAGACATATAGCAAACCCAACACATCAAGTTATGGCCATGTTTTTTTTTTGCTGGCTTATTAGACTAACTATGATCACCTGGAGCCAGGGTTCTTGATGATGAAGAAGGTGTTATCCAATGGCCATCATCACTAGATCCAGCCAATTAGATCTTTAACTGAAATCAACTTGTACTGGTCCCAAAGTGAGAAAACTTGGTTGCCCAATTGGAAAATGGAAGACAAAGGGAAAAACAAAAGGGAAGAAAATCAAGAGAGAGAAGAAAGAATGGAAAGATGGTACAATCAAGCTCCAATGCAGATAAACCAGCAGCCCACAGCATGAAAGTTGACATCCAGAAATGTGTCATAGACTCATAGTCACTATGGCTGACAAGAAAAAAAAATAATAAAGCACCAATGGAAAAAAATGTAAAAGATGAACTACATTTTCATTTTTCCTATTCATAAAATTGAATGCTTCTCTCCTCTCTAGCCGGTTACTATCTGCCCCAGGTTTGTTTTACTTGTTCTTGTTTTCCCTCCCTTGATTTTCTGCTCACATTTTTCCTCTACAGCAAATTGTATGATGAGAGCATCAAAGTGTTGAAATTCTGAGCTCGAGAGGGGAAGGATTTCTGAGGAGTTTGAGAAAAAGGGGCTCAAAAAAGGATGAGAGACTTTTTTGGGAAAGGCTCATGGAAAATGAATGAAAGAACCAATGGTTTTCATTCACAGGTAAAATAGCCAGATTAAATAGACTAAATACATGTGATCAAACTGTGGTTGAGGCAAATTGAATAAAAAAGAAAAGTTGAATAAAAACTAAGAGACAGAATAATTTGAAGTCTTGGAAGAAACAGTCTTAGCCGGACTTCTCAGTCTCTTTTAGTCAGACAAGAAAAGTTAATCAAGAAAAATCAGAAATTCTACCACAAATATTTAGATCAAATAGTGAGCTAGAAAAAGAAAGACATCAATCAATAAGACTAGAGTTGTTTGAAAATTTCCATGATTAGTTCTAATTAGACTACAATTGAGCATAAGATTCAAAACAAAAAACAGCTATGATTGAGGATAATTCAGTCCAGGTCAAGATGATTCAAGAAAGAAAAGAGGAGAAAAATTTAGGGGAAAGAGTAGCCAAAGAGTTGAAAACTCAACACAAAGAAACTCAGATCCCTTGCATTCCCAATAGTGATCAATAGGATCTTTTTAATCAATTCAAGATGGGCTCTTTTATCATGAAAAGGATACTAGTCATCAAAGTAAACAATGAGAAATCAAGGGAAAGAAATCAGATTGGCTCTATACAAAAGGCAGTGATTTGACTACAGGAAAAAACTTTTCCAGAGCCTTTTTCATCCACTACAATCATTGTATGGAGGGTCTGACAAGCTTAACTCCATGTTCATGTGAAGCTTAGTCGTTCTCTGACGTATTTTGAACTGGATGGGATAAGCTCACAAACTGAGCCTGTGGTACCCCAAAGCCCTCCTGATATCCTGTCTAAAAGCTTCTTGTGTGAGAGAGGCAAATCAATTGCCTTCCTCCCAATCCCTTTCATCTGCAACATTTCTTTAGATAAATTCAATTAGTCTGGGTATGTTCTGTCTGCAAAAATGTAGCCTTTCTGGTGTTGATTGCTGGTCATGGTAAACTTCAATTTCAATGCAATTATAGCATTGAGAAAATTTGTGAAAAGGGGAGAGAGATGTTGAGGAAATTGATGACATTGCTGGATCCAAACAGCAGAAAAAAGGGATGTCAGAATCTTGCAATAACTAAAAAAATACTCCAGGAAGATGGCAGCATCCCAAGAAGCATATGAGTCAGTTCAGTAAATTTTGAGCATACATATTTTCCTTGCCTTTCAAGCATACTGGAAAATTCTTGCATCTCCAATTAATGAAATTCAACAACCTAAGCAAGCCACAGACCCTCAACAGTTTAATTCAATTCTGAAAGATCTGTGGCAGACCACACTTCTTTCAGAATTGAATTAAACTGTTGAGGGTCATAATCTGACCAACATGAAAGTATTCATTTTTTCATCTGCTGCGCAGTGCTTCCATTTATTGCTAATGTCTTCTAGCACTGTCTGATCTTCCATACATAGGAATGGCCCCAGGTATCACTTGGGACACTGCTTGGGAAGCTTTGGCCTCTGGCCCACAGGATAATTTTCATCGGCTGGCTTTGTCAGAAGCTGACATTGGGCTCCTCATTGACAAGCTGACTAAATGGAAAGAAGCTGTTTTCAAGCTTTGACAGCCCTTAGCTAGCACAAGCAAAGGCTGTCCCTATGAATTTACTTTATTTATCACACAGTCTCAACTGGTTGCTCACATGTGATCTTTTCACAGCAAATGTCAGAATTGTTTTCAATGGTTCAGTGTACTGAAGATTCCATGAAGTTTGACCATGTTCTCTGTGCTGATTTCAAAAACACACAAATGGACTGAACATTATGAAAGGAACTCTTTGAAATGATTGACCACAAAAAAAAACGCTGATTTTGGTGGGATCCCAGTGACTGCAGCTTTGATAGGTCAAGTACATGCTTCCAGCATTACAAATGAAGAGAAAGAGTAGTCAGGTTTGCAGCAGAAGTGGAATTTTCAGGGGCGGATTTGATAATTCAGAGTGACTTATGTTAGGTTGCTTTCTGGCAGCACCTCTGTCCCACATCAAGGGCATTTCTTGTCCAAGTTGTGCAAGGTGTGAAGCCAGGAAGTTGGGTCTTCAAAGATGAGTGTAATTATACCCAAGAGGCCTGCCATGGAAAATGGATGGGTGAATATCTGAGGGACAATCCCAGGTTTGCGGTGCCAGCTGACATGTTCAATCACTCAAGTCCCAACATGGTCTTGACCACTGAGTTTGTGCCAGACACTTCACTGAGATAAGCTGCCACATGTTCACAAGTCTTACAAAGTCAAGTCATCTCACTTTCACCTCTATGACTGAATATGTCACATTCACCTACTTATAACCTAGTACCAGCATCTCTCTCCTTCACAGCCAGACCTGCGGTTAGAGCAGTCATGATGTCCTCAAATGTTGTCTTTCAGAACTCCTGAACTTCCCTCTGATCCAAATCTATTTTGATTGGAGCAACTTCCAGTGTAATAGAGACACACATTAATAGGTCAGTCAATCAATCTCTATTTCACTTTGAAGCTAAAAGAGCCTTACTGTGAATATTTGGTCAATAAGAAGGGTTGGATTGACAACTTTTACCAACAAACAGTTGCCAACTCTCAGGCGCCAATTATAGACACACTTTTAATGGAGGTATTTTTGTTAAGTTTTGCAAAGTTTTTGGGATTCTTTTTATCCAGAAATCGTGTAAAACAAATAACTCAAAACGTGTCCAAAGGAGCCAATGGACCACCTTTGCATATGTTTTGAGCTCATCAAAAAGATTTGGGAGCTGATTGCAGGCCCAGGGGAGGTGTATTTGACACTCCATCTCAATTGTACCTCTGTAACATTCAGACAGGTCTGGCCATCTCCCAGGCCTGTATTCCTTCCCTCCCTGCCATTGATTTTTGGGTTGTAATGTGGCCTATGGCATCCTATTTTATGCCTCTTGCAAATCATGGAGTCATGAAACAAGAGTTCAGCATACAGTGTAGAATAAGAATGCTGTTTATATCCATACAGTACTGTTATGACATGAATTCCCATGTCACATTTTGACAGATTTCTCACCCTATTTATATACATAGTCTATGGATTTATGGGTTTTTGTTTCTCACCAACCCAAGTATGTACATAGGTTTTTTCTATAAATACTAGGTTCTTAAGAAATTTATATCCCCTTGGGGGAGTTTTCTTCTTTTCACTCGAATATTAGGATTCCTGGCATAACAAGTACTGCCACATACTGCATAATTGAATTAACGATTTGGTCATGTCTTCAAGGGATGCATACATACATAGGAGAGCATGGGAGTTAAGTCGGTTGAAGATCGTCGTTCCCCCCGAAGCTCTCCCCGTGGGATGAAGCAAGTACAGTTCCAAGTTGAAAAAAAAAAAAAAAAAAAAAAAAAAAAACCCAAAAAGAAGATGAACCACCACCATCAACACAGACTCAGCTACCCATTCACCACCAACAACAACAACAACACTGCAACAACAACAACAACAACTAACTCAAAAACAACAACAACAACAACAACAAAGACGAAAACGAAAACGAACCAGACTGGACCGAACAAGATGACCACACCAGCAACTGCAGCACTCAACCAGATCATGAACTCACACCAACTACAGAACACTACAAGCACAACCACTACCAACTCACCATCACCATCACCCTCATCCTCCTCACCCCCTCTCACCACCCACCCCACAGCCCACCATTCACTCGAATTCAACCGTCTCACTCCATCCAACAAACTCACTCCCGATACCTCTCACCAGCAGCAGCAGAACAGGAATGGACATCGCAAAGGACGCTACAGCCTGTCGGTCTTCTCAAGTCTCTCCTCGCCGCTACTCACCAACACCAATCCAACAACCACCACAAATAACCACCACAAGCTGACCAACCAGACCACAACGACCAGTCAGAATATAAGCACGCCCACCTTAGTCATAGACGGCCCGAATGGCTCCGGAGGATACGCGAGTCTGGGCCCGAGCACGCCGGATCCGAACCGTCGGAGCACCCAGCAGAGTCTCCTCCCGCCCGGCCCGCCGCCCTTCCTGGCCCGATACCTGACGCCCTCCAGTCCCGCCTCCGCCTCCTCCACCCCCGCCGCACTCTCGCCCGTCGCCGGCCCCTCCTCCTCGGCTCGCCCCGACTGGGCGCTCACCTCCTCGCCCGTCAATAACAACCTCCTCCTGCCCCATCGCTCCCTCCCCTCCCACCTCGCTCGATCTCACTCCCTCGTTCCTCCCGACCCGCTCAACTCCTCCGCCCTCCGCTTCTCCTCCTCCTCCTCCTCCGCTTCCTCTAACATCACCACTCCTACTACTACTACTACTACCACCTCTAACTCTAATAATCCGCTTCAACTCTCCAGTAGCAGTCGAGGTAACTCCAGACTTCCCGCCGATAATCGCGCCCAATCATCCCTCGCTCAATCTTCGTCCCACAAAGATCGCTCTTCTAATAATAATAGTAATTCAAATGGCTGTAATAGTAATGGCAATGGGAATGGGAATCCGAACGGCAATCCCTCTGGGCCTGGGCCTGGGGGCGGTGGTGGTGGGACCACCCAAGCCACGAGTCAACTGGAAGCCAAAGTGGTCATCCTGGGCATGCAAGGCTGGTCCCCCCTTCTTTTTCTTGTTCCACAAAAACCAACCCCACGATTACACCAAAAATATGAGACAACTTATGCGGAATTTTTGTTTTTTGTTGGGATTGATATGATGATGACGACAGGGGTGGGAAAGACGTCGATCGTCCATCGCTACACCACCGGCTCGTTCTCCTACTCGCTCACATCGACCATCGGGGCCTCGTTCTGCACAAAGAAGCTGTCGGTAGATGGCTGCAAGGTGCGGCTCCAAATATGGGACACTGCCGGCCAAGAACGTATGTCCTTCCGATCTCTTTCTTCTGGACGAAATCATTTTGAGATTTTTGGATGGGTCTGTAGGGTTTAGAAGTATGGCGCCGATGTATTATCGGGGGGCCAATGCGGCGATCTTAGTCTATGATATCACCAACCAGGAGAGTTTCCTGGACATCCAAAACTGGCTGGATGGTGAGTCATCTGTCCTGTGAAGCTGAGAGAGCGCCCGATTGAGCGACTGAACTTTTTTTTTGGGATCGATGGACATCAAGAGTTACGGCAAAACATGAGCGGCGACCTGATTATCCAGATCGTGGGGAGCAAGGCCGACCTAGCGCCGGAGAGCCGGGCGGTGGAGATGGAAGCGGCGCATGCCCGGGTGGCCGCCTGGACTGCGGCCGGCGCCCGGCCCGACGACGGCCATCTGCTCCTCAGCCCCTTCGGCCCCGCCGGCCCCTCGAACCCGCCCACGCTCGACGACCCCTCCTCCCTCGCCTCCTCCTCCTCCGCCCCCTCGCCCTCCTCCCTCCTCCTCTCCGCCGCCGCTTCCTCTTCTAACTCTGGAAACTCCGGCTCGGGCTGGAATCATGTCGGGATTAGCGAAGTTAGCGCTAAAGATGACTTCGGTAAATTTTTCTTTTCTTTCTTGGCTTATGTAAAATACTGATTGAGTGTGTGGAAAAAAAACAACAGGAATCGAGGAGCTTTTTCTGGTGCTTTCGCGCAGACTTGTCTTGCGCAAGACGCAGATCGAGGCGCTCCGGAGCCCGCATTCGCGCGACTCTATCCGTGTCCATCACCATCATCATCAGCATCATCATCATCAGCAGCAGGACCAGGGCTGGAAGAATCTTAACTCGGCCGTCGGGCTTGATCAGCATCAGTTCGGAGCGACCGGGTCCAACCATCCCGGCTCTTGCTGTTGAGGCCGCGCTCCGACTCACACGCGCGTTCCTCTTCATCCCTTCCCCGATCCCGCTTCTCAGCCGTCTCTCCTCTTCGTTTCCGCTCCTCTGGTTTCGTTTTCGATCCTCTCTCTCTCCTCCCTCCTCCTCCTCCTCCTTTTGGAGGGCTTCATCCGGCGGTCCTCGTGCTCGCTTCCCGTCCGCTCGGCCCGCTTGTCCTTCCTCGTCCGACCCTCGACGATCGGCTTCCCTTTCCTCACTTCCCTTTCTTCTTTTTTTGTACCCTTTCTTTTTATTTTGGTTTGTGTGTTTTGTTTTTGTATTGGTGGTGTTGTAGTTATTTGTCTTCTTCCTACTCTTTCTTTCTTTCTTTCTTTTCTTTTCTTTGGATTTCTTTCTTTTTTCTTTGTTGGTCCACTTCCTTCCTTCCTTTCTTTTTTGTAGTTTAATATATTCATGAAATTTCTTTTGGAGGTTTATATTCTCACTTCTTTTTTTTCTGGAGGGTTGATTTTTTCCTATGTTTGGTTGGTTGGTTGGTAGTATTATTGAAGATGAGTGGTCAAGAAGCAGGGCTGTGAGTGAGTGTATATGTGGGGTGACAAGTAAATACGCCGGTTGCGGGATTGCTTGAGTGAATAAATGAAGCTAGCTAGTGCAAATGAACTGGACTGCAAACATTATAAAAACCCCTAAGTTGTCTACATAGTGGCCAGAAAGACCCATTTGGAAAAGTGGGGGTCCTTATTGGCTTGTGCCTTTCTTTTGTGATGGTTGAGCTTATGTAATTGATACCACTATGTATACACATCCAATCAAAAAAAAAAAACACATCAATCTTAGGGTTTTGGGAGAGCTTGTGTGTGTCCATCATTTCTGGGGTGTTGGGGGGCTGGATGCTGTGTGAGGATTGAGATGGTGTGTGAGGGGAAGTATTGCTGAAATCCAAGCCCACAGTAAAGTTGGATGAGGAGAAAGGGCAGCCAATTTCTGATCTTACGGGAACGGCGTGGGGCGAGAAAAAAGAAGCAGGAGAATGGATGTATTGAGGTCCGAGGATTGGTTTCGTGTTCTGGGCTCTATGGAATAAATGGACGTGAGATATGTACATTCAGCAGGATTGTGGTTGAGTGAATATTGAACAAAGAAAATATACAGCCGTTCCCAAAAAGCGTGCGGTTTGGGAGCGGCTGTATTGCTGAAGATTTTCTTTTTGCGCCTCGGTTTTTTAGCGCCCCTCTCTCTGACATGGCCTGTATGGCACAGTACTTCAGGCAAAATGACCCAACTCCCACAGTTTTTGAGTTGAGTGTGTGGGAGTTGGATCATTGTAATGCTCACAAGTTTTTGGCCTAGAACTGGTCATCACATGGAGGCTCAGCCCACCTCTGCCTGGCAGCCGGCAGGCGTCCCGACCCACCCCGAGGCCTCGGCAGCCAAATCAGAACCTGTACCGTCATCTGTACAGGTTGTGAGGCGCTAAAATTCAATGGTGCAAAAAAGAATCTTCTGAAATACAGCCACTCCCAAACCGCAAGCTTTTTGGGAACAGCTGTAGTGAATAAACCAAAAACTTACTGGGTTTGACTTCAACACCAACAGGAATTGAATATAGCCTAGAAGATAAGCTCCGAGATACATGAGAGAAGAGGGGGCCTCCTCCAACAGGGTTCAATCTCTACAAGCTGGGGGGGGGGGGTGAACTTCATAACAGCATTTGTGGCAGACTATGTAGAGGAGAAGACTTCAGGCAATGAGGGAGTAGATTGTTGCATTTATTTGAACTAAGATTCGTCGTAAGAGATGGAGAAAACAAGAAGAAAGGGAATCAGGCATGAGTAAGAAGCCACAATTCCACCAAGTTATGATGCTCATCTGGGCTCTCTGCTCATTGGTTGATCAGAGCAGAGAAGGCTAGTCTGTCTGCTCAATGGTGAGGTGAGCTTTTGGCCAACAAGGAATCAATTATACCTTGTTGGCTGGCTGGAAGGTTGTCCTTTTCAGGGTCAAAACTTCATCCATTTAGACTCATAATAAGCTGCTTTTGAAAAGATGAGAATGGAGATACTCAAATGGTTCTTTGCAGAGTGAGCTACACTTGATGCAGAAGAAGAAAGCCCGTTTTGAGTGAAAAAAAAATGAAATGAATGGGTCCCGGTTCACATTAGCCAGTTCCAATGGCTGATCACCTTGCTAAAAGTTGCTGATAGAAAAATATTTTTTGGATGGATCTGGAATAATCTGGGGGACTCTGGACTACACATTCAAAAATGGGGGTGTTTTTGAGTATCAATGATTTGCTGATTACAGCCAAAATTTTTGCTGATGACTGGCTATCGTGAACCGGGCTATAATATTGGACAGTCAAGTCAGGGTGTTGTCTGGGCAGATTCCACAGTACTTTCAAATTTTCCAGAGAATTGCCAAACTTTGGTAGGAGTTTTGACATTTTTACCAAAGGTTGTTATGTATATTGTAGGATGTCTCACATAATCCAATTGAGTGAGTGTTGTTTGGTTGATGATGTCATCATTTTGGTGTATCAGGTCAGGTTAAGTCAAGTTAAGTTAGTGTTTTGCTGTTCCTGCTTTTGAACTTCCCAGCTTTTCATTCTTCTTCTCCTTCACTAACTTTCCCCTCCTCCTCCTGTCCCCTCTTGACCATCCATCCCCTTTCTTTCTTCATCCCGACCAACACTGCCTCCCAATGTCACCACCACCTCCCAATCAAACAACAGCAACAGGAACATCAACAACAGCAACAGGTTCATCCTCATCCCGACAACACGAAATCCCAGGAATACTTCCAGGAGGATTTACGATCGGAGAGGAGATAGGACGAGGCTCGTTTGCAGTAGTCTATCGAGGACTGAACCCAAGAACCAATCAGACTGTCGCCATCAAGGCAGTCATCAAATCAAAACTGACCAACAAACTATTCCAGAACTTACAGGATGAGATCAAGATACTCAAGAAGATCAGACATGGAAACGTCGTCGGCCTCGTCGACTGTCTCAGCAATAACGATTACATCTTCCTTATCATGCAGTACTGCTCCCAAGGAGATCTATCTGTTTACATCAAAACGCAAGCAAAACTAATCAAACAGCAACAACAACCACAACCACATCAACCATTCCCTCATCCTCAAGATGGTGGACTCAATGAATGGATCATCAGAAGCTTCCTCGGTCAACTGGGTATGTGTTCTCCAAAAACTAACCCATCAAATTTCTATACTGACCTGACCTACCACATACTACGTACCACAGCCGATGCACTACGCTTCTTACGCTCTCACTCCATCATTCATCGGGATATCAAACCTCAGAACCTTCTCCTACATCCCTCATCACAATCATCCCAGCCGTCAACCTCAGATCCTAAACAACCAGACTCCTTTATTTCAACAACCTCCCCTCGTTATATACCTGAAGGCATACCTATCCTCCGAGTGGCCGACTTTGGATTTGCTAGAGTCTTAGCACCTAATGCCGGTCTCGCCGAAACTCTCTGTGGATCCCCGTAAGCTGACCTGGTTCCTCGTCTTACTGAAACAAGCAACTGATCATCTGTTGATGTTTGATAAGGCTATATATGGCTCCTGAAATCCTTCGGTATGAGAAATATGACGCCAAGGCAGACCTCTGGTCCGTCGGTGCAGTCCTCTTCGAGATGGCCGTTGGAAAACCACCCTTCAGAGCTCAGAATCACGTAGAACTATTACGGAAGATCGAGAAGAGTGAAGACAAGATTGCGTTCCCAGAGGAGAAGGTGGTAGCACAAGATCTCAAACGATTGATCCTCAGTCTCTTGAAACGGAATCCAGCCGAACGTGTTAGCTTTGAAGAGTTCTTCTTGATGGCCGACGAAGTCTCTCGAGTCGGACCTCTCATCCCTCCCACTCAACCTCCTCTTCAACAGCAACAGCAACAACCATCCAGTCTTCCTCGCACAACATCTATCCCACTACGGCCTCAATTGACTACCCTTCACAGCACATCCGTCCAAGCCCACGAGAACCTCTCTCCGCGTCCACCATCAACCTCAACCTTACCCAACCCCACGGCTCTCAAGGGAAAATCACATCAGCCAGTGTCCGCCAACCCATTTGATGGCGAGCCAGGCGCATTTATTGTCGACAAGAACTCCTCAGCATACAAGCCCAAACAGCCTCTTCCTCCACCCTTCTCTCAACCGAACCAATCAGGCTCAACTGACCGGGCACCTCAGAACCGACAAGTCTCACTACCTCCTGCATTTTCCAATTCTCATGCCGGTCATCCTGGTTTTCAGGCTCCTTCACCCAGCCTCCTTCCGACCCCTCAACCCAGTGGACAACGTCAGTCGAGTTGGATGCCCAGTTTTCCGGCGAAATATATCGTCCCTGGTTCGAGTACCTCTAATCCGACTAACCTAGTCTCGACAGCAGTCAAATCTAAAGATTATGCCTTGATGAGATCTCCCAGTCTGAACAGTCCTTCAAAACAAAACACCACTTCAGCTGTACCTTTCAAAACTGAGGAGGATGAGGATCGTGACTTGGGTACAGAATACGTCGTCGTCGAGAAGGGGTCGGTGGAGATTAATGCCATGGTGGATGGTCAGTCCCTTGCTGGAATGCTTAAAAGATTCATAAAAATGAAAGAATAGAGGTTATTCAACCACCCCTCCACAAACGACAAGAGCATTATTATTTTTTTTTGACGACTTGTCGCTGGATCCGATGTAGGTTTATCTTCATCACCACAGAAGCCGATGAGCTTGGGTCGACGAATGTCACGTGGTTTCATGGCGGCAAAGCCAACACTAACGGGCTTGAGTTCTTCGCCACATCGGACGACTTCGAGTGGCTCTCCTCCGCATTCGTCGTTAGCAACGCATTCACACAGCTCGCCGGTCTCGTCCTTCCCTCCAAGGCCGCACACGTTGACGGCCTCGCCGATCCCGACGGGCTCGCATCCGATGAATATCGCCAACTTCGGTCGTTCCTCGCCCTCCAGTCAAGGTCACTACGGCCCCCACCCTTCGTCCCCTCGAAGCTTCGATAGCGGCGGGGGCGGGATTGGCAGTCTCCCATTGGTCGGCAAGTATTTCCCTCAGGCTGTTCTTGGCACTTCCAGTCCTTCCGGGCCGGCCGCGCCTAGCCACACATCCGCCGGTCCGTCTGGCTCTCAAGCCCAACGTCCGCCGTTCACCTTTCCTTCGAGTGCCCTCTCTCGAGCGATTCTCTCCGCCGGTCCATTGCAGATCAATCATCAGACGATCCCAACCCGAAGCATCGGTGGGCCCTCAACCTCACAGCCTCCTCCACGTTCATCAGCATCCAGGAACGGACATCTTGACCCAGTCGAATCGCAGCTCTTGGCCGAACTCGAAGAGTTTGCTTGCAAGGCTCTCGTCATCATCCACTTCGCCGATCAGAAGCTCGCGGCTATCTTGCCTCCTCCGCCTTCTGCCTCAGGCCCTTCTGCAAGCTCGACTTCGAATCCCGCGCCATTCTCAGGACCGGTTGGAGCATTCATCACCTCATCACCATCTTCATATCCTTCTTTCGATCCTTCTACTTCTTCTTCATCCACTTCTTCTTCCTCTTCCTGCTACGATCTCCGTCATTCCTCCACTCTCGATACTCCCTCCTCCGTCCTCTCTAAACCTCCCTCTGGTCAACTCGCTCCCGCGGCATCTGCTCTCGCCGCTGGGCAAGCTTTGCTCCTTTATATTAAGGCGCTCGCGTTCCTCAATAAATCGATTCGCCACGCTGTCGCGGTCGTCGATTGGAAAAAACTCGCTGTCGTCGGTGGTGGTGGGAATGCTCTTAGTTATGAAACTAGTTGTGGTAAGCTGTCTCTTTTTGTAAAAAAAAACTTCTCTTTTGTTTTGTTAAGCCTGCGTGCTAATGAATTTTGATGGTGACTTTTTCGTATAGCTATCGAATGGTTGAGACATAAGTTCAATGAGGTGTTTGATAAGATTCAGTTCGTCAAAACTAAAGCTAACGGCAAAAGTTTGTTGTCGACTGGTGGGAGAGTCTTATCTGCTGATAAATTGATTTATGATCGAGCATTAGAAAAAGTTAGTCATTCCCCCCTTTGCCTTCCCTCTCCCACATACCACGTATAAAAAGGGACTCAAAGCTGACAGAAGTAAATGTTTAATAGTCCAGGAGTGCGGCAGTGAATGAGTTAGGTGGGGACTCAAGATTGAAGGAATGTGAACTAGAATACGAAAGTTCGCTGTGGATGTTGTATGGCCTAATGGACGAGCGGATCATCCAGACAGACTCGATATTCGAGCTGGACCGACCCGTCCTGCACCCCCACTCCCACACTACCCATCCTCACAGTCATCCTCATCCTCATACGTTGAGACCCAGGAAAGCAGAGGTCCCGGTATGTGGCGCCGAAGACGATCTTGTCGACGATGTTGCGGATGAACAGGATCGTGATAACGAGGAGGAGGAGGAGGACGATCCGATCGCTAGTCAACACAAATTCATCAAACGCAGTTGTCCGAACATCATCCGCTCCATCCTCGTCCGCTTGGATTCTTTACGCACTAAACTCAACCATCCTTCTCCCTCTTCCATCTCTCACCATCATCCTCATCATCATCATTCGCTGCATATCCCTTCTTCTTCGTCGTCTCTTACTACTAACACTAACACTCATACTCATGGTACTCCTAATGTTACTGGTAGTGGGAGTGGCGGTGGGAGTGGACCACTTCTTTCTTCGTCCGGAGTCGATGCAAATGGGTCTGCTGTCTTTAAATAAATCACTCTCACTTAACACACTTACACACACAAAAAAAAAAAATGTTCATCGAAAATCGGGTGTCGTTGTTGGGTTTGGTCTAGTTTCATTGGAATTCAATTCAAGTCGGTCTACCCATTTCTTCAATTACTTCTCTCTCTCTCTCTGTTCTATCCCTGTATTATCATTTTTACTTTATTTTTCAAAAAACAGAACAAAGGTTGGATGCTCTTATTCTTAAACGCATGCCATTTTTTTTCTCATTTCTTTCTGTATCTCTTTATCACCTCTTGACAATTCCTATTCTTATTCTGTCACCACCCTTATCTTTTACAAGCTTTTTTTAATCGTTTCTTCCTGTCCATAACTTGTTCTCTTTCTTGTCTCCTTCCCTCTTTCTTTGTCCCCTTCTCTTTTTCTCAATCATCATCATCATCATCATTCCCTGACCTATCCATGAATTTTTCTTTCTTTTTTTCTTCTTCCTTATTGCTGTTGTACTACTGAGTTTGTTGTTGTTGTTGTTGAGTAGGCTTGAAAGTAATAATCTATCATCAATCATTGTATGTGTATGTATAAGTCTTACCCCCTTTTTTTGGTTGTTGTTGTTACACATCTACACTTTGTATGTTGTATGTACAGATGACATAAACATCGTTGTTAACAGCAACAAAAAACTTGACAACAATGAAAAAAAAAAAGTTTTAGGACTTCAGATTTTTTTCAACAAACTGGTATCTAACCATGCTAACAAGCATATGTGATCTTCAGAGAATGTCTGTCCTGCCCTACAGAATGTCCTTGGCGTGTATGGGGGGGTCCCAGGCCTGAGTTTCACCCCCCCCCCCCCTGGAGGATACACTAGTGATCCAGTGAATTTTTGACTGATCCTTGATGGCAAACCAATGTGATCAAGAAAATATACCTAAACCCTCATTGTGCCACCTTCATGAGAAGTTCTTTTTTGGCTAATTTCACCATACTCTTTAGTCGTGGGACATCACCCTCTTGGTGACTAACCCCAGACTCACTAGAGGCAGGGACTATTATGACACAGTATGCTCTCAACCCTACCAGACAATTTACAACATCTGAAGGGTTGGTTTTGATGTGCATTAATCACGGAGATTGGATGGAGCAATTTATCAAGGCTCTTTCAACACTCTTGTCCTACTCTTGTACTGTAGACAGATAAACATTCCTTTTGCAAAAAATGTGAAGCTACTCATAGGCAGACGTAATCATGATGTAATGAGTGATTGTAATATCACCATGTAGAAAGAACAGATAGTCCTAAAAGTATCTGCTGATTCATTCAAAACAAATAGGTCATAAGAAACATATAATCATCTCAAACCCAAGATCTACTAATGCATGGGAAGAAAATGTATAAAGCTTGACAAGAAAAAAAAAATCTAAACAAATGCATAGCTGAGTAAGTAAGAATGATTTGTCCAAACACAAATAGCCCCTTTTTTCCTAAGGCGGTTACATGCCCTTTCATGAGTAGTTCCAGTCGAAACGGCGAATATGATCTATTTTCCCTGGTCGAGTTGTTTAGATCTCGGCAGTTTCAAGTCGAAAGATTTCCTATCCCCTTCGGATGGCACCATAGAAGAATTTGTACTTGAAATTCGAAACGCGATTTGCATGTGGTATACATTGTCCTAGGACGAAGGAACTTGCATTCGATCTACCCGCTTGAGGTGCAGTAGGTGCAAAAATAAATGATTGTGGACGTTGATGATCAGTTTTCTTCCGAAGACCAACAATCAAGTTTGTTTGCTTCAGTGGATGATAATGCTTACTCGGTTGATCCCTCCCAGAAGACATTTAACAATGAAGGCTTTTTCCGTGATCCCAGAGAATTGGGTTGTATCCTATTTTTTTACACCCAAATGTTCAAGCACACCCGATTCAGAAGATGTACTTCGAAAAAAAAAATGCTCGATCTACCTCCTTGTGAAAGTCGGCAGGTCTGTTTTGGTTGATCAATGTGTAACAAAGCTTATAATCAGACGTACTATCATGTCCCTAGAAACCCCGTATCTTTTCTGCAAATGGTTATCCAGGATTTTTAAAACCCTGCTGACGCGTCTGAGAAAAGTGGAAATCATACGGTCAAGTTCTTCCGTACAGATCTGCACACTATTATCAAAAAAAAAAAGGAAAAGCGGGATAAATCCTGATCACACATACTTTTCATCCCCAATCTGAACAAATTGTATCCCAACCTGATTGAGTGGAAAATGGCCAGCATCTAGTTTTGAAGAGACATGGCTGATAATCGAAATAAAACTATCAATATCGTCTGGAATACCATCGGTGATAATCACCAGGTTCAGGGGTTTTGGAAGCAGTTGATTCCTTGATTTTTGCATTTCAAGTATCTCAATACTTTTTTTTCCCCAAGAAAGTGGTATCAGTAATCGTGGCCAACAGCAGCAAAATGTTTCCCTTTTTTGTTATACCTCTGAACTTACTAAGGTCGCAGAATCCCTTCTACTTTGGTTTCCGTAGGAGTGCTGTCCCCGGTGGGCTGGATTGTCTTGAATTTTCGCAGGAGCGAAGAAGCACCTTTGATGTTTTTGAAATGCGTATTCGAGCTGTTTTTCAATCATAGGAGAGGAAGGGTGGGTTATTGGCTTCCAAATTCAATCCTTTGAGAATTCTTGGATATATAGAGGAATGAACTCACTTCAAAAATTGCAAGTCGATCCCTTCTTAGAAGTGCAGAAGAGAAGGAGAAAAATTGCATCTCAGAACAAGAGGTATTTAATTTCCTACGGATGAAGTGGATAAATCACCTGTATCATAATGCGAGGCTTCTTTTACTAGCTCCGCTAACAGACTTATGGGCCTTCTCCCAATGTCCGTTGCTCGCCATTGATGCACTATCATCCAACAAAAAGATAGTCTTGAACCGCTTCAGTGTAGAGAGTAAATTTTCATCACCATGAATCTGAAAATCGTTAGCTCCTAAGGTCGGAGTTTTTGCTTTTAATTCTGAAGCCCTCATTTTTGTCTTACTCCCGGTGGGCGGTCGATGGCTCGAACTCTCTTCCATCCTCCTAGTCTAAAAGGAGTTTTGCCTCAAATCATTGGGCATGCTTGAGCCTGCTTTTTCAGCTCCAGGTTGAGTTGGCTGCACTTTCCTTGTCGCATCCTTCCGCTTACTTTTGATCTTGGCAGCTTCTTTCACCACTTTCTTTTATGGAGCTATAAGGCTTTCTTGAGCGGGGATTGCATCTGAATTCTGGTAGTAACCTGGCGGAAGGGTTGAGGGGCCTGGAGCACTTTGATACGCCTCGGGATTTTCATAGCGCTCCGAAAGCCTTTCTAAGTTTTGGCTCCCCGCCCGTAGCTATAGTTCCTCTCCCGTCAGAGGTGGTTCTCTGCATGGAAATAGACCGGTTCTTCCTCTCTCTCAACCCGTTGCTTCTGACGGGGGTTTCTTCCTTGTGTGCGATCGAAGCGAGCTGTGATGTCTTGGATTGACCCGATCGCATTCGGGCTTTCAACGTAGTTCAATAAAGCGCTTTTTCTTCCAACGAGACATCTTTTGCTTGACCAATCACGTGACGTATTTAAATGAATTTTTCAAACTACTGTTCGGTTCTTGAGTTGGGCCGCCAGGGTTGGGGTTTGGTAGTAGATGGTCGAGGAGCCTGCGGGTAGTACTTCGATTGAGCCTCTGGTGCTCCAGGCGCGACCTGTTTTCCAAATTCTTCACGCAAACCAGACTCTGGAAACTCGTCCTGAACGTCGTGGCTAGTGGTCTTCTTTTGCCGATTGGCCTTCCGGTCTGATACCAAGTGATTGATCTCGTCTAGGCTCCAGGGAAATTTGAAGTCCTCATGATTACTAGCTCCTGGTAATTCAACAAAAGCACTAATCATTCCTGCCATATTGTCTTGCAGACAGTCTACAGTAGTCACCTTCGATTAAGCAGTCAGAATAAACAGTCCAGAAAATTTGAAGAGGAGGGACCAAGACAAGCTCCGTGAAAGCTCAAGCTTATCATTTCCAAGTGTCAAGTAGGAAATTGCGGAGACCCAGTTTCGAGGGAGAGTTTGCTACCGCCACCAGGGTAGGCTACCAATATGTGCCAGCTGACTTGTGATCCTAGTCCCACACTGATCACGCGGTTTCATCAAATGCCCTTTCCGCCAAGACACGAATCAGTCCATGTATAGTTTTCGCGTATCACAGACGCCGAGGTAGTGATCATATTGTTCGCAGCACGTTCGTGCGCTCCGGTGGATCAATACAGAATCCTTTGTCTATGATCGATGGGCTTGGATTACTTTGAGCTGCCCTATTAGAAGTGCTTATGTGCCGTCGGTTCTACAAATACTTGTCTATCGATATTTGGAATACAGTTTCATCATCGCAGTCTTGATCGATAATTTCGTTCAAAATTACACCGGAAATTAATTCTTGCTGCAAGTCAACGTTTAACCTGCGGCGTGCCTCTGAGTCTGAGTTATTCCCGACACTGGGATGCCCGATGAAAGGGTCCACTCCCGTGAGCATTGGAGAGGGCTGAGATGTCCGCTTGGTACATATCCTTCGGCAAAACTTTTCGCACCCAGCAACACCGAGCAATGATGGTCAGCATAGGAAGTCACGAGGTATGTAGGTGCATATAATCCTAGGCGAAGTGCTTCGGACCTCATGAGAAATGTGTGGTCGCCTCGCTGCGTTTTCCTTGTTTCTCAGAGGCGAGGAAAGTATGTAGTCAGATCCAAGAATAAGATACAGAAAATATAGGGTGTTTATGTCGAAGCTGCTTTGACTCTCCTAGGCCATGTTTCGAGTGTGGTACATCATTTATTACCTGTGTAAAGTACATGTGTATCCTCGTTGCAGCATGCTCATCAGTTTCCACTGATCGAGGACGTCCTCACTTCTTCGCAATCATGAGGAGCATTTTCATAGGACCTGGATTCTGGAGCGACAGGTTCTATTAATAGGCGACTTGTGATGACTGTTGCAAGATGCATTTGGAAAGGCAACTTCGTCGAGACGTCTGATACTGGACTGAGGCAACAATCATAAAAGGCTTTTGAAATAAAACTTTGAAAATCTTTTGCGTTGGTTTCTCTAGGGATGTTTCTGCGATGAAATTTCGAGAGCTTTTTCTTGCAATCGAACCCGAAAGATTTTCGAAAATGTTGGAAAAATGGAAAACCCTGTTTTGCATTGGATGTTTTTTTTTACTACCGAGAATACATGGTTGTCCGGACGGTTGCCCGAGCGGCTGTCTGTTAACCACCCCAAGATGTCCTTCTCGGAGGGGGTATGTTAAACTCGTTACAAAACACCGGTCCGCTAACCGGTCAGAAAGGTTTGTTTGACCGGCTGATGGCGGCGGTGCAGTCGAACTTAACAAAAGTCCCTTCGAGGAGGTCGGGCAGCGACCTCTGAAGAAGGGGAGGGACTTGCACTGCAGCTAATTTAACTACGTCCCTACCCTCCTTTGTCGGAGTGGTAAACCACTTGTCCCAACCCGGGACCTCGTCTCCCTAAGTTAGAGCATCTCCAACGCGGGTGGTAAATCCGGGTTGTAAGCCCCGTTTACCACCCCAATTCCCAAAACACCCCGCCACCGCGGGTGGTATACGGGGTGGTAAGCTACATTTTTGGTCCAAAAAATGTACCGAGGTGGTAGATCTACCACCCCGGTACCTCCCCTGATACCGCTGTGGGATCCGTGATATCCACCCTCCATCTCGTGAAACCCCCATAATCCAACCAGTTCACATACAAACATCCCTCACTCGACCTCGC